GCGCGTCGACGGTGCCCGGCGCAGCGTCGACCGGTGACTGAAAAAAACGTCGAACATCCTTGTCGACGGAACGAAACGCATGCGCGACCCTTCTGTCTACGCGTCCCTCGCTTTGTCCGCTTCATAAACCTCCTGCATCCACCCTCGAGATCAGGAGATACTCCCGCGTCCTCCTTCTCTCCACCCCCTTTGCCCGGCCCTCCTCGTCGCCAGGCGACGTCTCCGCGGATAGTACTCGACCGTAGGGAAAAAGGTAAGAGATAACGAGAAGCGAGGAAGACGCGAGCAAGCTCTACAGACTTCTCGAGAGATCTTGTCGCTTTCGTTTTCATTGCCAATAAAGTGCCACGCGTGCTTTCTTCTGCCTTCCCTTCAAGGCGACGTGCTTACTCGACGGTGCTCGGAGCTTCTGATTTTATTTTAATCACGCGGTAGTAATTACCGAAGCCGTCGTCAATTAAGGAACGCTCCGAACAAAAATCCGATATGTCGTTATCGTCGTGCATGCGATTCCAGCTCTAACGAAGGTCATCTGAAATTTTATTGATATTCGTAATTATATAGGCTGCGACTGTATTATTAGTAGAAAAAAGACGGTGCTAGATTTGTGCCTCTTTTCCTAAAACCTCTGGAGCTTTTCATTCCGGCTTCCTTCCCTCTTTCTTCTCTCGTTCGCCTTCGCCTCTCTCTTCCTCTAGTGGTTTATATACGGCATCTATTTTCGGTTGGAATTCGACACGAGATTTTGTAGTAGACACCGTACTGTATCGTTGCTAACAAAAATCAGTCGATCAGGAACCGATATGTAGCACAAGATCACTGCCTCGCTTCGCTTATTTACTTCAACTAATTATCTACTTATTCAAAATAAACAATGCACACATTCTTCTCAAACGTTTATTTTATTAAAATAGAGAGCGCTTACAGAAAGTCGCAACGTAACATTATCAACCCTACCGGAAACGTGTAATATACAACAGTACATACAATAGATAATTCATTTCACTTGATTACATCCGTCTATACAATATACCTGAACTGAATTAAATATTGTACTTATGTACTAATTGAATTCTTAATTTATCGCTGTTCGTCTAACAATTTTTCCAATTGCTTAGAATTTGAAACGGGCAAAGAACAGGTACGGTATTTACATACGTAAACTGTAGCCTGATCATTCAGAGGCTTCATGTTCCTAAGACGCTCGTTTTTACCGAGCAATATACTATCTGCTTCGTCGTGGTCAATCAGCATGAGAATTCTCCCAGGGATAAGGCGTTTATATATAACGCGTAGTAAATCGTCGGTATCCTTGGCACCCCGCTTCCCGACTACGTAAATCTAAGTAAGAAAATGTATGCGCAATAATTTCAAGAGTTCATGAAATTTCTATGAGCCTGCAAACTGATACGGTACCTGCGTTGCATCATCGTGATAGCGAACAAGAGCCGATACTAATTGTGGAACTGCAATGGGTCTTTGCGTTAGCAAGTGCCTAAACGCTCCGAACAGGCGTACAACTTTATCCTTGAGATCGCTACGACCCAAGTAATACGCCAGTCTCAAGAGATTTTCGGCGGAAATTGAATTACCGGATGGTTCTGCTCCGTCGTGAGCTATGCAGAAGTACATAAATCTTCTAAAATACACGAAATATCTTTCTCCTATCGTTCCAGTAATAATCTAATATTAATGCTGTAAGCAAAATCTACCACAAGCTGATGAGCTTAACGACTGGACGTAGTAAAACACTGAACAAACCCTCCTATAAATATTTGGATCCGCTCAGCTTTACCGCGTAGCGTTGGTTTCTTTGAGAGTGTTAAGGTGCGTTAAGAATGAACAAAAGGAAAAACAACAGCAGGAGACTGCTCGTTCGGTCTGAATGATCGTTCTAAATTCCACGGAATGTTCGTGGAGTTCAAACCAGTTACCCAAACACTCAGTGCGAGTATTCGGTAAGTATGAACGCACCCTAACACAACTACCACAATGCGAAACCGCAAGAATTTTAATCGACGAATTAAGATCACGTTGAAAGTGTTTGAACGTACCTTCTTTGAGTCTTACAATTATGCTGGGATCGTCTGATGTTGTAGTAAAGTATCCGCCACTCGTTTCATCCCACAATAACTTGTCTTGAATATCCTGCAACCTTTCAGCAAATTCTAACCACTGCTCGTCGAAGCCAGCTTCATATAAATCCAGTAGTCCTTTTATAACGAACGCATAATCATCTAAGAATCCGTGTATGGGTTCGTTTCTAAAAATGGTACATTAGAATTTATGTTGTGTTGAGAATAATTAGATATTGATAGTTCTATATTCACATTTGTGTAATTTTGTTTTCTGCGTTGCGATAACAACTGTGGAGCAGTATATCTTTAGCCTCGTCGAAAAGGTAACGCTTGATAAATTTCGCGGCATCTGTCGCGTACTCGATATACTGCTTATTATCTACCACCGCGCCGCCATACGCTAAACCACTTATCATGAGACCTAGATATAAATCATTTATTAACATAAAAAATTCAATCGTATATATTAATACATTGTACATTCGAAATGTTTACCATTCCACGATGTAATAATCTTGTCGTCTAAATGAGGTCGTGGCCTTGCCTGCCTAGCCTCATACAAAATGGAACATGCATCTTTCAAATAATTTTTTATTTCTTCGACGGTACAATTAAAATGTTTGGCTGTGTCGTCGATATCCTCGTACACTATTAACACATTTTTTCCTGTCAATTCTCCACGTGGATCCTGAAATTATTAAATGTTTATTAAGCGAGATGACTTAACCTCATTTACAGTTGACGACAAAAACTTTACTTAGGTAGTATAATGTAACTTCATTGCCTTAATGAATATGTAAATATACTTCAAAGTGAATTAACTTTGAAACTGTTTCCTCTTTTAAGTAAGTCATGTATACATATATCATATATATAATGCTGTTGAAAATATCTGTATGTGTACCTGATATCCTTTTACATTTCCTGACTCCTTCACATTGAAATGATGGCAAAAAATATCAGACAATTTGATATTTTCACTAGAAACTTTTTTATCCAACAGAGATTTAATTTCTGCAGCAGTCCACACATAAAATGCACCTTCCAGTTTTTCATGCGCATCGGACGTGGCATAAGAATCTGCGTCTTCGGCACTATAGAAGCCACCTTCCTATAATAAATAAATAGTAAATAGCAGTAGCAATAAATAATAAATATATGAGAACCTGTAATAGTTTGAACAGAAGAAAAAAATTATACCTGATGCCGAAGATCCCTTATCACATATGCAGCAATGTCATCAACAATTTCAGCAAAGTAATTATCCTTAGTTGTCACATATGCATCTGCATAGGACTTCATTAATTGGCCCTGATCATATAACATTTTCTCAAAATGAGGAACATGCCATTTTCCATCAGTAGCATACCTTGAGAAGCCCTAATTGACAAGACATATGTTTTGAATGACCTAAGACATATGAATATGAATATGGAACAAAGTCTTACCTGACCTATATGATCATGTATACCACCAAAAGCTATCTTTTTTAAAGTATATACACACATGTGTAAACAACTCTTTGCTAGCTCTTCATTGGGATGTCGAGCATACATATGAAACAGGAAGTTAAAAATGACTGGTTGTGGAAATTTTGGAGTATGCATATCAAAGGAAGAAGTGAATCCACCAAATTCAGGTTCAAATTCACTCGCGAGTTGCAGCGCGCATACGTTGCTACATTCTAATGAAGGTACTTCGTGTTTCTAGATCAGAAAATCACTGAGTAATAATAAACTCTGTTTAAAAAAAAGGTCAAGAACATTTAATTCTTATTATTTTACCTTTGATGTTTGTGGTACTTTAGAAATATCTTTTAAGGTTTTGAAGTTAGCAGAGCCAACCTCTGTAATTTTGGTTTTGAGTGAATTCCACTGCAAAATAATTTGAATGAGTGAAGTGCTAACAATATTTATTAAAGTACTATTAATAGACAAGAATACTTCTACCTTGTCAGCAATATTAAGTAAAATTGTCTTGAATCCTGTTTGTCTAAATGTATCTTCTGGAGGAAAGTAAGTACCTCCAAACACAGGTTTTAAATCTGGTGTCAGAAATACACTCATTGGCCATCCACCATGACCAGTGGTTGCCTAAAAGTAATGTGTTTTAACCCATATTAGTTTGTTTAACATTTAATGAAATATCAATTACTTACTTGTACAAAAGCCATGTATATCTTATCGATATCTGGCCTTTCTCCATTATCTACTTTTATATTAACAAAATGTTTATTCATAATATCAGCAATTTCTTTATTTGTAAAAGATTCTTTTTCCATAACATGACACCAGTGGCAAGTAGAATATCCAACTGATAAAAAAATTAGTTTGTCTTCCTTCTTTGCTTTTTCCAAAGCTTCGGTGCACCATGGGTACCAATCTACAGGATTGGTGGCATGTTGTAACAAATAAGGTGACTTTTCTAAAGCCAGTCTATTTGTCTTTTGTGGCTTAACATTTTTAGAATTACTTGCAGCCATGTTTGCTGTCAGTGATGCAAAAGTCTGTGACTTTTGAGCTATCCTGTGAAGTAATAGGTTTACTTACTCATGTATTTAATACATAGAAACTAAAAGTACTTTATATCTGAAGTTGACTAGATATATTATTTACAGAACTAGATCAATACATAATTTTTAAATTTATAATTGGATATACTACCTATTTGACTGAAGTACAGTTAGTGGTATGAAATCACTTTGATATAAAAGTGATTTTGTGCCACAAGTGTAACTATATTTTTTGTTAGGTAGTTTGTATATATAACGAACAGATGAAAGAGACCATCTTCCCACAGTCATGTATGGTACAAAGAATGTACCTAAACAAAAATAATTTCTCATTTACAACACTTATAGGATATAATTAGATTTCATACATTTATTTTCATGAAATTTTATTTCCATTATTTATGTCAAATTGTAAATCTTTAAGTAATTATTGCAAAAAGATTTGCATCAAAATGTACAAAATAATCACAACTTTTGAAGGATATATACTTTATTTAGCAACAAACAAATATTTACAAGATAACAAATAAAATTTGCAGGTATTCGTACATTTATTTTAAAAATCAAAACAAATTAAGAATTAAGATTTGGTTAAGTGTCCTTCTGGTTTTATGATTGCTTTTAAACATTCAGGCACAGAGTTAATTAACTTAATTGTTACTGTGTTATTTATTTTTTCCTATTCTTGCACTAAACATGTTTTATGTCATTCTTATTTATTATTTAGTGTATTCTTCTATTGAGCTCTTCCCAAATGCTCTATACAATTAATATCTGCATACTGTGCTGGAATTTCCACACATGTAGAACATTATATAATGATCATTCCCTTGCATATGCAATCAACAATTTTGCAAACTTTTGTTCATTAGTATACACAGTAAATTAATTATCATATAACACATGATTCATTGAAATGATAATATATCGGAAAAGATCAGATAATATGAAATATGAAATTATTAGGGATCGTTATAATTTTTAACAAGAAGCACATCTTACTTTATAAGTATATACCTACAGAAATCATAAACTTATTTTACACACGAGAACTTATTTATGTACAAATATTGTCATTTTCAGGAGAGAACAGTATCATCTAATAACCAATTTTTTGTTTCTACTGCGCATGTTGGCTCTAATTGGTCGAACATGTTTGTAACCAAGGGCAACGGGCATGTGCTGTTAAATTGTTCTTGGTATATAACATTCAATGATCCAAATTTTTAAGTTCCTTGGTCCTTAAATTTCCTACTTTCCAAATTACTATGTTTCTAAGACCACGAATTTGCAAATTCGGTCTATGCACTTTTCCGATATACACATATTTTGTCCACAAATATATATGGGGAAAGATGAATCATAGTGAGGCAGCACAAGTGACAACGAAGTTTTCTAAGTCCAGCCGAGCTGCGCAGAACCAACCTATTCTCCTGTCAGGTTGACAATATGTATATGGTACAGTAGCAGTCTGCTTGTTTGTGTACTGACTCGAGAATGGCTGCTGTACATCGGGAAGCTATCCAAAAACAAATTCAACAAGATTGGGCAAATCGGGAATACATAGAAGTTATAACTGGTAGCATAAAGAAGATAACGGACTTTCTTAACTCCTTCGGTAATTTGTTTTTTAATTTTACCTAAACATACACTTTAATATTTTTTAAGCTATATGTCATCGAAATCGAAAGAAATTTTTACCGGCTTGAACTTAAACTATTTAATAGGATAAAATGAAAATTAAAATGTTTCCAGAGCTAAATAAATTAAACACTTTAATCAACATAAGCTTTATTTTACCAGATATGTCATGCAGATCAAGGATAGCTGTCCTTAATGAGAAACTTACAACACTTGAAAGAAGAATTGAATACCTTGAAGCATGTGTAAGTTTTACTTGGAATTAAAAAGCATGTAGTTTCTAACCTTTATCAAATTTGAATTTCTATATTTGGCAGGTTACAAAAGGAGAGACTTTAACATAAATTACTATTACAACTGTTTCTAGCTGTTGTACTTTTTTATGTAAGATTCTAAATAAATAAATACATATGCATATATATGACAGAAAAGAAATAATGATATATTTTTACAATAATATATTCTACAAGAATGTTTCTGTTAACATTTAATTCAGTTAGTGTAGTCTTCTGCCGGTGTTTCTTCACCAGTCCAGTATTCCCAATAATCCCAATTCGGGAATTTGTTACGCTTTCCTTCAAAGAAGAATTTCAGTGGTTCCTCTATTCCATACTCCTGTTTTCTACGAGCCTTATTTATTATCATAATAATAGTTCCAAAAATCATAATTTCAGCAACTTCAACAGCAGGTATTCTAAGCCATGCTTTAACAAGTGGAGCAGTGGCAAGTGCTGTAACATTAAAATATCAGTACAGAACATAGTCATATTGCAAATAAGGATTATGAAATTATTTCATTACTTTTATAACAATATATCAGCAAAGTATGTACATACCACCTATACCATGATTAAGTGCATCATCTTTTCCCCTCATACGTGTGGACATATATGTAACATTAGCAAATACAAAACCTATGCCACTTAGATATGCTACGGGGCGAAATCCAATCACAATTTTGTGTAAGGGTGACTTTGACATATGTCTTAATATTGCATCATGTGCACCTACTACTATTCCAAACATGGAAGTCATTCTTACAGAAGTCAGAATTTTTCCCATTAGATCTTCTCCATCCGGTTTCGCATAGTAGAAGTACTTCCCTAGTCCCAACATTATGGCTACTAATCTCAAAACATAGAACAGTAATTTTTATAATGACTTAAAACGATTATGATACAAAAATTAATATTAACATTAACTAAACATAATTGACTATAAATATTCAATGAAACATAAAATAAAAGTAAACAATTTTTGTTACTCCAAATTAAGGCTTTAGCCAAGATCAAAATTAATTCTTAAGTATTTACTTTTAAGAAACCTTTTATACTAAAACATTAGTATATAAGTAATATATATATTTATTAAATAATGATCGTTAAAACTCTAGTATTATATTTATTTGACACTCAATATACCTGTGTATGTTTCGAAATTACATAACATGAACCAAGTTAATCATAGATTTGTAACTGACCTGTTTGGATAGGGTCGTTTAATTTCGTAGAAAAATTTCTTCACAAATTCAAAGAAAAACACTACAAATTGAACACAGTGGCTTCATATTAACCTTTTCTTTAATAAGTATATAGTTTCTTCAAGAAACTGTATAATTCATTACTGGGCCAGCCTTATAAAGTGAACAACATAGACATAGTAAGTACACGCTTAGTGTTAAACCGATAGTAGCGCCCTCAGTTTACAGAAAAGCGAACTACGAAAAAATTGGACATCAATTTTGACGTGGTTAAAATTTGAACAACTCTTATAGGATTGCACGAAGGTAGATGGTTATGTAAATATTAAGAACTATTTTTTGTTTAAAACTAAAATTCAGTTATTAATTATATTATAACAGAATGTTACGCTCCATTTCAAGTAAAACTTTAGTGCAGGTAGGCATTGCTAGTCAAATTGTAAATTATCAAATATTAAATTTACTTCTTTATTGATATTAATATTGTTTTAAACAATCAATTATTTCAGCAAAGAAATTTCATGCTATTGTCACCTTTGGGTGCAAAAAAGTCATCAAAATCAGGTGGAACATCCACTAACCAAAATGTTCCTGGACTTAGCAATAAATGTGTTGAAGTTCCAAATACACGTAAGACACATAACATTTGTGCTGTTTTATTTAACATAAGTTCAGTGAAAACAGTTTGCACATGTTCCTAGTTTCTTATAGTTTTACACAGAGAAGCAGCATTTTGTCATGAATTATTAGACCATTAATCGGTTGTTCTCAATGTACATTAATATGATTTATCAGTTCTTAATGTACATTAAGAATATATCATTATTTATACCTTTCAGCTGTAGGACCAGGTGCTGCAAAAGATAAAGAATACAAAAATCCAGAATACTTTTGCTATCACATAGAATCTTTCGGAGAAGCAGAAGTGGAGTTAGCAAAGTATAGACTACCTGCACCTTCTAATAAAGTACCTTTCAATCGATGAATAGTTCTATTAATAATATTCTTTGTAAATAATTATGTAATAAGTAATACATTCTAGTAAATACAATAAATATTCAAAAAGAAAAGTGGGAATTATTTTTTAAAAGCAGAGATTTAATAGATAGTTTATTCATAAGAATACATATAAGTTAGCATATAAGTACCTAAATAAATGTAATATACATATAAAATAAAATATATTATTTATAAACTTACAGTCTTTTCAATATAAAACAATTAAAAAAGTTATAGATATTTTTTCAATTATTTTTTAATAGAAAAGTAGTAGAAAAATTTTATTTAAATTCTACATATCATATATGTTCAGATGATTCTCTTATATCAAATTGATTTGAAAATAATTATGAATAAATAACAATTTGTGTAAACGTGACATTCGTATCTCACAAATATTTTAACCTTGTGATAAGTTGAATATAAAATTGATTAACATTAAAGTAGCAAAACATTAAGATATGGGCATATTTTATCACAATGTCCCGTTACAATACACGTTTATGTTACATAAAAGTATGTCTTGTTTTCAGCGAACTACGTTAGTATGCATATACCTATCATGTCGCGTGTTAACGATTTTAGGCTCTGACACTCACTTGTCTACGCTATGTAAATTTACATTTATTTTTCCTTGTAGTACGTATTTTTTAATTTGCATTTATACATATTCTTTGTGCGCATTTATTACGACGGAAATACTTGTGTATGTTTAACACATAATATGTACAAATAGTTCGTTACCACTTTACAGAACGAGGTTACGAACGAAATACTCCACTGTATTTTATAAACGTAACAATGTCCGTCACTCTACAAAAATATGTTTCAATGTTATTCAAACGAAATATACCGCAACATTTTGTTGACACCGTATATATTAGAAACAACACTTTACTACGAGCGCCCAAAATACATTTCTTACATTACAAAATAAATAGACCATGCTTGGAATATTTTCGGTGAGTAAAAATTTAAGTTCTTATATACGCAAAGATACGTGTCGAATTAAATTACCAGTACGTATATAAACTGAACAAAAAACTAACAAATATTTAATCTTTTATACTTTAGGTATTTGAATACTTAAAGTATACAGGGTGGAGTTTCTCATAAAAATGAGTTAGTACTTTAGAATATTGATAGGAACACTTCGGTATATTTTCCTATAGAAAAAATTAACTAACATACATAAAATTACGAACGGTTAAAAAAATGTTTAAACCTCAATTTGTATGTACATTCATAATTTCGTATTAATAATCATATCGATGAAAGTCTCTCTGCTTTGATCAGGATTGCACTGTATCACAGTTTGCGTTCCACGATGCGTTACTGCTTTTAGAATCACTGTAATGGACTTGCTTATCTCTGATCCCAATTCCTCGCCGACGTTCTATGATTTTATATGTTACGACATTATATCAATTTTTAGTTTTTAATATCTATAGATACACGTTAACCTTGCGAGATACGAGATAGGTTATTTCATGGCTACGAGGGTAATTTAGCATTGGACTTAAATAATATATGCATACAAATTTTTTACAATTATGTTATACCTCTGGAATATCAATTTCTTCTGTTATCTCTTCATTGATTACTTCTTCCTCATTGGTTACATCTTGTTCATTGGTTACACCTTCCTCATTGGTTACATCTTGGTCATTGGTTACAACTTCCACAATGGTTACAACTGACTCATTGGTTACACTTTCCACAAGGGTTACATCTGACTCATTGGTTGCATCTTCTTCATTGATTAAATCTTCCTCATTGGTTACATCTCCCTCCGACATGCTGTAAACTACAATTATATTTTAAACAAACAAGAGTAATTAGCGTGAAATTCATTTTACGCTGCGTTCAGTGGACTCAAACCACGGCTTACTGAGTTAAATATTTATTAAATCATAGTACATTGATAAATATGTGCATGCACTTTTTTGTATAATGATTTTTATTTATACTATTAATAAAATTATTGTTGTAGAAAATATACAAATTAATTTTAATAACAAAATGGTATTGTGAACGAAACTGTACCGATTTGAATTTAAAAATAGCACGAGATATACAATATAGATATGCACATTCGATATACAATCTCTTGCGGACGTATTCATTGTTATGCTAGCACCAAAATATACACGGTAGATCTCAGAGAAAATAAATCAATTTTTTTAATGTAACTACCATGATTATACTGCTATGATTATTATGGGGTTACCATAGTAACCGCTGTACCGCAGTCTCGTTATATTGCCGCGGGCAGCCGCAACTACAGACTTCAAACTCTACAAATTTTCGCATATAATAAATTTCTAATATCGTTGATGTTAAATTAAATGACCTCATTTTTGAAACATTGTGTATAATATTAATAAGCACCTTATCTATAAATTTTTATGCCTTTACGTAATATGTCGAAGATATGACCTATGTAAAAATACGTGTGAAACCATTAAAAAGACTCATTTGCGTCTGAAAAGGAATACTCTGCATATTTTTGTACGTGGACATATATAAGACATTTTGTACAAGTTATTTTACGACAGATTTGAACCGGTTAAAGAAAGCTTCTTTTCGTTCAAATGAATTCAGAGTACGTGTTATGTTACCTCTTTTTGAAAGGACCTGTAATGAAGAAATACTACAATTTTCTTACTGCAAAATAATTCCTTACTAATTATAGGTTCCATAAAAAGTTAATTTTAAAATAAATTTTTGTTCTCCAGAGCAACAAGCACCAATGTGCGATCAATGTACTCGGCAATCGAGCCTACATTTTTATCGAACAAAGATGAAAGTCGTGAGCTGATGGCTATATGGCCGGACGTTGTTCGGGACCTCACGGATGCTGGCCGCCATCTTGATATACCAGATGTCACAAAATGGTTGGCGAAGGTATTTTTAAAAATATGCAAAAATAAAAAAAAAATGGTGAAGAGTCATAAAGTGATTACTAACAGAAAATTCTTCTTAATTTTTAGGTGTTACAATACAATGTTCCTGTGGGAAGAAAGAACAGAGCATTATCGGTTGTATATGCCTTTAAATCCTTTGCTTCTTATGATCAACAAACGGAAGAAAATATTCGCTTATCTCGTATCTTAGGCTGGTGTATTGAACTGGTTTGTTATTTTTAATTATAAATCATTTTTTTATCTGAATTGTAAAAGCATTTTGTTATTCTCTTGAGCATGTAGTAACAGAATATTACATTACAGTTGCAAGCATTTTTATTGGTGATTGATGATATACAAGATCAATCAACAATAAGACGTAATGCACCATGCTGGTACTTGAACAATGGTATTGGATTAGCAGCCATAAACGATGGTATAATGTTAGAAATGTGCATATATCAGTTACTTAAAAAACACTTTAAGTCAAAGGAGTGCTACTTGAGCCTTATGGAATTATTTTTAGATGTAAGCAGGATTATAATGTACACTAATTTTGTACCTTCCTGTATAACCTCTTTTCAAGAGAATATGCAGTTTATCTGTGATATATTATTTTCAGACCACTTTAAGAACATCAATGGGACAATGCCTTGATTTGTTGTCAACAAATTTTGGTAAAAAATCAAATTTGAATCTCTTTACAATGGACCGTTATAATTCTATTGCAAAGTACAAAACAGCTTATTATACATTTGTGTTACCAACTACAACTGCAATGTGTTTTGTAAGTTTAACATAACTTCCACATAATTATACATTTTTGTTAAATTAAATTTGTACATGGAATACTTGTGACTTAGGCTGGCATAAAAGATCCAGAAATGTATAGGCAAGCAAAGACAATTTTATTAGAAATGGGTCACTTCTTTCAAGTACAAGATGATTATATGAATTGTTATGGGAGTATGGAAGCTACTGGAAAAACTGGTTCGGATATAGAGGCAGGAAAGTGTTCATGGCTAGTCGTGGTAGCACTACAACGTGCCACATCAGAACAACGAAAAATTTTAGAGGTATGTGTATTCAGGGGCTGTTGCATTTGTTAAATAAAGATATTAATAATTGTCGTCGACACACAGGAATGTTATGGACAAAGTGATGTCAAGAAACTGGATCGTGTGAAACAACTTTATGACGAGTTAGGTTTACCAAATACTTACGCCATCTATGAAGAAGAAACGTACAATCTATTAATGACGCACATACAACAAATATCACGTGGACTTCCTCATGACTTTTTCTTGAAGTTACTTGAAAGAGCATGTCGCAGAGTGGCCAGGAAAGATTAATTATATTTTTTAAAAGTTTATGCCAAACCACTATTATTATGGTTTAAGATAAAATATGCATGTACCATGCTTACGTTTATCTGTAAATTTATCTCAAGAACTGAGCATTTATTATTTCATTTAAGTAAACGTAACAAACAGCCTCATTTTATTTTTAATAAATAAGAATTTATTATAACGATGTTAAATTTTTATAGAAAAAGATAACATTATTTTATAATGGTTAATAACCCGTGGACGCTCGCTTGAGTAAATCTACGGGTCTGAACGTGTTAAAGAATTTGTATAAAAAATGAATAATCGTAACTAATTAAGTGATAAAATATTAATTGTGTATTAATAAAATTTGTATGGTATGTATATACTATATATATATATATTTTCTTACAGCATTTTTATTTTTTCTTTTCTAGAAACTTTTGTAAAGGCATTTGTATAAATTAATGTTCCTGTTTATATTTTTAAAAGATTAATAAATTGTTTAATGAATCTTTTTAGATAACCTCTTTATCTTGTTTTTTCGCCCAAATGGTTGAACCTTTTTAATATTATTTCGAATTTTCGAACGCACAATTTGTTTCAGTTCATGCCTAAGATCTTTAAATGTATCATTCTCCGAGAATTCTTTAGAAAAGAAAGTTACAGCTTCTGAAATTTTATGTCAAATTAGTATTCATACAAAAAGTTATCTTGTTGGTTATGCATACCGTTAAAACGCGTATCATTAACGTCGAAAAAGAACTTATGTGTATCTTGAACCACATCATCTTTAATATTTTGCTCATTATTTTCATATGCTTCTTGATCCTCGTGTTCATCATCAGAAGAATCATATTTAAATGGATTTTTTGACAGAGGTTCAAATTGAAATTTTGGAGGTTTTGATGTTTCCAATGTTGGTGCATTATAGTCATCATCTCCTGTTTATTGTTAATAAAAAACAAATACTAATATATATTGTACTTATACAACAGGTTCAATAAAGATATCAACCTTTCTCATTATTTTGTGTACTTCCAAATTTATTTAATAAACTAAATTGTCCTCCTTCTTTTAAGCTCTTTGTTAAAGATTCTGATACTGAAAAATAAATATCTTTGGACACTTCCACAGGTGGATTTTCAGTGACACTTTCTGTCCTCTCTTTGGTCTTCTTTTTCTTTTCAACTTTTTTCTTAGTTGTCTCTGGTTTCTCTGTAGTAATTTCATATTCTTTATGGTTATCTTTTGTGGGATCATATCTAATCATTCCTTTCCTGAAGAGTTAAATAATTTAGATATGTAAGTGAATCAATGTAAATCATTAATTTGAATATCTGGTAGAGGCATACTTTGCAGACTTTGCCTCTGTAGTTGCAGTCTTATTTTTTGTATTACATGGTACCCCAAGAATATTTTCTAAGATATCTAGTTCCAATTCCTTTTCCTTTTTTAAGTCAGATTCATCATCTATTTGTGTTGTGTCATTTTCATCCTGAACATCATCTTCTATGAAACGTTCATCCAGTTTAAATCGTTCATCCATTCCATTGGACCCAGCAAACTGAAATTAAATTGATCAATAAAGATTATTTGTTTACAGAACTTATTAATATCTAATCACCTTTGGCCTCTTTTCCTTAACTCTGAGTTTGTCATTATCCCAATTAGGTTCATCACCTTCATCATTATCATCATTATCAAACAAGTCACGTTTCCTTTTCTTAGCTTTTTTTTTACTTTCAGTTTGTTCTATTTGATCAATGTCTTCATCAAATATTATTTTATTATTGCTTGGTTTCTTATCCTGCAGAAACAAGTATAATTTGTATCATATAAAATCATGTTCCTAGACATGTTCTTAATGAAGTATTTACCAAATTTTTCAACGCATTTTGCACTATCAATTCTTTGGACCTGAAAGCCTTTTTCTTATTTCTTATTGACTCCAGTCTTTTTTGCTCTGATATGCTAATTTCAGTCATTTCTATATCTTCAGTTGTATCTTTTAAAACAACCATCTTCTTATTTATGTCAGAAAGTGTTTACTGTGAGGACAACACATGTGTGGATGAGGAAACATAACCTATTTCATGTGTAGTTCTGCTTTTGAATGATAGATGGTGTTAGCGACACTCTTTCTCGAAGGTACTCGCAGAAATATGAGAATAAAGCTACAAAATCCGCTCGTGTTAAATGCACAAGTTCTGGAAGCAAAAATGGTGCATTTTGCGAGCATGGACTTCTTGATAACAAAAAGAAGACATTATTTTTTGAGAGAATGTTGCGTAAGGAATGAAATTATTACTTTTACAAGACTTATAGCTTGATATTGTTTTTTGAAGATTAGTTACAAGGTTTGTAGAGAACTATACCGACTATCAGGACATACTACGTGTAGATACGACAGTGATCCACCTGATCCACGACTCCACAAGTTATTGTATCGTACACTAACTTAAAACACGCACACCACAATTTAAACCTTAACACTCTCCAAAGCCCCTACAACCTCATGAGACCTCATATTCACACCCTCCTCTAAAACAGCACGTTATCTAAGAAACACCAAGGAACGGAAAAAAGTTGAAAGAACTGAAAGGCTTATCAGCATTTTTTGTCAAGTGGGTCTCGTCCTTGTGAACCAAAGAGAGATTGAACCTTACACGAAATACAAGGCAGAATCTGATTAAGAATATTGACCAGTGCGAGTGATACGTTCGCGTGAATGTTCCCATTGTCTCCCTTGCCGTTGATGAAAGGGTTTGGACCAAAGGGGAAATACTGCCATAAGGTGATGGGGTTGGGATGTTTGCCAGACATATCTGAGGGAGTGATCAGTATTTTCAACCCTGTCTTATGGGTACTGCATTGTGCAGCCTGGAGCCTTTGGGGCTACTGACAAAAAATAAATACAGTCTGAGATGTTTACGAATTGGGAAAGTGAGTGCAAGTTAGGAGAAGAGGAAATTACACGATGGCTGTATATTATGATGACAAACTTGCACCCTGCACCAACCTCCCAGAAGCTTAAAGCTATTTGTACATAATTTTCGATAATCCTCGATCTGACGATAGACATCGATACGCTCTTATAATAAATAATATGGAAGAAATAAATAAAAATGCAACCTGTAAAGAAGACCACATAATGCAACTGTACAAAGAATGTATAGCAGAATATTCTATATCGAAGAATGTTTGTATATTCAAATGAGAATATTCTCTCGAGATGAAAGTGAATGGAACACCTTGTATACTGCAGATTCCTAGTACTTCATCACGCATGATCGCTGATGCTATTCATTCGAACGGAAGGTGTCGTGCGTCAAAGGAAAAATACAGTTCACTGTTGCTAGAAGGCATTCCTTTCACAGTGAAATAGATTATTGATCGCAATTCCAATTCATTTCTTATTGTTGTCAACCGCATGAGTCAATTAATGTTTGTTATTGATGGATCTCCCTGTTATAGTCATTCCATAAAATTCTGCTTAAATAAATGTATGATATGAATATATTAAGCACCTCGCATGTTCATTCATCAAATCTTTCATGAATATGTAAAATCATTTTCGTACAAACAATCTTTGTGGGAAAAATTTTGATCGTTAACCTCTAAATTATAAAAAATAATACAATAAATTAAATTATTTTAATTTAATACAATTTAATAAAAATTTTAAGTTAATGAAACTTGTTGTTATAAGGTTTTATGTTAAACAAAAATTGTTTACCATAATATTTTACCTTGAATACAAAATTAATTTAATGTTTGCCATTAAAATCAACGTTTTGATTGATTAAATTATTTCGAGAGATTGAAGGACTCTTTCGAATAAGTTTATTTATGAATATTGAATTGAAAGTCGACAATAGAAAGAACGCTCGTTAATTGCATGTCAGGTACATGAACTTCTGCATCATGGGGTTACGTTGACACCGTAATAAGAAATGTTGGAAGCATGTTTAATGGGAAAACAGTTTCCGTTCCATTGAAACAGGTGGTTGCGAAGTCGGTCGATGAAACGTGCTTTTGTATCCTTGTAAACTAAGCTATATTCTGCAATAGAATAATTCTACGACGCTGTAGATGCAAAATTTTCTTGCAAATTGTCTAGTGTCGCCTCTTGTTACATTCTACTCTTTGATAAAAGCCGGTACACGCCACTTTGTGTATTTTAGAAGAAAATAAAAACCTAACCTAACCTAACACAACCTAGCCAAACCTGACCTAACCTAACCTTGCGAAGGTGTCTCGTCAACATTAGATCTCCCTTGTATTAAATAATTAGACAAAGCAGTAAATAACCTAACCAAACCTGACCCAACCTAACCTTGCGAAGGTGTCTCGTCAACATCAGATCTCCCTTATATTAAATAATTACACAAAGCAATAAATATCACATATTTTATTACACATCTTACAATATTACATTTCTACACCCTTCCATAATTTCACAATTACAATAAAAATGTTACGATAATTTTTTTACACGTCACAACAATTACCACAACATTTACAAACACGGAATATTGTTCTTTCGGTATAATATTCACATATTTAAGAAAATAATTATCGTTAAAATTTGTTCATATAAAAATTTATTATCAAACTTGATCACTTATTTTGTTAATTACTCCTGGGTCACTTTTTTTTTTGTTGGAATCAAACAACCGTCGCGTTTTGTTTGTGGCTTCTTCGGTAGCTGGATCGTGTCCTGAAATTTTGCGTCTGGCTTTCTGTCATTTCGTGCTTCCAACGACTCGAAGACGATTTGAAACGTACTGTAAAAGAAATTTAAGTAATTTATAATGAAAGACCTCTGGTGGCAGAATTGAGAAGCCGAGGCGATTCTTGTCTCTTGCGAGAAAAGGCAAAGACAGCAATAATTTTACTGATGCTGAATGAAGAAGCTTGTATTTTTCAAGATCTTCGTGCAATTGTATCATTTGGTAGCTTGATTTTTGCAATTTGAAACGTTAGCAATATATTTTTACATTGAGAGATTTGACATATTTTCATATTGTCAAGAGTCAAATTGCAAAATTTAGCTCTGTGCTGAGGCATTTAATTGTACAAAGGATATTTTGAAAGAGAAAGCAAGTGAAAATGTTGCTGTCCTTGTTTTTCTTACATTAAGCAACGCAGAAAGACAAGGATAGTCGACGTTTCTCAATTTCGCCGCCAGAGGCGCTGCAAGTCGATTCAAAGATGGTCGTTCACTCAACTGAACAATTATTCAATAATTGCATCAACATGACTCGTTTGCAATATGACAAGAATGAAAATTTTATAAAAATGTTTATTATCAGTACCACCATCTAGAGTTGCCCTGAATCGAACATAAAATATCTGAATAATTCAGTATTAAATCACCTGAATTGTAGGGTATAATATCTGATCGTTGATCCATGAATTCCTGCAGCTGACGATTTCCACTGTTTTTTAATTCCCATTTACATATGACTAACTGGAAATAAACGCGAAATCTGCGACAGAAAAATGTGATATAAACTCAAGAGAAAAATGTGATATAAAATCAAGGATATTCATGTATTTATTGTATGAAGAGAGTAAAGAGATCGACGAAGGAGAATCTCGTTATATTGCCGCTGATATTCTGAAGAGAATTTTGAGAATATAAGGCATTGTAAAATAGACTTACCTATTGTTCATCCAGTAATATATGATGGGGTTTACCATAGCATTTGACATGGCGAACCAGTAGAAGCTTAAATAGACGTGTTGAATATAACTGGTCTCCGTGAAGTGTCTGTGGTGATATAGGAAAATGAAAATGGCTTGGTATGGCAGCCAGCAGATTGCGAATATTGTTACTACTATTATGAACATCTTCACAACCTGCAAAAATTCGTGGAATACATAAATATTAAATAATTCGGTTTCAATATTATAATTATTATTTTTAATAAATTGTTATATACATTTCGATATATTGCATACCTTACGTTTGGACTTTATCGATTTCTTCTGATTATAAGTCAGCTCTCCTATGGATTTCGAACCCCACAGCTTACGTCCCATGAACGAGTAACATATCGCCATTACTGTCATAGGTATTAAGTATGTTACGCTCAGAAACACTAAATTATAGCTGTAAAAAGTTAATACCGCATAAAATGGATCTTTGCTCTTCATATCGTGGTAAATTAATAATGTATAGTAGGTATAAAACACAGAGGAAAGAGAGGGACATTGCACATGACTCAGACGGTTAGAAAATATCACTTGCAACAGTCCCACAGCTCTCGAAATAAAAGTTCCCTGGGAGAATAAAAGTGATTCCCCTTGGAAACTTTCCAGAGAGTTTGTTTAAGAAGTATTAAGGAACATCTTGTTGTTTCTGACTGTGAAAGGGATGTGAAGCGATACACTATAAACCGGTGTGAATTATGGGACTAAGATAACCACGTCGTTTTAAATCGCTGTTACGACGCCATTTTAAAGTACTGTTAGGAAGCCATTTTAAATCGCTGTTTCGAGACGTAATTATCTCAACAGGGTTTCAGATGAATGAAAAATTTGATGGAAATTATTGTTTGTGTGTGTTGAAACATGTGTTGTTGATAGTTAAAAATTATCCTGCTAATTGTAAGATTTATTCAATTTATCAGTGAAAATTAAAAAGTTATTTATTATTAAAAATTGAAAGGTTATCAAATTTATTGAGTGAGATGAGATTCGTCACAGAAAACATGCAGTTATTTTGCAAAAGAGAGGTTAGAAGGAAAGTCTGATGGGACTTCGTCAACAAAATGACGGACCTCTACGTCAACAAAATGGCGGACCTCTACGTCATCAACATGGCGTACTCGCGTCATATGACTCCGTCCAAAGCATACTTAATATTATTAAAAGAACAAATAATATTTATTAGCTTAAGTAATAAATGATTAATATAATAGTCACAGTAAATAATACTTTTAATAAATTTACATGCAACTGTCACAAATATTAAACATTACTTACAAGTATTCGATCTTGCTATTCAAGTACGATCCATCCGGCCACAGAAGATAACACGAAATTCTGCTCCTTCCATTTGAATATCTGTAGCAATTAAGTCACTAAGCAATTTACTAAACTAACTCCTAGCTACAAGCTAAATATTACGACGGACATGTATTGTAATTAAACAATCCATAAATATACCTTCTGGACTCGGTTGTGGAATACAATAAACACGGTAATGCTAACACTGATGAAATGGTCCATATTAGGAATACAATTATTACTGTTCTTTTACGAGACATGCGGTGCTTGAGAGGTCTCATTATGGCCATATATCTGGAACAATATATAAATACTTATTTCGGGATCTAATATTTTACTTTATACACTTTTTTTTATTTTTGATAATTGTAGATATAGTTCATTTTAATATATTCAACTCTAAGTGAATTTGTTATGAAATTTGTTACAAATGCAACCCTAAGGGAATTTGTTATAACATCTGTTATAAAATTTGTTACAAATGCAACTCTAAGGAAATTTCTTATAACATTTGTTATAAAATTTGTTATAAATGCAACTCTAAGTGAATTTGTTATAAAATTTGTGACAAATGCAACTCTAAGTGAATTTCTTATAACATCTGTTATAAAATTTGTTACAAATGCAACTCTAAGTGAATTTGTCACAAAATTTGTCACAAACCAACCACTTCACTTGTACCTAAAAATTTGTTTAAACTATATAACACGAACTCTATAACAATTTCAATTAATTAAAATTTATAACTGTTATTATAAATGTATACAACTTGCTAATTATATTTAATAAGCATATCTAATGAACTCGATCAAATGTATATGTTTTAAAGAATGCAGGTTAATAAATTATTTAAATTGCATGTCTTCTGAAAATAAATTATGAAAGCAATTTACGTCAAGCACAGAACAAGGTTATTATTATTTGCAGAATTCTAATAATTTGCCATTTCCACTCCACATTCTAATTTTAATTATTTTCATGATGGTAAGTAGTCCAAGTTTTATGGAACATTTAATGGCGACACTTCGGTAAAATGGTTGCAAGGAACATCTGCTGGAGGTGCTTCAGGACTTTGAGGTTCGATAATGATATCATTACCTAATATTGTAGTTGATTATATCAATGAAGGTTTTAAAGTTTGAAATTTTTAAACTTGCAATTATTTATTATATTATACCTAAATTACCAAATCCCTCTCCAACTCTATAAACTCTCTTTCTCCCCAAATCTCCAAATTCCCCCCGAAAAACATAAAATATCTTCCACCATAAACAACATTAGCTGCAATTTAAGTAGTATTAAAAAAATAATGGCCTGTGCTTGAGAAAAGTAATTCACAGTTTATAGCCACTCTTGACACTTCATTTATGTTTCATTATGTTGATTAAATATGTTTACACGTCTGGGACTGTCAGGAAATTGTACGAATCTTCCCGTCCCGATTCTAATGAAATTCTATAGGCTTATAAAACAGCCAAAAACAAGAGACACGTATTCCTTTTACTCCGCGACCATTCAACTTTAAGGGATGAAATCACCCTCTGTAAATTGGGACTCCGAAGCTATCTCGAAAATTGTTCAGGACAAAAATGTATTGAAATCTGCGAGATCACATGGTGGTACTACATAGTGATCTTCTTAAAAATACAAGACGTAATTCTTGGAAAATAAAGAAACAGGAAAATCAATTTTTTTTATATTAAGCTTTTTATGATTATACACTTTTGTCAGTTATTTTTTTACCGTGTTATTCAAAGCAAGTTTTCAATTTATAGTTTAGTTAAATAAATGGTATTCTCGGAGGGGAAGAAAATTGCAGAATTTCATAAAAATAATGCAACTTCCATCTCCTGCGTATGAAACGGGGTCGAGTAGCAACCTGAAGCTTAAAGTAATGAATTTAAATATAATTCTACATCACGTAGCGTACGGAAGTAAACGCGTAAAAAGTAATGGAAGAACATTGAGGGGTTAATTTCTGAAAAATTTTCAATATCCAACTAGTAAAATTTAGTCTTTCGAAGGATTCGAAAGTTTGATCACAGAGTAAACCAGAGGCGACTCTCTGTCGGCACCTTTGATCTCTCGAAAACCTCCCTTTAAATTGATTGTACAAACGAGCGGGAAATTCAAATCGAGTAAAACTCCATTTAAAATGTCCTCTGTGTCGCCTTTTGTTACATCTATTGTCTGGAGTGGTAGTAAAAACTTACCTATCGAAAGATATTACGACCAGTGTGAGGACACTCGAGGCAACCGTCACGTGCGCCACGAAGTTGTTAATAGTGCAATATACCACGCCGAACGGCCAATCAGAGTTTAAAAGAAAAATGAAATTAAAGGCGCAGTTGAGCAACGACATCATCAAATCCGCTATGGAGAGGTTGACCAAGAAGTAATTGGTCACTGTGCGCATCCGTCGGTGTGCTGAAACATTTATTACACCATAATTCATCTCTCGTTATGCAATATAACTAGTTTCGTATTAAACAAGTTTGCTAATTGTTTCAAATGCAAACTACAGTTACTTGGAAAGCTTCTTTCTTTATTGAGACGTTCTTATAGGTTAAGCATAACCTAATTTGATTGGGAAGTTTACTGCTCTTTGTACTATAAGCATAACCTAACTTAATTGCATCGTTTTAGAATTATTCAAGTTTGAAAATAAATTAGGTTAGATTCCGATGAGAAGGTTCCTTGATGAGGAGGTTCATTCTTGCTTACCTAACCTAACCCTAACTCCAACATAAACCTAAAACTAACCTAACCCTAACTGTAACCTAACCCCACTCTAGGCCTAACTCTAACCTAACCCCAACCCCAACTCTAATCTCACCCTGACTCTAACCTAACCCTAACTCCAACCTAACCCTAACCTAACCCTAACTCCAACAAAACCCTAATTCTAATCTAACTCCGACTCTAATCTAACCCAAACGCTAACCTAACCATAACTCTAACCTAACCCTAACCCCAACTCCAACCTAGCCTAACCCTAACTCTAACCTAACTCTAACTCTAACCTAACCCTAACTCTAACCTAACTCTAACTCCAACCTAACCCTAACCCTTAACCTAACCCTGACTCCAACCTAACCCTATAAACATAACCTAACACTATTCAAAAATAATTTGAATAATTTAAACTCAATAACCTAACCTGAAATAAATATCAATAATTAAATATATAAACAATAAACAATTATTATAAATTAAACTGAACACATGTGCTCGCAAATGTGTTAATTTTTAATCGCCATCTTAAATGCAAGCATCCAACAAAATGGCGACGTCTGAAGTCGTTTGTAAATTCGCGACAAATGTACTGCAAGGAAGTGTCTTCTTAGCAGGGTCACGGTTGTGTCCGCTCCAAAACCTTGTACTAGAACAGCAAATCCACAAGAGTAGAAATTTTCTGGAGAACCGAATGGAGATGTGGTAATGGAGAAATGTGGCTGCTATATATCTAGCTTTTCCTTGCCCCTTTCTACCTTACATTCCTTGTCCGTATTTTACCGTCAATTTGCAGTTTACAGTCAATTTATAGTAGTATGGTAGTGAAGTAATGGAACAGTGTTATGAAACACTGAAATAGTGTAGTAATAAGTGGTATAGTAATATAGTATCATAGTAAAACATTCCAACGTTAAAATAAGTCAACGAACGTCGAAATCGCGAAACAACAAAACACATTAAACGATGAAACAAGTTTTGATACAATTTGATATAATAGAAACACTCATGGAACGTTTGCATATCAAACATAACGACATCGTCCCGGGAAGAAAACAAATTCGCCATTAAATTGCTTTTCGCGCGGCGAGAAAAAAACGAGAGAGGGAAAAAACCCCGGGACAAATTCGATGGAAAATGGGGGACACGTAGGAAATATAGAAGTTATCCGTAGTTGTCTCCCTCGAAAAATAACCTTCCGCTAAACTTGCCGCGCCATGTGTTACGATACACTCGGACATACAGTAATTTCAGCAATTTCCCGGTATCTCTTTTTGCAGACGCAATTGCAACGAACTTAATATCGATTAACCGATGCAGACGTTTATTATAGAAGAAAATTGTAACGCTTCCAGATGAACAGGTTAACTCGGACGGGGGAAATTGGAATTAACTACTTGTTGCTTCGTGCGTGAGCCGCCATTATGTTGTTGCACGTCGTATCGACAGTTTCAAAATGGAGGAAGTGTCAGATCGTGGTATATCAATTACGGGAATCGATTTAATGGTTCATAGGGGTGATTATGGCGTTCGATTAGTGTTTTGAAGGCAGGGGGGATTTTGTTGACGTTGGGATTTTGGGTTATGTACGTTTGTAAGATTTAGGTTAGGTTTTATATTCGAGAGTTGGGACATCTTAAACCTTCAAACCAACAAGACCATTAAACGTCTGAATCCCTCATCCCTAAACCGCCTGACCAATAGAACCACTGAACATCTGAACTTCTACGTCCCTAAATCCCTAAACTTACAAACCCACAACCCCTAAACCACTACATATTTACACTTCTAAATTCTTAAACTCCTAAACTCCTAGACATTTAAACTTCTAAATTCTTAAACTCCTAAATCCTTACACCTCAAACTTCTAAATTCTTAAACTTCTAAACCCCTGCACCCCCAAACTTCTAAATTCTTGAACTCACACTCTACTACACCCTTAAATCTCTAAATTCTTAAACTCCAAACCCCTACACCCTTAAACTTTTAAATTCTTAAACTCATAAACTACTACACCCTTAAATTTCTAAATTCTTAAACTCCAAACCCCTACACCCCTAAACTTCTAAATTCTTAAACTTGTAAACCCCTGCACCCCTAAACTTCTAAATTCTTAAACTTCTAAACTCCTACATCCCTAAACTTCTAAATTCTTGAATTTCTAAATCCTTACACCCTCAAGCCCCCAAATTCTTAAGCCTCTAAACTTTTACACCTTCAAACTTCTAAATTCTTGAATTCCTAAACCCTTACACTTCTAAACCTCCAAATCCACAAAGCCCCTGAACCATTACACCCCTAAACTTCTCAATTCAGAAACTTCTAAACCCCTCCACCCCCAAACGCAGATCAGAACCTGCAGTCTTCCCTCCAAATTAGCCTTCTCAATTTCCTACCACAGTAAATTGATCCACTGAACTCGTCAAGATTTGCGGACGAAGCTTCGAATTCGCATATCAACCTCGAGGTTGATATTTATCCAACATGGAGAATCGCCACAAGCCTGCTTTCAAGATACCAGACAATACTTCCAGATAACACGTTGAACACATTGAATTACAGACGGAAATCGTTTTTATATCGCCGTAGACTGTTTATCTTCTGCTCGGATCAGAAGTGGCCCAGCTTTGTTGACGGACGATTAATCATGGATGTAATCCGGATAAGACTGAAGATATATCGAGGGTTCAGTGATGCAAGTCGACCATCTGTCAGCCGTGTGTGACAGAGAAGGTCACTTAATCACAGTTCTGTCCCATCAAAGTATCACTTATTTATTTTACTGTGGAATACTTGACACGACACCACGTACGACTATAAAATTTTAGGACCCCTCTCTGAGGAAACTATTGAGTTCCCACACGTAGTTCCTTTGCAAATTTTTATTCTTTCGATGGGTATTCGATGCGACGTTATTTGGATTTGACCTTGAAACTGGGGGTCAAGGTCGATTTTTAGCTTGTTTTATTCTGCAGATGTTGGCTGATTTGAAAATATGGGGATTGTGAGGGTTTTTAATGTGGATAGCTAAGTTATTGAAAGGTGAGGATATTAGGAAGTAGCTGAAAGTCAGCTGTTCAGATTGATACCAAACTGACATTTCAACATTCTTTGTCTATTTTAATTTTGCTGATTAGTTCTGACAAGTCATAGGCTATGTGTCAATATCAGGATCCACATTCATCACAAAAGCAATCTCCTATTAGTTCATTTTTCCCATTGAAAAACTTCTCCCGGGAACCAGGTGTCCATTTAATTTCCAAGCTCCATGTAAACGGCTGTCAATACCGAAAGGTACTTGTAAAGCATTCTTCATAGTTCCAGCGGGTTGAAATCCTGTTAAAATTGACGCATGCCAATTGAGCACAATGTTCCTCGTAAAGCGGCAGCAGAAGATTGCAGAAAGATCGATGTCTGGGGGGGAAACGACATAACCGTAAGTCGATCTCTCGTCGCGCGAGATAAAAGAAAGAGTCGAAATTTGTCTCTCTCGTTGGCAACAGCTTGACGGGGTAATGTAGTGGAGGGCGGTGGTTGGGATTAGGTGAATAGGAGCGGGTCACTTTCGTAGCCACCTCCTCCCGACACTACGGTAATCGATATCGTTTTCTAGAGATTGTACAAGTTTTATAAAACAGACACTGTGTCATCCGCGTTGGATACACTTCTTCCGTAGCGACGTTTTCTTCCTACGCTAAACGCTTTTTATTGTTCGCTCGAACGTTTGCTAAGTTCTGAGAAGATGCACAGTGACAGAAGATATTAAATCGGGAACGGTTATGAAATATACGGTTTCAGGCGCAACTTGTGGAGAAGTACTGGTTTTTATTAAGAGTAGACTGGGTGTGATTTTGTAGTACAAAAGCAGTGAAACCATTCGTCAGATTAAAACGTATACTCTATGCAAAATGAATGCATAAATATTAAGATTTTAAGGCACGGTTCATTAAGGTTTTTAGTACAGAATGGCCGAGTAATTAAGGCTAACGACAAGTTTTTAAACATATGAAGTTTAATATAGTTTTGTGATGCCAAAATGGCACTTATAGCACATCAAATTAAAGCTTGAAGCTTCACAAAAATGCCCACGAAGTTTGTTTATTATAGCTCTTAGTACAACGTGATAATTACCATTCATAGTTAGGTCTAACTGATTTGCGAACGTGTACAGTCTCATACAATTTCATGACAGAAAAGTATCTCAAAATGTCTCCCTAAGTATATTCGTTTCAATGTTCAGGATTGTCAAAGACAACTGCATGAAAATTTCATGAAAATTTTAAGCACAAAATGGCTGACATCCACATTCATGAGGACATCACCCGGTCTGGGAACCTTACTTTGAAATGTGTGTAGTCTAACATAATTTTATGACATAAAAGCATCTCCAAATGGCCCCCAAAGTACATCAATTTCAAGGTTCAGCTTTTCTAAAGATAATTGCATAAAAATTGCAGAAAATGGCTGACAACATTCGTATGGACAAACATCTACGTCACAGTTTAACATTTCTGACAGCAGTGAAATTCGTCCAATTGATTTTTAATCCCGTCACAAGTGTAATAAAAATTAATCTTGTTTGAGAGACAGGAATTCAATATCACAGATCTTCCATCAGGATCAAAACAAATTGGAAAGTGAAATATTTGTTATAAATACAAGGTGATCGTTTTATCGGCGCGATAATGGAGGGGATCGAAATGAACGAAAAGGAAAGCAACAGTCGACAAAATCGATGGGGTGCTATTTAATTTGGGGCGAATGTAATTAAAGTCGAACGTGAAGGGAACGTTTGCTCTCTGCAATGCAAGGTGGAGGAATGCGTACGGTAAAGTACATGGTAGAGGAAATAAGAAGTTATTAACAAAATGGCTCCGATTTCAAAGAATCGTATGAATAGGATAACAGTTCTTTCTTTAACGGCACAGAGCTACCAATGTATTTTTCTAGAGCACATGGAAACGATGGTCTATTGTTCAAACGTAACACAAAGCTGCGATGTATTTTTCCACGGTGTGTTGGAGTACATTTCTTTTTTGACAATGGCATTGTGAGAGTAACGAGGAGGTTCACAATTTGCTTTTAAGAGAAACAGAGGAAATATCAGGTTACAAATATTTATTATTGTTCTTGACGTTATTAGTATTATTATCTTGAAATCAGGTGATTTACTTAACAAGTTTTAATAATAGTGTTCAACAAATTTATGTATGCTTGGTAAGCTTTTAATATAATAATTAGTATGTTCAATAATAATTACAATTATAATAATTAATTTGATTAACTAATAATATTATTTAAACAATTCAGTAATCTCATAATTAATGTTTCCGTGTGTCAACTAATTTTCAAATTACATAGCTGACTATTTGTTATAAATTATAAAAGTAACACTTAATTAAAAATTACTTGAAGATAAAACCACTGGAAGATTTTCTAAAAGCAGGAAAGAACAAAGGTAAGTTAAGATAATAGGAAGTTAAAGAATCCGATGGAATGAGGTATCTAGCGCTGCAGAAGTAACACCCTTATCGTTCAACGCAATAACGCTCGATTTCCTCTCTCAAGGTAGCTGCAAGAATCACATCGATTCAGCTCGAATAGTTTTCTAATGATATCACTTTTCCGTTTAATTTGGGCGATGCGGAAAGTACAGTGACGTAAAATGTGAAATAAGAGAAGGTTCGTTAATGTTGGAGAATTCAATTTTCATTATAAAATTGTTAGTTGATATTTTTGTTATGTGTAATGTACTGCTGTGTAGAAGGAAGATTGTGAAGGTGGAGGAGAAGATAAGAAGATGAGATAACGAGATAACAAGGTAACAAGATAGTAAGATAACAAGATAACAAGATAACGATATTAGAAGATGATAAGGTAACAAGACAACAAGGTAACAATATAATAAGATGATAAGATAACAAGATAAAAAGATATCTAGTTAGCCAGATACCTAGACACCCAGATAGTCAACTAGATATCCAGATACCTAGATGACCGGATATCTAATTAGCTAGATACCTAGATAGCTAGATACCCAGATACCTAGATGACCAGATACCTAATTAGCTAGATACCTAGATGACCAAATACCTTATTAGCTAGATACCTAGATGACCAAATACCTCATTAGCTAGATACCTAGATGACCAGATACCTAATTAGCTAGATACCTAGTTAGTTAGATACCTAGATACCCAGATACCTAGATGGCCAGATACCTAATTAGCTAGACACCTAGATGACTATATACCTAATTAGCTAGATACCTAGTTAGTTAAATTCCTAGATACCCAGATACCTAGATGACCAGATACCTAATTAGTTAGATACCTAGATGACCAGATACCTTATTAGCTAGATACCTAGATAACCAGATACCTAATTAGCTAGATACCTAGATGACCAGATACCTTATTAGCTAAATACTTACATGACCAGATACCTAATTAGCTAGATACCTAGTTAGTTAGATACCTAGATACTTAGATACGTAGATACTTAGATACTCAGATACATAGTTAGCTAAATACCTAGATACTTAGACACCCAGATACTTAGATACTTAATCAACTAGATACCTAGATAGCTAGATATCTAGGTACCTAGATACCCAGATATCTAGACACCTACACTCGTAGACACATAGATACCAAGCTACATAAAACAGATTGTAAAAGACACACAAAATATGCAAAGTCCCAAACAGCAGCATGAACGCCTCCAGACATCAACGTATCAGAAAACCAATAAATCAAAGCAACTGCAAAAAAACCTCCGAACAAAAACCCATAAAAGAAACTCAGTCTCCGCAAGTTCAGCAGAAAGAAAAAAGTCGAAGTTTTATTCTCACTTATATCGAAACACGCTAGAAAGAAACTCTTACCTAGCACGATCCAGATGACAATAATATTCCCTCCAGTGGCAACCAACAACATGGCGGCGTACAGCAGTGACCAGCAAAGCTTCTGCCACCATGGGAGGTCGAACGGCCGTTCTTGATAATTAAAAAGGCAATCGAAAAACGCGTCACGTAGGGCCTCGTGTTCGGTCGATCTGTCGAGAGCATCGCCCAATACGCTGAGAAGCTCGCTGCGATTCAACTTCAGCAGGAACGTGACGTTGCGATCGAGCACCGTGGCACTGCAGTTGTACAAACTGTACAAGACCAGATTATTCATATTCAACGAGCCGGTTTTATTTCAATGTTGAAAGTCGAGATCCTCCCGGGGGAACGTTGCATTAAAGGAGAACGTTATTCTCTTCTCTTCGTCGATGATTTACATCACAGTTGTTCTCCGTCCCGAGCGACGGTACCAAGCGGCGAACTAACAACAGCACTCTCGTAAACTGAATTCCGTGGCTTCTACAGAGATCACAACTCGTCGAATACATTTTTGCGCAAGTTTGCTTCGACGTTTCGTTTTCCGGTCTTGTGTCGAAAGTTTAACGGGGATAACAACCTGCAAAGCCGACAAGTTTCTTTGGGGATGTTTTAGGGGTGTTTCGGGGATGTTAGGATTTATTTGGATTAGGATACGTGACGAGTTTTATTTATTTCTTACTTTCAGAGTTTTATGTACTTCTTAATTCGCAAGCTTCTGGTTTTGGAATTTGGGGATTTACAAATCTTAAGAGTTATTTTATAAGCTTTCGAATTACAGAATTAATTCTTCAATTTTTAGATTTGTAAATTATCAGATTTCACGCGGTATTAAATTCTTTGATTTCATCTTAAGTCACTAAGTTCTGAAATTTCATTAAGACATAAGGTTCTCAGATTTCATCCTAAGACATCAAGTTCTCAGATTTCATCCTAAGACATCAAGTTCTCAGATTACATTAAGTGATAAAGTTCTCAGATTTCATCCTAAATCATCAAGTTCTCAAATTTCATCCTAAGATATCAAATTCTCAGATTACATTAAGTCATACAGTTCTCAGATTTCAACTAACACATCAAGTTCTTAAATTTCATTAAGTCATAAGGTTCTCAGATTACATCCTAAGATATCAAGTTCTCAAATTTCATTAAGTCATACAGTTCTCAGATTTCATCCTAAGCCAGCAAATTCTCAGATTACATTAAGTGATAAAGTTCTCAGATTTCATCCTAAATCATCAAGTTCTCAAATTTCATCCTAAGCCATCAAATTCTCAGATTACATTAAGTGATAAAGTTCTCAGATTTCATCCTAAGCCATCAAATTCTCAGATTACATTAACTCATGAAGTTCTCAGGTTTCATTCTAATTCCTCAAGTTCTCAAATTTCATTAAGTCATCAAACTCTCAAATTTCACGACCCCTAACCTCACTAAATTTGCACACAACTACATCTTTAAATCACCAAATCTCAAAATACACATCCACCATTTTGTACATCGTACGAAATACCGCAAACCAGATTTGTAATATTGTTAAACAATTTCGCCGTAATTTTAGCGCGCCAATACGTGCAGCGAGATGAAAGTTGAGAATTAGTATCTGAAACTACAATCGCGCTGATTGAAACGAGCTTGTTGTTGCACGGCGAAGCTTGTAGTTTGGCTGCGTGTTGATATCGGTGTTAATCGATCGGAATCCGAGCAAACACGGCTATAAGATTGGAAATAATCTTTTAACAAAAAAAAGGAATTAAAAAGTGGATGTCTCTCAAACTATGACTCTCGAATTTTCCTCCAACCCTTCTACCCCTTCCAGTTTCCATCGAAACCTTCAAACTAGATTTAACAGTAAAGTTTTAATCAACAGATGTACAACGATACAAAGGTGTTCACGTTTCGTCTTAAATGTAGTACAGATAATTGGTTCCTTTATCGCGAATATACAGTAGATAGTTATATTCGATGCTAAATCATTCCGGGTGGTAGGACATTCAAGCCTTAGGCAAATAAGACCGCAAAGGGTTAACCCCTCCCCGTATAACAGCTCTCGCTTAAATCACAGAATATAGTCGCGACGGCACATATAGATCATGTGAAGATTAGAATTCTACTTTGCGAATTTCAACGTCTGAAGGAGATTGAGGACCTTACAGTTCCTTGATACAAACACTCATAAATTTCTACGTCACCTGGAGAATTTATGAGTTTATGGAGTTTCACAATTTTTTACGGTTGTGGAATTTTCACATTTGTCAGATCGTGAAACTTGAACATTTTTTAAGATTTGAAAATTTTGTAACATTTTAAAATTTTAAAATTTTGTAAGATTTGAAAATTATGAAAATTTTGTAACATTCTGAAATTTGAAAATTTTGTAACATTTAAAAATTTGAAAATTTTGTACGATTTGCAAATATGAAAATGTATAAAATTGCAAGCCTTGAAAAATTGTAAAATTGTAAAACTTAAAACAGTGCAAAAATTTGAATATCTCCAACTCTCCAATTTTCTAAAATTCGTAAATTTGTCGACAAACAAAGTTTGTAAAATTTGAAAATTTTCAAAATGCGATAAACGACGAATTTAATTATTTGCAGCATTGAAAGGGTACACGTGAAAGTTCGAAAATCTGAAAGTTCAGTATAGATGCCTGTCCGAAGCAAGAAACTTCTTTCTTTCTCGATTTCCGCCATTTATAAACTTTCCAAAATTTCTTAAACTTCGTCTACAGTCTCGGTTTTCTAGGATATAAATCAATATTGGTTTTACTTTGGTAAAGAAAGTTTTTAAATTTAAAGTTTATTTCTAATTTAAACTCTGTTAAGATGACGCTAATTCAATGTTGTATCATTTTATATGTTTGGAAGCATAAATGAAATTTAATATGGACATTAATTTATAATTTATGACATTATATGTAGATATGTATAGAGTCATATTTGTAGAGTCATGTGTGTGGAGTCATATGTGTACAGTCATATGTGTGGAGTCATATGTATAGAGTCATATATATGGAATCATATGTGTACAGGCAAATGTATACAGTCATATATGTAGTCATATGTGTACAGTCATATGTGTAGAGTCATATGTGTACAGTCATATGTATACAGTCATATGTGTAGAGTCATATGTGTAGAGTCATATGTATACAGTCATATGTATACAGTCATATGTGTACAATTATATGTATACAGTCATATGTATAGAGTCATATGTGTACAATCATATGTATACAGTCATATGTGTAGAGTCATATGTGTAGAGTCATATGTATAGAGTCATATGTGTACAGTCATATGTATAGAGTCATATGTGTACAGTCATATGTATAAAGTCATATGTATACAGTCATATGTGTACAGTCATATGTGTACAGTCATATGTATAGAGTCATATGTATAAAGTCATATGTACAGAATTATAATTAATGTTACCTCTGAATATTGTTATAAATATATGGAGTCACATATACAGAGTCATATGTATAGAGTTCTATGCATACATAAAGTCACATGTATAGGGTCACATATAGAGAGTTATACAATAAAGTTACAATCAACGTCACCTCTACATCGACTCTCCTCTCAGTGCATCTTACAACAAAAGTCCATTTGCCCCACGTCCATCAACTCATTAACTGCATTTCACACATTTCTTTTACCGTCCCAATTAACCAACACAAGTGCATCATGACAACATATCAAATAAAAACTGAACCGCTCAAAAAACCATCATACATTTCCCCATTCACCAATTATTTCGCGCGAAAACGTGGACCATCTATCCAGATATCCAAATATATCACCGCGGTCCCGCCTCCCCTTTGAACCGTCCCGGATTTCAGTTATCGTTTCGTCTCGATTGCAACGGGATCCACGTCGATCCTCCACGGATCGTGATCCAATCTGTACCATTCCCAAGAACCGCGGGCGAGCAACTGAAGCCACTTGAAAATCGTGTTCATTCAAAGATGCGTGCGCAACGACTTGCGCCCTCGTGTACTCCCGCGACTTGCAGCTCTCCTCTTCACTGTCGAGCGTTTAGACGCTGTCAGCTGACAAGGTAAATAGGGAGATATTGCCGAATACCGGCACGTATTCGTTGATTTATACAGAGAACTCGCTACAACGTTATTACACGCTGGAAGAAGAAGCGCAGTGTCGAGTAATGCTCTCATAACAGTTGCTAACTGTGCAATTTTAGGTAAATTGCGGGTGATTTGGTGGAGAGGTAATGGGCGTAAGAGAACTTAGGATGGGATGTAGATTAGAGATATGGGATATGGGGATTTGGGATTTGTAGATTGGGGAATTGTAAATTAGGGATATGGAATATGGGGATTTGAGAGTATAGATTTGGTCAGATAGGGTTCTGATGATGTAAGGATCTGGGGATGTGGGTATTTGATTATGGAGAGGTCTGACGATATGGGGATCTGATGATGTAAGGATTTGGGGATGTGGGTATTTGGTGATATAAGGATCTGGAGATGTGGGGATCTGATGATGTAAAGATCTAGGGATATGGGTATTTGATGATGTAGGGATCTGGGGATGTGAGTATTTAATGATGGAGAGGTCTGACGATATGGGAATCTGATGATCTAAGGATCTGGGGATGTGGGTATTTGATGATGTAGGGATCTGATGATGTAGGGATCTGGCGATATAGGAATACAATGAAGTGAGTTATGTATATACAGGGTTCTAGGCATAGGGAGATATAGGACCCTGAGAATGTAGCGACCTGACGATGTGGAGGTGTGGACGTAGGCATTTGACGACATAGGCATCTCATGATATATGGATTCGACGATATAGGCTAGAGTAGGGTGATCTGACGACGTAGGACTCTGAGAGCGTAGGGATCTAATGATGTGACAATGTGGGGATAGGGCATCTAACTATGTAAGGATCTGATGATATATGGATCTGACGATATAGGCTAGGGTAGGGCAATTTGACGATATGCGACTCTGACAGTATAAGGATCTAAGGACGTGGGGATGTAGGCATTTGACGTCATAGGCTTCTGATGATATATGGATCTTACGATATAGGGTTCCAAGATAGGAAGATCTGTGGATATGGGACTCTAAGAGGTACGTAGTCTGACGATGTGAGGATGTGGGAATGTGGGCATCTGACGATATAGGGATCTGATGTGTGGATCTGACTATGTGCCGATATAGGGATAGGAGAGGATAAGAGGTTCTAGGGATGGTTCGAGGACTCTGAGAGTAGGGACCTGGATGTAGTCACTCGACGATGGATCTGCTGAAACAGGGACCTGCTTATATAGGAGTCTGCTGATCTAGGGATTTTACAATATAGGGAAGAGATCATGTCCCTCAGATAGAGATCAAGAGGGATGTGGTGATATAGGACTTGCCAATATAAGGATCCATCTACGTATACAAGAATGTGACAGTATAATCATCCAATCGACGATGAGATTGGAAATGATCGATCGAGGTTTTGGTACGAAAAAAAAGAATCTGCGTGGACACGATCGGGTCTAATTATAATTATAGTGGGAGGTGCGCCTCTATAGCGCAAACAAATTTATTGTACCTAATGTAATTAAACAGCCGAGACGTGCTGAAATTGACAATATATCTTCCGAACGGCTTTCGAGCTGGGCTACTTTTACAGTTTTATGTACTTGGTTTCTTTCACTACAGTATGTCGGCAAAGTACCGGAATAAATTTAAGGAAAACTAGCACCATCTGTTAAAATATGTTATCTAAAAACAGTACCTCCCCTGCAAAACACAACAATCATTGGAATCGAGCAACAAATAAACTTACCTGTTTCTATATCCTCCAAATTTTGACTTATCTCCACGTGATTACTTTTTCCAAATCTGAAGTTAGCTATAAAAGGAAGGTTTTGTGACACCATGCGTCGTAATTCCACGCGTCGTAGTTCCGTGCGCCGTAATTCCACGCGTCGTAATTCCACGCGCCGTAATTCCTCGCGTTATTAATTCCACGCGTTATTAATTCGACGCGTCGTAATTCCACGCCGTTATTAATTCCACGCGTCGTAATTGCACGCGTTATTAATTCTACGCGTCGTAGTTCCATGCGCCGTAATTCCTCGCGTCGTAGTTCCATGCGCCGTAATTCCTTGCGTTATTAATTCCACGCGTCGTAATTCCACGCGTTACTAATTCTACGCGTCGCAATTCCACGCGTCGTAATTTCACGCGTTATTAATTCCACGCGTTATTAATTCCACGCTTCATAGTTCCATGCGCCATAATTCCACGCTTCGTAGTTCAATGCGCCGTAATTCCTCGCGTTATTAATTCCACGCGTTGTAATTCCACGCGTTATTAATTCCACGCGTCGTAATTTCACGCACCGCAATTCCCCGCGCTGCAATACCACGCGCCGTAATCTCTTCCTAGGAAGAGAAGTCCAATCAGCTGTTAAGGGTGATTGCTCCTAGTTACAGATTGCTGAGAAGTCGATACTAGATTGTTCAGAACGTGATTATTGCTCACTACTCGATCACTGTTTAATATTCGTCGCTCATACATCACTCGCCCTACGCAGTGCAGGGAAAGAAGATAAATGGATGAAACGCTCTGAACGTGCTGATATGCATATGTACTTGTTGGACGGAGCTGCTGAACCTACGTCTTGAACGCAGAGTTGGAATTAGGTCGGAGGGTATATACATATATGGGTATATGTTCAACTAGAGTTGAAATGGATTAGAATGTTTAGTAGCTGTTGAGCATAATCCCTTTAGTAGCGAATGTCGGGCATTGTTGCACTACATCCTCATTAATGATTGCTTAGTATTCATTTTTGATTGAATGTGGTCTATAATTATTTAGCATTGTTAGGACAGTATGTGCTTGAGTGAACTGTTGATGAAGTGTAATATTTGTGTATTTGATGAATTGTATCCACATCTAGTTTATTATTTTATTTTATATTAAGCATAATTATATAATAATATGAATTAGTGTTGATAAATAAAAATTGAAATAACAAATGTTTCATGTTTGGATTAGAGTCCAACATATAATATTTGACAAACAGTTTTTGTGCATATAAGTAATACCATTTGAATGTCATAAATTTCATTCTACTCTGATATTTAAATTACATTGCATTGCAAAATCAGGAGATATCGACTTGGATTAATATCTTGAGTTGCATAGTGTAATATATTATACGAAAGTTGCAAGTTTCTGAGGAGAAATGGGAAGATGATTCTCATGGTTATTCATTTGCGTGGGAAATAAATGGCTTAGTAGAGAGGACTAACGACCCCTAACGGTGAAACTCTGAAGTTCCACACTATAGCTGTCCTTGTCTCTCCTTCCCTGGAAGACGGCATCATCGATGTTTTTAATTAAAAAATGCAACATTTTTGCAAACTTTCTTCTCCAAAATATTATGTATGCCTCAATAAATTTCTGTATTGAACCCCTTCTTACAAATTACCATGAAAAATTTAATAAATAATAAAAATCTATGACAATGTAAGCCTACTCATAAGTCTACATGAAAATATTTAATATCATGTACTTATAACAACGTACTAAACTTCTTAAAATTACTTAAACTACAAAAATTCAATAAATAATCAATTAGATTGTACAATCATCGCCATCTGCTGGCACCTCACACATCTCTTCCCATTCAACATTCCTTACCGTTTGTTTTCAAATAGTGTAAAATTCATTAAAAATGCGGATTAAGAAAAAGGGAAACACAATTAGAGTTCCACCACTGCAAAAGAGCATAAGAGTTAAACGAAAATCAGATGATGAAGAAGAATCAACAGTAACAAAGGCCATAAGGAATGTTAAACAAGTTTTTGAGGTTAGACAATGAAGCCAACATAACCTATCTCTTATATTTTCCTGTATAATATTGATTAAAATGAATGATCTTTGTTGTAGAAAAGGAATGTGGAAAAGCCAAAACTAGTTTCTGATGTGAAGTTATTCAAAAAACGTAGGGAATTTATACAGAAGAAGAGAAAACCAATTAAGAAAGTGAAGAGTATAACAGGATTGGTATACGTAGGACATATACCTCATGGTTTCTATGAAGAAGAAATGGCTGATTATTTTAAACAGTTTGGAAAAGTGAACAGAGTACGAGTTGCTCGATCAAGCAATGTAAGTGTATTCGTTTCACATCATGCATACAATTTTTAATAGCTTTTATAACAATATTTTAATTACTCTTATAGACTGGCAAGAGTCGTGGTTATGGATACGTAGAATTTGAACATCCAGAGGTTGCAAAGATCGCTGCAGAGACAATGAATAATTACCTCATGTGTGGCAGATTACTAAAAGGTATATAAAAAAATGTTAAGCTATATAGATCTTTCAATTACTAGATACTAATGTAATACTTTGCAGCTACATATATACCACCTGAGAAACAACATAGTCGCTATTTTCTGGGTGACCCATGGTCAGAGAATACGTATCCTAAAGCACTAAGAAGAGTAAGCGTAACTGGACTGAGAAATAAAGAAATTGACAAGGCTGAGTATGAAAGTTTTGTACAAAGCACCAAGGATAAATTATGTGCTTTAGAGAAGAAATTAAAAACAAAAGGTCTTGACATCAAATTCACACCAGTGGATGATACAAAGTCGTAGTGAATGCATAAATGATACTAGTATTAAGTTTTTTTATTAAGCACAAACAAAAGTTTTGCAGTACAGAAGATTTGAAACTTAAAGAATTAAATTGAAACTACACACATTCTTGGTTATATTATTTTATGTAATACATTATTTACAGATACATTTTTATAAAATTCAGATATTTAGAATATTCAAGAAACGTTAAGTTTTTCAGGTCCATTTCCTAACCCAGCTTTGGTCCTCTTCCACTTCATGCGCCTATTTTGAAACCATACCTTAACCTACAAAAATAAGAAACTATAACCAAATTTATAAGAGTATTAACAAAAGTTATTGTTTGAACTGTAATAATATTCAATAAAGAAAAATACAGCTAGTCATGATGAGTCATATATTATGTCATAAGAAATAAATGTTATATGGACCAAACTATGTTTAAGAAACTTTCATGTAAGACCTGAGACATCAATAAAAAAAAATAATTCTTTTTGTTAAGTTCAGTTTGCGAGTAAATGAAGGCAAGGTTTATTTACCTGACGTTCAGTTAAGTCCAGAGCCACTGCAATTTCATAACGACGTAAACGTGTTAGATAATTGCTATGTGCAAATTCACATTCAAGATGTCTAACTTGTTGTTTTGTAAATGCTGTTCTTTCCTTACGGGGTTTATCACCTGCTAATCTTTTGTTTGTCTCTGGAACAATTTTTCAAATTGCAATGTCATACTTTTGAGTTATTGAGAAGTATAAGATCAGGTTGAGGAGGCAGTGTTATAAGATGGCTTCTCAAAAATTTAAGGACTTTAAGTTGAACAATTGAAAAGTTAATTTTATAGTTATAAATTATAATAGTTGTCCAGAAAGACTGATCTAAAAATGTATTATTGCATGGAGATTATATTGTATTATTGTATGAAGATTCAGTTCAATGTTTGGAAGACTTCAGTCCACATGAAAGCGGCAATATAGCGAGAGTGTACTGTAAATAACTCATATCTCATAAATTTAACAGTGGTACTGTTTATGTAGTGTCTGTAAACATTCAGCTCGTAACTTTGCACCCTAAACGCGTTCTACTTCTGATTTCTTGCCTAGCACTTTAAGATAAGATTTGAAACCGGTGTGAACTTTTTATTCGCCGATGCGGCGGTCAGATGAAAATGGTCGAGCATTCGATGCGTCATTGCCAAGCAGTATCCGCGTCGGCTAATAAACGTGCCGCTCGCATAATGTAGGTTGCTCGAGTCACAGGATCATCTGCGATGATGTATAAAACGTGGTTGGATCGGTAGTGGAGCCCTTAGCCTTGCTTCCGTACCGCTATCTCATCTCCGCTTACAGCCTGACGTCAATTAAGTCAGCTGCTTTTTCACGCAATTTTAATGTCTCCCTTTTGTTTTTATCGGAATTTTGACAAGCGAGTCACCTTGTTAAAAATGTCTTTCACGGAAGATGACACAGAACACTTTTAATAACAACGATAAAAATAATCATTAACAATTTGCTTGTGAGTTACATGCAAAGTTTTTGAAATTTTTTAGGTTATTTTCGAGATAAAAAATAATCGGGCAGACTTTGAGTAACGGACGCCATATTTCATTCTTGCGGAAGAAGCAGGAAGATAGTAAACGTATCCCATAAATAAAAAGTCGTAGCTTCTAAAAATGAGAAGTTTTCGCTTCTTCTGAGTTTGGCACTATCTTCAGTATGAAAAATTATTTATTGGAATTTTTTTTTTAAATAATCTTGAATCATTGCTAAGACGTGTTTGTTACATGAGTACGGAACGAGAGTAATGAAGTTATGCAGTTGGTAAATATTTAGACTGCATTGGCTCTATGATGGCCACATTGGCGACGGTGAAGACATAAACAAAGTTATTGCAATTACAAACGTGTCATCTTAAATACAAGCTGTTTCAGAGTTCTCCAAATTGAAATAAAATTAACTGTCCCTATTTTTCGGTGCGTCACAAGTGCGTCACTAGTTCAATTCGTCAAAATAAATCAGTGCAAATACTTTATCAGTATTGAAAAAAGTAACGCATCAATTTCATGGAACTTCTTTCTTGAAGGAACCAGTGCGTCACGAGTGCGTCACCAGTCCAATTCGCCAAAATAAATTAGCGCAAATATTTAACTAACACAGCAAAAAATGAACATACCAAGTTCTCGATCGATGGAACAAGCTTCTTTCTCGAAGGAGTCGGTGGAGTCACTCGTATACCGCGAGTTTTGCCAGGAACAACATTTAATTTCGTTCTCAATTTTTCCATCGCCATCTTGGAAAGATGGAACTTCCCAGGCACGGAACACTGTCGTGGTCGTCGTTGTGGTAACCTGACGATCTTGTGCCTTTTCGCAAATAAAATTTAGAGACTGTTCCGATGGATCTAAGTCCAGCTTCTCTGCTGACCGTTCTGTGTTGCATTCGCCATTTTGGGAACACTGCTCCCATCTTGTTAACAAAATATGTTTATACGTTATTGTTATATGTGTATTATTTTTTATTCAGCTTGTCCATTATTTTATATAAATTATATGTTATTTGTTACTGAAGTTGTATATCATATTATTATTTAAGTACAACATTTATTATTCATATACTAAAGTTACAATTTTAACAATTTTTTGAGATAATAAAATGAAAATATACACGTCAGAAATGAATGTCTAATATTTTGAAATGTCTTCAACATTATTTTTATACCTGTATATTCTATAGTTGCGATTCGCGTCGCCATATTGAAGATTCGCAGTGCAAGATGGCAAATTTTCGTTCAATGTGTTGATCGATGATGGAACATTTGGGAAATTGTTCCAAGAGCATTTGATGTTCCAGGAGTCCCAGTTTCCAGGGAAATAAGAATTTTGAACCGAGAACGATGTCTGAGGCAAAGTTTCCAAAATGGTTTCTGGGGATCGCTGGTTCGAGTCTATGTCTTCGAACCAAGACATTCTGTGTATGAAATAAATTTTTCTAAACTGTATTTAACTGCAAATGTACAACATATAAACTCACTATATCTTGACAATAAAAAAAATAAAGATAACAAACTATTTACTAAATTCTCATACATAGAACTGGAAGAATTCACAAACAACCAAAAATGAACGATAACAAAATTTTTGTTCAAATCTTGAGTTATGGACTTTGAAAAATTACAAAAGCGCAGAAACCGAAGCTGAAAGTTCACAAAAAAGAAAATCCTTACCTGCCAATGCATCAAAGTCAGAAAATTCCTAAAAATTCTACAATCTCCTCAAAACTAGCCACTTGAATTCACACAAAAGAGGAAGATCTATTAAATATAATAGTTCAGAACGCGCACCTGTATTACCAAGAATAACATAATCGATCGAGGCAAATAAAATACTATCACGCACTTCTGAATAGCCCTAGAGGCAACTTGGAAATGTCAAACAGCATATGATCGTACAGCGAAGAACTGGTGGAAATGTTGGATAGATGCGGTTGGAGAACACAAGTCTTGGAGTCGGAGTAGGGCTGGAAGGACTGACAAATGCTCTCGTAAATTCTTCTAGGTTTAACCAATCCGGACAGATCTGATTCGACAAGAGAGAAACGAGTGGTCAGGGTTTGCGTGGATCACTTTGGGCGGGAGACTTTTTTTTCTTTTTTGTGGAAACTCGAGGTGTCGTAGATTGTTTCAGGTTCTGTTAACAAGTGAATTTGTTGAGACTTTTAGTCTTTCAAATTTTTTTATTTATTTCTGGATTTCAAAGAATTTAGTTTACAAATTTATGGACTTGTGGATTCGCAAATTTAGAAGTTTTTAATTTTGCAAATTTATGAATTTGTAGTTTTGTATTTTTAGAATTTTAGAATTTTAGAATTTTAGAATTTTAGAATTTTATGACTTTACAGCTTTACACCGTCATAGCTTTACAACTTTACAGCTTTATAACTTTACAACTTTGATAACTTATAACTTTACAACTTTATAGCTTTACAACTTTGATAACTTATAACTTTATAACTTTATAGCTTTACAACTTTGATAACTTATAACTTTACAACTTTATAGCTTCACAACTTTGATATCTTATAACTTTACAACTTTATAGCTTTACAACTTTACACCTTCTATGAATTACAACTCTACAGCTCTACAACTCTACAATTCTGCCATTATTAAATTTTGCAATTTCACAATTACACAATGTTACTTTTTCCTCTTCGTGCCCAAACACAAAATATAAAATAAAAAGTGTCTCCTCAGAAAAACAAACATCGTCCCTCAAACATTTCCCAAAAATGGTCACACTAACCCTCCCTATGCACCTCTCTTATTTATCCCCAGTCAAAATTTCACTATACGTCGTCCATTACCGCGTCAATGAGTACATAACTCACTCCAAGTGCCAGCTAAGAAAACACGGATGAAAAAATGGCGACCATGAAAGTGAATGTCAATGTTACTCCTGCTCCTCAATACGGATCCTCTTCCCGGAGGTCTCTCATTAATCATCGACATTGTTTGGCTTCTTCTTTCTCATTTGTGCGTATCGGGTCAAGCTGGTCCGTTTGTGCACCTCGAACCTTCATTTAACAGGAAACGGAGTTCCGTGAAACATGAGAGAGTGCTGAACGCTGGTGCCAGGCAGTCTACGGGGACGCAGGGACGTGACGTAAAAATAATCCCTCTTTCTCTATGGTGGCCTAAAAACTCTCTCCGGTATAACTTTGGGCGGGAAAGAAATGTGAAATTTTTAATTCTGACGGCGCATCATTTTACAATTTATTTATTTTTCTTGTTTGAAGAAAATAATTTTATACGCAGGGCACCGAGAGGAGTCTGTACAGCCCTGATGTTTCAATTCTTGTATTTGACATCTGTATAATGTTGTTTGCAAGGTAGTAGTGCAAGGAAACTGTTTGCACGCGATTATTTGCGATGAGTGTCGATTTTAGAGTGCTGGAGTGCTCGGTAATTGCCTGCATTTGGGGCTGTGGAGGTAATGGGACATTATCGAGCCTTGTCAATGGAATACGTGTTTATACAGTTAGATCTCTAACAAGGCTCATTAAGGTACTTAGGTAATGGGAAAGCAGGCAGCTAATCGAATTATGTGACAGGGAATTAGCAAACGGGTACAAGAGAAATGAGCTATATTTATTTTATTTTCATGACTGCTTTTGATATTATTGGCTTTTAATTATTTTTATATTTTAGTCAATTTATAGGAAACCTAATTAAAAATTTCTCATAATATCTCTTCATGAATAAACATAAAATAAGTGATTTTGTAATGTAAGACCAGATAACGTCCATTGTAGAAAAAGTATTTTGTAAGAGGTTACGAAACTTTAACAAGTTCTCATGTTCATCGTCACCTTGTAATATACACGACTGTATGACGATAACGTTTTCACGAAAAAGTTAGGTTATGACGGAGTTAACTTCTGTTCGATATAAATCCGTAGTTATCGTCTGGACTTCTCATTAACCGCGGAGAATTCTCATGTCACTGGGTCAAAACTGAGACATCAACATGGTGTCTATAGATAGTTATGTCGCATCGACACCCACGTAAATACATACAGCGTGTCCCTTTAGAAAAAGATTTCAATATATGGACGATTCTGAAAATGGTTCATAAAAATAATTTATAAATATTGAATGATTACTACAAACATAACAAAGTATGAGTATTTAAACACTGTCGTAAACAATAAACTTTTCAGAAGAATAAAAAAGCTTGATCAGTAAAATATGCCATATAACGAGAGTGCGCAAAAAAACTGCATAACAGCAGAAGTTATTATACAAAATCAAAACTGCTATATTAGAAACAATGTTTAATAAACTATTCTCTTATAAAATAATCAATTGTGCCATATAACGAGAGTCTACAGAAAATTGCGTAACAACAAAAATTATTGTACAAAATCAAAACTGCTGTGCTAGAAACAATGTTTAACAAATTATTTGTTAGTAAAATAACCAGCTGTGCCATATAACGAGAGTGTACGGAAAATTGCGTAACAACAAAAATTACTGTACAAAATGAAAACTGCTGTGCTAGAAACAATGTTTAACAAATTATTTGCTGGTAAAATAACCAACTGTGCCATATAACGAGAGTGTACAGAAAATTGCGTAACAACAAAAATTACTGTACAAAATGAAAACTGCTGTGCTAGAAACAATGTTTAACAAATTATTTGCTGGTAAAATAACCGACTGTGCCATATAACGAGAGTGTACGGAAAATTGCGTAATAACAAAAGTTTCTGCACAAAATGAAAACCGCCGTATTAGAAATAATGTTTAACAGATTATTTGCTAATAAAATAATCAATCTCCACAATAACCTAACCTAACGTTATTAAAATAAGCCTTGTTCCCGCAAAAAGGTAGTTTGTGTACAGGTCCGCTAAAACAGGCAATTTTGCTTGTAAAGGATAAGCGTTTATAAAGATATTACGTAGTTAAAGTCCGGTGGAACAATAAAAAGAGAAACAAAAAGTTTCAGAGCAGAGGGTGCCCGTATCTTCCTAACGGATCAAATGAGATGCGATTATCTCGGACACTTTTGTTTGCTTATGTAATATATTTTATAAGCTAAGACTAGTTATCTGGATTACATCGATCGTTAATTTATTCCGTGGCCCCCGCAGAAAGCCGGTAACGAAACAGAAACGATCGGCGTCGAAAGCCGTTTACCGCGTTATCGTACGTTGTGTCGTTATTATGTGTAGTTAAAGGTTATGTACAATATCATCGGGTGTATGATTATCCCGTAGACAGAAACACAAGCGATTACTGCACGGTGTGTGTCATTACGTTTCGACGTTCAATTAACTCCCGACAGTCAATCGTTATTTAGACCGAAATACAAGGCTGGGAAGAGTTAATTAACGTCTTTATCGTGTAACAGCTTTCTTTTCGCGGAAAGTGTTATTAAAGTAATTGGTAGAATGGTCAGTTTGCAATGTTGCATCGCATAAACATACGATGACTGAAAAACAAAGAGCACTTTAGTTCTTTGTACATCCTTGCCAGGGCAGGCGAAATTGTAGTTCAAATTGTTGACCGTTTGCGGATCGACAGTGACGTAATTAGAGGGGGTTAGCTCCCGATTGAGTTGCTATTCTTCATGTTAGCAAAGGTACTAATTTTCGAATTTTGGGAGCTTCGGGATTTTGGAATTTTGGAGTTGACAAATTCTTAAATTGCCTAATTATACAAATACTCAAATCTCCAAATTTCGAGGTCAATAAATCTCCAAATCCCAAAATCTCCAAATCACCAAATTTCCAAATCCATAAATCCCCAAATCCCTAAAACCCTATGTTCCTAAATTACCAAGTCCCTAAATCACTAAATCCCCAAATCCCTAAGTCCCTGAATCCCTAAATCCCCAAATCTCCAGATCCCCAGATCCCCAAGTCCTCAAATTCCCCAAATCCCAGATTCCCCAAATCCCAAATCCCCCAAATCCCAAATCCCCCAAATCCCAAATCCTCCAAATCCCAAATCCCCCAAATCCCCCAAATCCCAAATCCCCCAAATCTCAAATCCCCCAAATGCCCCAAATCCAAATTCCTTCCCCAAATCCCAAATTCCCCAAATCCCAAATTCCCCAAATCCCAAATCCCCCAAATCCCAAATTCCCCAAATCCCAAATTCCCCACATCTCCAATTCCCCAAATCCCAAATTCCTCAAGTCCCCAAATCCCAAATCCCAAATTCCCCAAACCCAACTCTCTAAAATTTCCAAATCCACTTTCTCCCCACAATCCACATACCAGCCTCCTAAACCATAACCCAAAAAAATCCTAGTTACGTCAATGGACAGGGCGTAACCAGTTTCCGTCAATACGGTATCAAATTACCTAGATATTTATTTACGGAAGAAAGCAAAAGGTCCAAAAGGCGATACTTCGTCGAATACTTTTGTCTACCTGTGTATATCGTTCGCAGAACCGTCGAGTCATCGGGAAGGAGTAAAGTTCCCTGATAGAAACAAGGACCCGGCATAATGAACCATACAGAGTTTCGTGTGGTCCGCGAATGTTGCTAAGTAAGGGATTGATTCACGGGCAGTTATAATACCGCCAAACCAAAGCCCCAATAGATTCAGGTCAATGCCACTACCGTTCTTCGAAGTCGTTCATTATGTGAGAAGAGAAGGCCCCGTTCTCATGCCACACAGGTTGCAATACCTGCGTGGCAGGCCGGCTCGAAGGATTCGCAACGAACGCGTAGATACAATACGTGGACCCTCCACAACTATGCAACTGCCTTCTTTCAGAAACACGTCCTACTTCCAAGTCGTATAATTTTGCATACGGCTATTTTCGCTCCGATAGCGTAAACTCGGATGATCGAATTAGGACCACTTAGCCATTTTATGCGTTGGGCTAGCGCCATTTGCTACGGACCAACTAGTTTAAATTGCAAGTTTAAGGCCGCTTTATAAACTTCACTATTCACCATTTATTCACTAAAGTTAAATAGTCAAATCACTTGTTTCGTCTTTTGTGTATGGGAAATTTTATTTGTTGTCAAAATTTCGGTTTTTGTTGGACTCTCGTTATATTGCCTATCGTGCTACCTGAACAAATTAGCTAAAATTATTTATGCCGGAATGTCAAACTCTCTAAATAACATTTACATTCCTGGGAAAACGTGAAAATGATCGAAGCTCGGATTTGTACAGACTCTCGTTATATTGCCTATTGTGGTACCTGAACAAATTAGCTAAAATTATTTATGCCAGAATGTCAAACTCTCTAAATAACATTTACATCCCTGGAAAAACATGAAAATGATCGAAGCTCGGATTTGTACATACTCTCGTTATATTGCCTATCGTGCTACCTCAACAAATTAGCTAAAATTATTTATGCCGGAATGTCAAACTCTCTAAATAAAATTTATATCCCTGGAAAATGATCAAAGCTTGAATTTGTACAGACTCTCGCTACATTGCCTATTGTGCTACCTGCACATATTAGGTAAAATTATTTATACCAGAATGTCAAACTCTTTAAATAAAATTTACATCCCTGGAAAAACGTGAAAATGATCGAAGCTCGGATTTGTACAGACTCTCGTTATATTGCCTATTGTGCTACCTGAACAAATTAGCTAAAATTATTTATGCCGCAATGTCAAACTCTCTAAATAAAATTTACATCCCTGGAAATATGTGAAACTGATCAAAGCTCGAATTTGTACAGACTCTCGTTATATTGCCTATTGCGCTACCTGGAAAAATTAAATAAAACGATTCATGTCAGTATTTTAAACTCTCTAAATAAAATTGACATCCCCAGAAATATATGAAAGTGATTCAAGCTCGGATTTGTTAGACTCTCGATATATCGCCATCTGAAGAAATGAAGTAAACTATCAGGATGTTAAACTCCCTAAGTAAAATTTGCATCCCTGGAAAGCAGGTGAAAATAATGAAAGCACGATTTGAGGAGAAGTGAAGCGTTTATCGGAGGGGCTAATGTCGATTTGCATGAGAAGGGTCGATCGAAGAAAATCAATTTCCATTTATTTACATAAAGAGCACGAAAGTTCGAGTTTCAATCAGGCAACAAGGGGGTAGTAATTAAACCCGTGCTACGGTCTCGTTAAATCGATCGATCAAATTTCGCAGAAATTTCGCGCGAACGGAGTAGGGAGAGATGAGAAAAAAAGATCGGCGAAAAAAGAAAGGAGGGAACCGAAGGAAATCACAAGAGACATCGAGCCCCAGAAGGAGGCCGGTGGCCGGTATCCACCACTGGCAGGACCCTTTCCGAAGTTAATGATTCGATCATTGCGATGGGTGGTAGCAGGGTGGTGGAAACGAATGGCGTGGGTCGGCGTAGTAGGAGAAGTGCCAGGGAAGCAAGAGAGGAAAGTAAGCCCGATCTCAGTTCGAACGGTTCGCCAGCGATCGCTTCGTCTCCGGTTTTAGTTGCTTCGTTGCGAGGCTCGATCGCACACGAAGATCCTTCCGCCACTTTGTCAGGACCGACGTCGCGTCCCAGTCCCGTGGGATACGGCTACTTCCGCCCGTTCAGACCTCTTCTAACACACGGAAGTCCTTCGCCGCCCCCGATGGCTGCAGCCAAGGGCTCCTGTTACACCGTTAAATCGCCCTCTCCGCCAGAGCTGACTGTCACCCTTAAAAGTACGTATACGACCACCAGACTCTTTAACCCTTTGCCAACTAAATATTTTCCTATATTACTTGTTTCTATTGTACTGCTATTTTATTTTATTCGTATTTGAAGGTTGTTATGCATCATTCTTTTTTATGTATATTTTTTATTCTTCATGCGTTTTATAACTCTGTGGGTGAATATTTAATTGACACTAGGTTTATGGGTGCTGGACTTCGATTGAAAATAAAGTAACAAGGGTAAATGAATCATTCACTTATTGTAAAATACAATGTCAAGTACAATAAGTGAAATGCATTGCAGAGTACAATAAGTAAATAGGGGTTGAAACATTAATTCATGTAATTACTTTTTTAAAAAATTATTTTTTATCACGATATTCAACTCAATTATGATTTTTGAGGTTATACATTATTTATAAAATATTAACTGAAAGAAAATGTTATTATGTGAGGTTCATAAAAGATTTTCTGTGCAGAAAAAGTTTGTATAAATTTTGAAGTAGTGGTCATTTTTGCACTGTCTTTTCGTGTATAATATTTTAGTTATATTTTGATTTTTTTGCTAAGCGAAATCATGTTTATTTTTCGTGTTATCTGAAATTTATCTAAAGTTATATTCGGATCTATTCCGCGACGTGACTATCGTATACTAAATTTGAAACCCGCTTTCATTGCACCTGTTGCATTCAATGAATTAATAATGTGTCATGTAAATACAGCTGCGTCGATAATAAAATATCTATGACGGAGATTGAGGGGATGTGACATTATTAACGTCGTGATGTATTATGGAGAATATAAATACTTGTTCTAATTTGTACAAATATGTGAAACAAAGAAATGTGTTTGTAAAAATGAAGTAATTTATTTTAGAGTAATATGTTAGGTTAGGTTAGGCATTTTAATACACAGTATTTCTTGTATTTTATAGGTCTAAATGAATAGCAACTTTGTACTTGCAACAAAATTTCTCCATATATTGCATATTCTATATAATACATTATCTGATCTACTTACACATTTAATGAATAATGTGTTAGGTTAGGTTAGGTATACTTAAACAGTTTCTTATATTTTATATTTCTAAACGAGTAGCAACTTTGTACTTGCAGCAAAACCTCTTCATATATTGCATATTCTATATAATACATTATCTGATCTACTTACACATTTAATGAATAATGTGTTAGGTTAGGTTAGGTATATTTAAACAATTTCATATAGTTTCCTATATTTTATATTTCTAAACGAGTAGCAACTTTTTACTTGCAGCAAAACCTCTTCATATATTGCATATTCTATATAATACATTATCTGATCTACTTACATATTTAATGAATAATGTGTTAGGTTAGGTTAGGTATATTTAAACAGTTTCATATAGTTTCTTATATTTTATAGCCCTAAACGAGTAACACATTTTGTACTAGTAACAAAACCTCTCCATATATTGCATATTTCATATATTCCATTACTAACTGCATCTAACGCTACGTTTTCTAGTAAACAATTTTGCAGCATAAAAATTAAATAAAATTTCTCTTAACCTCAACAGAAATAACCATATTTCATAACGAAACCTGTAAAGTCTTTGATATAATTTTTCAACCTAACATTTGCAACATTATTCATTCTTATTATTTGTAATATTAATCTCCAGCTTTGATTTACTTTGCAACTGCAAATGGTTGAAATTGAAGATTAATGTGTCGACATAGAACTGTTCTCGAATAAGTACGATTAGAAATGAAATATCTTATTCACTACAGCTGACCGGTATTAATATATCACTTTTATACCGATCCGCTCTTTTTGTTTGTCAATAAAGGCAGCTTTCCTGTTTATGTGAAAGCAGGTTTCAATTCTTGAAACTGGAAAGCTAGTATTTATCTCCATTTATAATTTTCTTGTCTCCGATTAGTTGCACGTAGATTTCGTGCATTCGATTATCGTTAATTTTATGAACTGGCTGTCTCTTAATTAAATCAATTTCACATTTTAGTACGGTCGTAAAGAGAGAAATTTTATCTACTTTGTTTCCTTATCCATTAAATATTTATTTACGAGAAAAGAATTATGTAGCTCGAATTATACATTTTTTTTTAAATTTTATTTAGCTGCGGTGATGTCGTATTTTACATATTCAAATTTTCGCGCGCTACACATGCAATATAAGAGTGTGTCAATTAAATGAACCATAACCATATCAATCAACACCCACCTTAATCCCTTACAACTACACCTATACAAAATTATTACCACAAAATCAATGATCACACTCTCAACAATACGAAACACACACAATTTTTTTTATTCCACTCAAGAGTTGATTGAACCGAGAAACGATGTTCAGATCCATTGTAGTATAAATGAATGACAGGAACAAGTTTTTAGATGGCCAATGGCCTGCTGCGATTACAAACTACATTGTCATTGATATTAATTCGTAGTTCATGTTTCAATATCATCCTCTTTTTCAGTGTCATCGTTCAATAATCATCAATACCTTTTAACATCGTGAGTCATCGATGCTTACAGGATATCGATTAGCCACCTGTAACAGTTAGAACCCAACCTTCTAAAAAAACACTACTTTTTAAAATCAACTGAACAAGGATACTATCGTTAATTCTTCCTGGATGAACAAGACAAAATTTCTCTTAAAAAACATTTTGCAGAAATTAATATTTAATAAGTATTGGGTTCTAGTAGCAGGGAAATGTCATTAGCAACAACAGTAACGACAATAATAATAGTAGTAGTGGCAGTACTAGTAGTAGTGGTACCTAGTACCAGTAGTAGTAGTAGTAGTAGTACCTGGTACTAATAGTAGTAGCAGTAGTACCCAGTACAAGTAGTAGTAGTAGTAGTAGCAGCAGTATCTAGTACTAGTAATAGTAGTGGTAGTACCTAATACTAATAGTAGTGGTAGTAGTAGTACCTGATACTAGTAGTAGTGGTAGTAGTAGTGCCTAATGCTAGTAGTAGTGCTAATAGTAGTACCTAATACTAATAGTAGTGGTAGTAGCAGTACCTAATGCTAGTAGTAGTGGTAGTATCAGTACCTAATACTAATAGTAGTGGTAGCAGTAGTACCTAGTACCAGTAGTAGTAGTAGCAGTAGTAGCAGTAGTACCCAGTACAAGTAGTAGTAGTAGTAGTAGCAGCAGTATCTAGTACTAGTAATAGTAGTGGTAGTACCTAATACTAATAGTAGTGGTAGTAGCAGTACCTAATACTAGTAATAGTGGTAGTAGTAGTACCTAATGCTAGTAATAGTGGTAGTAGTACCTAATACTAATAGTAGTGGTAGTAGTAGTACCTAGTATCAATAGTAGTAGTAGTACCTGGTACTAGTAGTAGTAGAAGTAGTACCCAGTACTAGTAGTAGTAGTAGTAGTAGCAGTATCAAGTACTAGTAATAGTAGTAGTAGTACCTCATACTAGTAATAGTGGAAGTAACAACACCAAGTGCTAATAGTAGCAGTACCTAATACTAGTAGTAGTGGTAGTAGTAGTTCCTAGAACTAGTAGTAGTAGTAGTAATACCTAATACTAATAATAGTGGTAGTAGTAGTACCTAATGCTAGTAGTAGTGGTAGTAGTACCTAATACTAATAGTAGTGGTAGTAGTAGTACCTAGTACCAATAGTAGTAGTAGTACCTGGTACTAGTAGTAGTAGCAGTAGTACCCAGTACTAGTAGTAGTAGTAGTAGTAGCAGCAGTATCAAGTACTAGTAATAGTAGTAGTAGTACCTCATACTAGTAATAGTGGAAATAACAACACCTAGTGCTAATAGTAGCAGTACCTAATACTAGTAGTAGTGATAGTAGTAGTTCCTAGAACTAGTAGTAGTAGTAGTAATACCTAATACTAATAATAGTGGTAGTAGTAGTACCTAATACTGGTAGTAGTGGCAGTCGTAGTACCTAGTACTAGTAGTAGTAGTACTTAATACTAATAGTAGAGGTAGTAGTAGTACCTAATAGTAATAGTTGTGCTGATAGTAGTACCTAATACTAATAGTAGTGGTAGTAGTAGTACCTGATACTAGTAGTAGTGGTAGTAGTAGTGCCTAATGCTAGTAGTAGTGCTAATAGTAGTACCTAATACTAATAGTAGTGCTAATAGTAGTACCTAATACTAGTAGTAGTGCTAATAGTAGTACCTGATACTAATAGTAGTGCTAGTAGTAGTACTTACTACTAGCAATAGTACTACTAAAAATAATAATAATAATTAGCATAAACCAAAGATACCTAATATGTCAAATAATTTTTACAAAACCATATAAACCTTAAGACCTTACATTTAAAATTCCCCAATACAGTAATTTACTAAATTTTTCCCTCCCTAACGCAAAAATATCACGTAACAAAATACTCTTACCGTTAATGTCAACAATTTCGCAATTCTAAAGCCATCACGCCGGAGGAAAATGGCAAAAGTGAAATTTTCGTTCGTGGCCCAACTTTCATCAGTAAAAAAAATAACGCTATAAAGGAACGTTCGTGAAATATCGAAGTAACGGGAAACGATCATAAGCAGGTACATAAAACAGAAGCATTTCAGAAGCACCGGGAATCCATTTAATTTCTTATCGCCGTGCCATTACAAACCACGGTAAAGGCCACACGATAATTGAACCGGTTTTTGTAAAATACCTCTTGCCTACTTCCTTAGCGAATTTAACTGATTGAAGGTCCTTCTGTCGCACAAACGAATTCATTAAGGTACAATCCTATCCATAAATCATGGGACACCTTACGATTTTTGAATCATCCTGCGAATATGGCGTTCCTAACCTAACTGAACAATTTTCTTTTTGACAATGTTTTCGGTATGAAAACTCTGCAGTAATTGATCATTACTGTTATATCGTTTATTGGTAGTAATTTAGAGCTTTAGAGAACATTCAAAAAACATAGACAATACATAACCTATAATACTATAATTTAGTAGCCTAATACAAAACCAATTTTCCTAATTTTTTGTATGAATTAAAATTAAAGTCCTTAGTATAAAGTGTCTTATACCTTAACATAAACAACCAACAATAACTATTACTTTTTTTTTCATTATCAATAATGAATTTTATAGCACATCTTAAAAAATGTACACAGCACAAATAACATATAACCTCACATAACCCAACCTAACCTTTTCAATGAATAATGAAGTTAGTATAAACTTGTACCTCAACATCAATTAACAATAATAACACTTACTTAACTATCGCTAATTGATTTCAAAGGACATCGTAAAATACGTGCACAACACATATGTTTTAATTAAAATAATTTCGTTCCACATCGATCAGCGTACTTTACGACACGCTGTGTCATAAATATGTAAATAGTTGTCTGCATGTATACGCATGTTTTACGTCACATATACAACGCTCAAGAATCCTTAATGTGTCACGGCCGAGTTGAAGGCCGTTTGGTTTTTACTCAATTTAAATACCAGAATTCAATCGGTAATTAACAGTAGAGCTACTGATTCGTGATGACCAAAACAAAAGTAAGGTGGTAGAGAAATCATTTGTCTAGCGTCCATTTTGATTTCATTGGCTGCCATTTTTATGACTCTGTTTATGTTTTGAGCGGGAATGCGACTGGAGTTACTTGGATTACTCGTGACGCACTCATGACACTCTTGATGCATTCGTGACGCACTCACTACACTCTTGACACACTCGTGACGCACTCATTACACTCTTGACGCACTCCTGACGCACTCATTACACTCATGATGCACTTCTGACGCACTCACTACACTTTTGACGCACTCCTGACGCACTCATTACACTTTTAACGCACTCCTGACGCACTCTATACACTTTTGACGCACTTCTGACGCACTCTATACACTTTTGACGCACTCCTGACGCACTCATTACACTTTTGACGCACTCCTGACGCACTCATTATACTTTTGACGCACCCCTGACGCACTTGTGACGCACTCACTACACTCTTGACGCACTGCTGACGCACTCTATACACTTTGACGCACTCCTGACGCACTCATTACACTCTTGACGCACTTCTGACGCACTCATTACACTCTTGACACACTTGTGACACACGTATTGCACTCTTGACGCACTCATTGGGACCCACTCATGGCGCACATTCAAATGTCACCACCCAGATTTGTATTTTTACTGAAATTGAATTTTGCGTTCAGTTCCGATTGCAATCTGCATAATCAAGGACCTGATTGCATAATGTACCTAACATGTCAGCTTTCACAGTCTTGTAGGAACAATTAGGTAGCATGAGGCAACTGTCCAGAAAGTTATAGGTTAAAAGGTTGAACAGTACTTGTTGAGCGTGTCCATATGTGTACGGACGCAGACATGTAAGTTAGAACCTAAGTTGCAAATCGAATCGAGAGAAATTTAAGTTACATAAATTGCAAATTAGTTAGAAGCTAATTAGCAGTTGCGAGACACCCGGTACATGGGATTGTTTGCAATTTAAAAAAGAGCAATAAGGCTAGAGGTCCCCTAGCGTGTCTCCAGTTCCCAGCTATTAATCGGGCCAACGCGACATTTCGTGTAAACAGAGCAATGTTTCGACTGGGTCAACTCGGGTTTCGCCGGTAAACGCGACACAACGCGAGCAAAAGCCACGGGCTAGTTTTTAGCGTGTTAATCACGCATGTCGTTCGACCTCAGTCGCCGGCTACGTGATCGTGGACCGGGTTACCGCGGACGTATGGCATTTTCGCCACATGTGGCCGGCTACTACCGTGAAACCATAGAGTTCCACGCTAATTTATGCGTCTGATCCGCGTTACACGGTGTCCCCGGTGTATATTTAAATTGCTCACCGGGGATATGTGTGTTAAAGGTTAATTACGCTCTCGGTCCGGTGACACTGTTGCATTTAAATCGATTACGCGTTCCGGCTAATCGCTTTTGCTTGCTATCGCTGGTAAAGCTCCTTTGGAAAATTACCATTTAATAGGCTGGATTACGAATCGCTCGCATTCGTGTAACTCGGAATTTTTATACGCGGTGAACTACGACTCCTGGCGTTAATAAAACTGACAAGCGTGAGCTGTTGCTTTAATCTGACATCCCTTTTATTTCACGCTCCTAGCAATCTTCTGTTTTATACTTCTGGCTGGAATAAGGTTTTATTACCTGATGGATGGCTTTCATTTCGATTAGGATCGCGGATAAGCAGCTGGGGATATGGGGACGTAGGTATGGCGTAATGTGGATAGGTGGTGATGTGGACATGTGGAGATTAGGTTGATAGTGATTTACATATCTGAGGATCTAGGTATTTAGCTATCTACATATTTGGAGGGCTAGGAATAGAGGGTTTAGGCATTAGAGGGTCTAGGTATTTGAGGGTCTAGGCATTTGGAGGTCTAGGTATTTGGGGGTCTAGCTATCTGGAGGTCTAGGTATCTAGGAATCTAGGTATCGAGGGGTTTAGCTATCTGGAGGTCTAGGTATTTGGGGATCTAGGTATCTGGGAGTCTAGGCATCTGAGGGACTAGGTATCTCGGGGTCTAGCTATCTGGAGGTCTAGCTATCTGGGGCTCTAGCTATTTGGAGGTCTAGGTATCTAGCAATCTAGCTATCGAGAAGTTTAGCTATCTGGAGGTCTAGGTATTTGGGGATCTAGGTATCTGGGAGTCTAGGCATCTGAGGGACTAGGTATCTCGGGGTCTAGCTATGTGGAGGTCTAACTATCTGGGGGCCTAGTTATCTAGAAGTCTAGGTATCTAGGGATCCAGGTATCTGGGTGTTTAGCTATCTGGAGGTCTAGGTATTTGAAGATCCAGGTGTCTGGAGGTCTAGGTATCTGGAGCTGTAGGTATTTAGGGGTCTAGGTATCTGGGAGTCTAGATATCTGGACGTCTATGTACATGGAGGTCTAGGTATTTGGAGAGGTAAGTAGATATCTAGGTAGATTCCTAGGTAAATATCTAGGGATGCAAGTATCTGAGCATCTAGGTACCTGGAGGTCTAAGTATTTGAGGAGATAGGCACATACCTAGGAAGATCCCTAGGTAGATATCTAGGGATGCAAGTATCTGAGCATCTACATACCTGGAGGTCTAAATATCTGAGGAGGAAGGTACATACCTAAGTGGATCCCTAGGTAAATATCTAGGGATGTAGATACTTATGAACCTAGGAGTTTCTTCTAAAAATTGAGAAACCCAATAGTAACAAAATAAAAATCATTTTTTTAACAGGAAATATAATTTATCACCTCCATAATTCAAAATACATGTCCCATCATGATTTTCATTAATTCTTTTCTTTTTCCTTTAATTTTTTTTTTGTATATCATTTTATTTTACAAGATACGAGAGTGATAACGGCAACGATTGCACGGCTTCCTGCATTTTATTATTATTACTTTTATTGCCGGCCGGGTAACATAATCCGTTTTAAACTCATCGCATTTTGTTTCCCGGAGGTTTAAATTTGTACCACAATGTCATTCAATATCGCCGTGTGTTTTTTACAGAATGGTGGCTTTGGTGGTTGCTTTTGCCGGGATGTCTCGCCTCGTGGACGAAGTACATTGAAGAATACGATTCCATCAGAGTCGCTAGGTGTGATGCTTATTGCGGTAGTAATTATTCAGAAAAAGTAAGTACCGTGTTCTTGTACTAATAATAGAATTCTCGCCTGCTGCGCGAGTCGCGTTTCTAGGTTAGGTTATAGCGAACTAACCTGGCTTGAAAGTCAAAACATTGTATGCACAATAATATTTTTTAATTAAATGTTGACACCTAACAAATGCAAAATTAAAATTAAAAATAATAATATCAAAATACAGATAAAAATTGATATTATTTACATTTAAAAATTGTAGATAAAATTTGATAAAACACACATTTAAATTGTTGTTCAATTGATATTAAAGTTAAGATAATGATAGTTGAGCTGAAATAAAATGAAAATGCAATGAAATTAAGATTTATCGAAGATACGTTTATTGGAATTTAGTTAGCAGGCAATTGCCGATAGCCGATGTTGAAGCATTCGGTCGTGTTTTTTCACAATACGCTTGCGTGTTCGATTCTGCGACTGGAAGTGCTCAACAACGCACTTCATTTAATGTTGCTGGTCGATTTTACGATGTTCTTGCACGCTACTCATACACGAGAGGACAATGTTTCGCCGACAGCGAAATGATGAAGAGACTGAGATTGCGATCAAATTTATGCAATATCGTCCTACCAAGTAACCAAAAAAGGACTTCTGCAATATTTACTTTTTTCCTGTTGGTCAACATGACAGGGCAAAATGCAAATATATCAAACCAGCCATTCTAATTGGTTCTCTCAACCTCATTACCGCAATATAAATAAAACGAGAGGTTAATCGACAAGAACCAATCCAACGAAACTTTGCTAACAATTTTTCTATTTCAACATTTTATAAAAAAATTATTACATAGCCGCTCGATATTTTAGGTTAGAATTTATTGGGATGAAATGTTACTACTTTTTACATTTTTAGCTTAGATATTTGTGAGAATTAAAATTGCGGTATAACAGAAATTTCCCTAGAAAAAATGGCAGTGTGAGGCAAAATTTCCCTCTAGGAAAAAGAGAAGGAGAATGTAATGATTCTCTAGGAAAAATGATAGTAAAAGAAATGGTTTCTCCGAAAAATAAAATGGCGACTTAGAGTGTGCTTAGGAAGAGAAAATGGAAGAGTGACTTCCCTAAACAAAATGGCGACAAGCCTTGAACATCAAAGCTAATAGTAGAACTACCCTTTCCCTTCCCCCCTATCGCCATTTTCTTCAAACCAGTCCATGTCCCCCAAACACCCAATTTAAACAAAGTCGAACATACCCCCAAAAAACACAGAAAAAAGCAAGAGTATAAGTACCAGCCCAAATTTATTCAGCTAAAGTCAAGCTAACCTAAAATCATCTTTATACCATACCGTGGAGCTAACCCAAAACCAGCTTTAAATCACCGCCATCTTAATACGAAATCTGAACCCGAGTTTGTTTAAGACCAGCACTAAAGTACGAAATCTATGTACGATCTCGTTCCTCGGTTAAAATTTTGAAATTCACTCACAGAACCGTTCGATGATACATATTGATTAGAAGGGAAAAGGGATCGGATCGCAAGAGATCTGTAAGATGGATTTACGGAGTAAGAGAGCCACCCTACTTTGGCCCCGGAGGAAATCCTTTAGCCTGCGTATATTCTGTCGTCCCGCTGCTGCAATGGGGGTATACATCATTCGAACGGTCGAAGGAACTGGTTCGCTTACTTATTGGCCTACTTTTTACGAGCAACGTAGAAACGAACCCTCGTGATCGCTTCGTCGGGGCCATTGACCAGCGATAATGTTCGTCACAAGGATCGCCGGTGGCGCCGATATTCGTGGAACTTCATTCATGCCACCTGCTAATGAGACTTCCTGAACTTCAACCCTCGAGCAGCTGACTGTGTTGGTGTTAGGTTAGGTAACTAGGGAGTTTTCGTATAGGGGTGTCTGTATGGGGAATTCTTAGGTAGCGGGTTTTTCTGCGAGGGGACTTCTGTATAAGACTTGTTTGTGTAGGGGGATTACTCTATGGAGGATTCCTCTATGTGGGATTTCTATATGTGATAATTGTTCCATAGGGGATTCCACTATATGGAGATTGCTCTTTAGGGGATTCCATCATATGGAGATTGCTCTATAGGGGATTCCTATATGTGGGGATTGCTCCATAGGGGATTCCCATATGTGGGGATTGCTCCATAGGGGATTCCATCATGTGGAGATTGCTCTATAAGGGATTCCATCATATGGAGATTGCTCTATAAGGGATTCCATCATATGGAGATTGCTCTATAGGGGATTCCTATATGTGGGAATTGCTCCATAGGGGATTCCATCATGTGGAGATTGCTCCATAGGGGATTCCATCATATGGAGATTGCTCTATAAGGGATTCCCATATGTGGGGACTGCTGCATAGGGGATTCCATCATATGGAGATTGCTCTATAAGGGATTCCATCATATGGAGATTGCTCCATAGGGGATTCCACTATATGGAGATTGCTCTATAAGGAATTCCTATATGTAGGGATTGCTCCATAGAGGATTCCTGTATATGGAGATTGCCCTATAGGGGATTCCTACATAGGGAGTACCTATAGTAAGCCTTGCTGCATACAGTGTAGAAGGGGTTCCCATATATGGAGATGTACACATATGCTATAACGACACAACACAAATTCCATAGTATGTGTGTGGACATGTGTGTATATGTGTGGGAGAGTGTGAACATATGTGTATATGTGTGTAAGAGTGTATGTATGTGTGTATATGTGTGGAAGAGTGTATGTATGTGTGTGTATGTATGTAAGAGTGTATGTATGTGTGTGGAAGAGTGTATGTATGTGTGTATATGTGTGGAAGAGTGTGTTTATGTTTGTATATATGTGGAAGAGTGTGTATGTGTCTATAATGAAGTTGTGATCCACATAGCTTCCTAACTCCACCAACAAGAAATCACATCTCAACTTTTTCCAAATCCCACAAAACATAATTCAATCAATATTCATCTGCAGTCGACTTCAGTTCCACGAAACTGTCAATAAATGAAGGATCGAAGCTCCCCACGAAGGCTCGAACTTGAGCTCGATGCAAACGATTCAGGGACACCATAATTGATTAGCACCCAGCGAAAGCACAAAACCTAGATTGTACCGAAGTGAATCAGCCACTCGTAACTTTAAGCGGCTCCAGATGGACCACCATCCGACAGCCACTTTGCATCAGCCTGTTAACGAGTGTCGCGTTGCTTATTAATATTTGAAATTGATCTGAGATCGTGCGAAGCAAGATCGTTCAACTGATGTTTTACTCACATATCGAAGTCCCGTGTAGTTATCATGGTATCCACTAGGGATATCTCGCTATGTTTCAGTGCATGGAGAATTGCCTGGCGTCCAATTACACGAAACCTGGTCACTGTCCTGATAAGGCGTCCATGTCGTTATTCGAGGCTGTTTGCTTGGCGGCTTGTAGCGACGACTCACGCTGCCCGGACTTGGCTAAATGCTGCCGACATGACTGTGGTGTCACGTGTATGCACCCTCTTGGCTTGGATAATAGAACTGGTGGGTATTTTTTGTGCTGTATGATAAATTGGTAAAGAAAGTTTTTATGGTTTTGAGTTTGGGAGATGTACTGATGCCAACCCATGGGATGGCGCGTGGAGGCAGAGCTACCTAACTTAGCCTATGAAGAAGTTAGGTTAGGTTAAGTCTTGATTATCCGGAAGAGTCTCATAAGTTATCACACAGGGTTATCCCATGAATTACAATTTTTTACAAAACTTGTTTAGGTCCTAAATCCACCATATTCTCCTACATAGACTTCCCCATAAACATCCCCAATTTCAAACACCCTCAATATCAAACATCCCCAGTTTCAAGCATCCTCACTTTCCACCTCCTCACATCCCCAATATCTAACATTTCCAAAACCCCTTTCAAACAATCCACTTATCCATACAATTACAATTCATAATTACAGATCTACCACCGATCCCCGACAATCTCCAGATCAGACAGCAGAAGAACAACCTGATCGTCTTAACGTGGCATCCGAAAGGGAAGTACTCCAACGCATCGCGCCCGAACAATAACGTGAGGTATTTGGTGGAAGAGCGACATTTGCTCGGACCAAGATATCAGGAATCCAGGCTAAGCTCCTGGGCGGTGCGACACGTGTCAACCAAGTCGCACGCGACCCTTCGAGAAAGGTTGAAAACTGGACACTGGTATCAGTTCCGTATAGCTGCTATCAACGAAAATGGATCCCGAGGATATTCTTCACCGTCCAGGCCTTTTAAGACGAGAGGTAAATTTATTGGTTTTGTTGAAATTGCGGGGGAGCTCGGTATTTTCCTGCGCTGGGGGCTTTGGAGGCGGAATAGGAAATTATGGAGTCGTGTGCACGGAATTTTTCTGTTGGGATTCTTCTGCATACCGCTGTTAGATTACAATAATATTATATAATATTCTTTGGTGGTTGCGGGGGAAGCTCGGTATTTTCCTGCGCTGGGGGCTTTGGAGGCGGAATAGGAAATGGTGGAGTTATGTGCACAGAATTTTTCTGCTGGGGTCCTTCTGCATACGGCTGTTAGATAATAGTATTATATAATATTCTTTGACGGTTGCAGGGGAAGCTCCGTATTTTCCTGCGCTGGGGGCTCTAGGGGCGCAGCAGGAAATTATAGAGGATTGTCATGTGCATAGAATTTTTCTATTAGTTCCTTCTGCACCCAACTATTATATAATAATAATTAAAAATAAGTGCTATGATTCCTCCTCGTATAATGTTTACATATAATCGTATAATAGCTATTTTATGAAATGGTGAAAAAAAGTACCATCTGTAGGATGAAATATTTACTCGTGCAAATTGACAGGCACTCAATAATTCACGTGCATCACTATATTTGGATCTAAATACAATTTCACCGTCAAATTAATAATACGATACCGTCATAATCTCATCTCGCTTTCAAGAACAATAAACACACCGAGTAGGCTTGATTCAGAATCTAAAATGTTCAGTGAATTAATTGCATAACGCGTGAAATGAATACGTATAACCGTTATGTATAAACAGGTTTTGTGAAGTCTTACCGACATAAAAGATGGTAAAGTTAGGTCAATGCTTCGTATACTGCTCACTTTGCACTCTAATTTGCTACCGAAAGTCATGATAACCATTGCGCGTTGCAGAGAGCTGTCGTAAACGTACCATTTTTCGTAGAAAGCGTCGTCTGCTATTGCTTTACTCTTTAAAAGAATAAATAGTGATGTTTGCGGATTAAAAGTTATTGTTAACAATTTTTACTTACCGCTTCGAATAATTCTTGAATGGAGAAACACACCATGTATAGTTGTACCAACGCGCCGAATGTGTACATTAGAACCAGATACTTCTCCATATCGTCAGCACTGATCTGAAAAAGAGTTTTCATAAATTATTAAATTATTTGTAACAAAATAAGGTGAAATACAGTAGAGTCTCGATATATTGCCGCTCATGTTCATAATTGGTATAAAAAAATATATCATCCTAATAATAGGATAAGTAGTTGGTATTGTAATTAGAATCAGCATTATAGTAACTCGCTTAAAGGGGCACTGTAGCAATATAACGAGAGTCCACATTCGTACCATTACGACCATAATGCTCAGAAAACAGAATCGAAACACGCTGTTTATGTAAACCACACCGATGTTAGGAGCCAGAACATCCTTTAATATAGATGACATCCTAAAATAATTGAATAAGATCAAGTATTACAATTTCAATCTTCGCTGTTATCCAACTTCATGCGATAAATGAAAGGTAAGGGAGAGCTAAACAAATGGGACACGTCAACTTTGATGTATATAGCCATTGACATTAGCTTATAGTGAAATACTTTTTAAAGTTCCATTACTTTGACATTCTTCAGAGATGAGATATCAAGTTACAAGATATCTTCTTAGTTTCGAGGTATCAAGTTACAAGATATTCTCTAAGTCTCCGAGGTATCAAGTTACAAGATATCTTCTAAGTATTAGGGTATCAAGTTACAAGATATCTTCTGAGTATCAGGGTATCAAGTTTCAAGATATCTTCTATGTTTCCAAGGTATCAAATTACAAGATATCTTCTATGTTTCCAAGGTATCAAGTTACAAGATATCTTCTGAGTATTAAGATATCAAGTTACAAGATATCTTCTAAGTATGAGGGTATCAAGTAACAAGATATCTTCTAAGGTATCAAGTTACAATACATTCCCTAAGTTTCCAAGGCATCAAGTTACAAATCCTCTAAACATCCAATACATCAAATTACAATGCAAATTCTTAGCAACCAATATTGCAGTATTTACTGAATAATAGTTTCATAATGAAAAGCCAGCAGTCTCATTCCCTGTTTAACCTTATCCTCTCCGTCGACAGCCTCCTCCGACGTGCCACGAAGTATCTCCGCAAGCTTCCTCCTCAGATACTTATACTGCGCCGTAACCAGCCGAATCATGTGTATCACATAGATGTCCAAGCTAGCTTTCCTGATGATGGCGTACATGTTTCCCAAGCACACGACTAATCCACTCGGCACGAAAACCTTGAGGGAGAACGGTTCTGGAGAGAACACCGCGGGCACGCGATAATCCACGTAATAGAACTCGTCCGTTTGGGTCACTATGGTGAACTGCAAAAGCGCCCAAACGGCGACGGACGCGATGCTGCCGTACGTGTACAGTCGCAACACCAACTCCAACGGTTTCACCGATTCGATCGTGATAGTCTCCAGCATTTTGTTGCCCTTGTCCAACGTGTCGTTCAGCTGTTCGATGAACCGTCGCAGCAGATTTCGGCGGCTGTTCATGTAAAGGCTCAGGATGATGCCCTCCAGGGTGACGGCCGTGCTCACCGTGCTGTCCCTCAGAGACTTCTCCACGGGCGCATACCGAATACCCAGAAAGCAAACTGACAAGTAAAAGACTTGTAGCACCCAGACGAGCGGCCAATAGATTCTTGTGATCACCGACAGCTTCATGTTCTTGTTCGATACCGGTAGCATGTTGCCCGACATTATGTTCATGAAAGCGTTTAGGGGATTCAAGTTCAGGAAATCCATGATGGGTTAGGAATATGTTATATATGAAAAGCTTTCATATTTTGTTTAAGAACATCTGTAACGGGGAGTCGAATTAGTTTCGTACTTGTGAATGAACTTTCGCTGATTTAATATGTGGATCAGATGTTATGGACTCGAATAGAAAACGTGTCTAATACCTGAGTGCCCGAACGTCTAATTAGATCTGCAACCGATTTGCTTTTATGACGGAGTTGCACACCACATATTTAACCTTAACTCAGAATATTTTCATCGGTCGAAAATTGAAAGCACACTTCGCTTATTTAAAAAAAATTTATTGAAGCGGCACACCGCCGTTAAAGAACGTCATTTCACGAAGCTCGATAACTACTACTCACGACTGTCCCCCTATTTGTCAATTTCTCATGTTCTTCGACAGCGCTATACTTTGTTGCATTAAACATACGCATCACGGCAATTTAAACTTACCTTTCGGTATAATTACCGGCCGGTGCGATCGTATCTTTGATGTATGGCTCTTTGATCGTGGCTCTCAGGTGAGAGTACCTGCAACAAAGTGTCCTGAAAGCTTAAATAATTACAAAGAATCGATACGACATTTGTCTCGGCGACAAGTTATTAACGGAGATCATTTGGTATTCCGTTTACGGAGTTTCAAGCATCTTTCAACTTTATTGTTTTCAGAACCACGGAATCCTAAAGAGCCGCAGAATTTGACGCTGTCCGACGCGAGATTAGTGGGCGGGAGATTACGAATCACTCTTAGGTGGGTCAAACCAGCCTCGGACGTGCCGATAACTTTCTACAAAGTATTTTGGAGCCGACTTGTACACGGCCCGACCAACGACTCCATTCTCGTTTACCATCGGACCGTCCTCAAAGTAAGTTCCGATGACAAGGTAGTTTGCTATATTGTTGGCATGTTAACAATTTAATTTGTATCTCAAATTTATTGACTTCAAATTTATGTCTAGAGTCTAAGAAGATCTTAGAAATAACCTAACCCAGAATCTAACTGAGAGCCTAATCTAGAACGTAACCTGGAACCTGAACCAGAACCTAACATGGCATCTAACACAGAACCTAACCTAGAATCTCACCTAGAATCTAGCCTATAATCTAACGTAGAATCTAATCTAAAATCTAACCCTGAATCTAGCCCAGAATCTAACCTATAATCTAACTCTAAATCTAACCTATAATCTAACCCAGAACCTAACCTATAATCTAACCCAGAATCTAGCCCAGAACCTAACCTATAATCTAACCTAGAATATAACCCAGAACCTAACCTAGAATCTAACCAAGAATCTAGCCTATAATCTAACGTAGAATCTAATCTAAAATCTAACCCTGAATCTAGCCCAGAATCTAACCTGTAATCTAACTCTAAATCTAACCTAGAATCTAACCCAGAACCTAACCTATAATCTAACCTAGAACCTAACCCAGAACCTAACCTAGAATCTAACCAAGAATCTAGCCTATAATCTAACGTAGAATCTAATCTAAAATCTAACCCTGAATCTAGCCCAGAATCTAACCTATAATCTAACTCTAAATCTAACCCATAACCTAACCTATAATCTAACCCAGAATCTAACCCAGAACCTAACCTATAATCTAACCCAGAACCTAACCCAAAAATTAAGTTCTTCATAATTGTACCACGAACATATCTACCAGATGTCCACATCTAAAAAAGTGTCTCAATCCACACTGAAGAAAATATATAAAACATTGTTAACACTCGTGTTATAGTGCCATTAAATAAATTGCAGTGAAAGTACGTTACCGGTGTTACAGGACAAGACCTGCTACGAGCTGAAGAACTTGGAACTGAAGTGTCAGTACTTCCTTCAGGTCCAAGCGGTCGCCCTATACGGAAATCGTCGCCTGGCGTCGCGAAAAGCCTCCAAGGTGTTCAACAGCACCGACTACATGGCATACGGTAAGACGCAACTCGATGAAACTGTTCTTCCATCTGCTACTCTGATATCTTTGCCGAGCTTAATGATCAGGATAACAAACGAAGAAGTGCCCTTTCATTGAAGCCAACGTGGGGAGACGTTCTCGCAGGTGTGAGCGATATCAAGCCGGCCTACATCTACGACGCATGATTTGCCACTGTGGAGAGGTCAAGGTACGCCTCGTTTGGCCCACGAACCACGACGTTAAGGCGTACAACGTGTCCTGGAGGGAGGAGGCCTGTCCGTCGCAGGATAAGCATGCGGCGCATCGGAAGAAAATCTTGTGGAAAGTTGTGCAGGTATCTGGGTTTATGGTTACTTTGAGAAAAGTGTTATCGGAGGTTTAGTGGGGAGTGGGTGCTTCATAGAGTTGTTTAGAGATATGGGGTTTGGAGGCGGGAAGATGGGGATTCAAGGGTTTGGAGGTTGGAGGGTTTGGGGATTTGTGGATGCAGGGTGGGATTTGGGAAATTAAGGTGTGGACATTTGGGGATTTGAGGAATTAGGGATGTGAAGGCTTGGGGAGGTGAGGAGCTGGGGATGTGGGGATTTAGGGATGTGAAGGTTTGGGGATGTGAGGATTTAGGGATGGGATGATTTGGGGATGTGAGGATTTAGGGATGTGAAGGTTTGGGAATGTGAGGATTTAGGGATGTGAAGGTTTGGGGAGGTGAGGAGCTGGGGATGTGGGAATTTAGGGATGTGAAGGTTTGGGGATGTGAAGGTTTGGGGATGTGAGGGTTTAGGGATGTGACGATTTGGGGATGTGAGGATTTAGGAATGTGACGATTTGGGGATGTGAGGATTTAGGAATGTGAAGGTTTGGAGATGTGAGAGTTTAGGGATGTGATAATTTGGGGATATGAGAATATGACCATGTGAGAATTTGACCATGTGAGGATTTGGCCATGTGAGGATTTGACCATGTGAGGATTTGGGGATGTGAAGATTTGGGGGTCTGAGCATTTAGGGATGTAATGATTTAGAGATGTGAAGATTTGGGGATTTGAGGATTTAAGAATTTGAATATAAACATATAAATATTTAAAAATGCAATCACCCAACAATCCATGAACACCCTCCATCTTCTACTTTTAAGTAAAGGCTAACCACATTGTTTGCAGACGCCACATTTAGACATATGGCGACTCCGAAACGGGTGCACATATAACGTGAACGTAAGAAACATCTTCCACGACGACAGTAGCGAGAAGCATGGCAGCAGCATCGAGTTTGTTGCTACCGGATGTCAGAAGGAATATGATCACAAAGAGAAGAAACTTTCGAATGATAAGATAGCACAGTGTAAGAGTAAATCGTTGAGAAGTAAACGGTACTATAGTGGCCTATCTCTGATATAACGATTTCTTGCCGTAAGTATGCGATTAACGCGTTCAGGTGCTTGAAGCGTAAATGTACAGGATGTCTTAAAAAAGATGCACTCCATAAAGCTGCTGAAGAAATGCTACTATGCGTTACCATAACATTTTACTATATGAAATTTCTTTAAGGTGTATCGCTTTAGTCTTTCTTAGGGAAATATAGAGGAAAGTCCCTAGTAATTCTCATTTATATTAATCATGATTTGATATTAACTATAATTTGTTGCTAACAGTGAACTTTGTTTAGAGATAAATATTTTCAAAGATTAAATATTATACAATTTTTCTTCGTACACAATTTTTCTTAATAGATATCGTGGGTTTCAAAAATGGTGGTCCAACAAATTTCATTTTTCAATTCTGATTTCACAAAGTTACATATATAAAGTAACAGGTTTGAGGATTTGTTTGAGGACAGAAAACTTAATTTTTCTTAAAGTGATGTAACGTAGGTTTCAAAAATGGTGGTCCAACATTTGAACAAATTTAATTTTCCAATTCTGATTTCATAAAGTTACATACAAAGTTAAAAGGTTCTTGAACTTGTTTCATGACAGAAAGTTAGCAGTACACCTTTTTTGAGACGACCTGTACACATTCTCGAAAGTATTCGAATGTTATCAAGTTTAATAAAAAATACATCGTGTCATTTTGAAAACGCAATTAACCTACTTTCAACCGAAGTTGCAGCTTCGAGAGAGATTTTTCACGGGACGCAATAATTCTGCACTTGGCCCACTGTTTTACGTAAGCATCGTGAATTTTCCGGAATATTCGGGGATAATTTTTACCACGTACCAACAAAATGACATTAACAGTAGAATTAAGTGTAATTTAATGTTTTCTTTGCAATCGAAACAAATTCGAGTGGTAGATATTTAAATAACATCTTTGTATTCCTGATGTGTAAGGTACAACCTGACGTACAAAAGACAATTGAACAAAATGGATGAATCTATGAACATTAACATATCCTTAGAAATAATATCAATGTTTACTGAATTGTTACTTATTTTAACACCTTTTACTGCTATTTATGTCACTTATAAACGTTGTAATTAATAAGTTGCATTTCCCATTTATCGTAATCATTTTATTAAGAATTTTTTGTTCATGGATGTTTGTGTTTACCACGTGTAAAGTTTCATTATAACAGGATATATTTGGAAAATAAAATTTATGAAAAAGGAGAGACTTGCAAGAATTTTGTGTGACACATTTACGTAAGGACCGTCGTATGGTCACGTGGGTAGACGTCACGTGCGCGCTGTCAACAAAATGGCGGCGCGCAGGTCACGTGTACGCCGTCAACAAAATGGCGGCTGCTGCATACAGCACGAACCACTATATTACTCACTTTTAAATGTAAAATACTATTACTACTTTTTTCCTGCTACAGAATTTTTAATGTAAAACTAGTACACAATTTTTAAAATATAATTAGTGTAAAATTTGTATGAATGAGATTATTATGTATCATCGATGTGATGGAAGTCGATGCAGCTTCAATGATAAATTCGAAACGAAAATGCATCCAAATTGACACTTAAATCATATATTTCAACAGAAGTACATTGTATTTAATTGCATTCTAACCTCACCTAGCTTTCAAGAACAATAAGCACACAGAATATGCCTGATTCAGAATCTGAAATGACATAACTCGTTAAACAAATATAATCAATAAATACAAACGGATTTCTCACCGACATGAAAGATGATAAGGTTAGGTCGACGCTTCGTACACTGGTCAGCTTGCACTCTAATTTGCTCCCGAAAGACATGATGGCCGTTGCGCGTAGCAAGGAGGTGTCGTAAACGCACCACTTCTCGTAGAACGCGTCGTCTGCTACTGCTATACTCTTAAATAAAAAAAAGCGATGAAATTTATTCACATTTAATAAACATTTTTATTAACATTAGCAAAGTGTATTACCGCTTCCAGTAATTCTTGAATGGAGAAGCATAACATGTACAATTGGATCAATGCTCCGATCGAGTACAGTGTGATCAGATATTTCTCCATGTCTTCTGTAGAGGTCTGCAAACATATTTAGACAGAGTTTAAGGGGAAAGTATGCATGTGTAAGGTTGAAAAATTACCATTACTAGCATAATGCTTAAGAAGCAGAATCGGAAAACGTTGTTTATGTACAGGACTCCTATGTTGGGAGCCAGGACCTTCTTGAGTGTGGATGTCATCCTGAAATGAGGTTTCAAAATGTGTTTAATTGCACAAGGTTTAGTATTGAGATCAACTTAAGCTCTACATAGTTTCACTATAAATTTCCATCTTCTCTGCAATCCTGGTAGGAGTGCATCTTGAGCAGACCTTCGGTCCAAATCTACAGGGTGTCTCACAACTAGTGGTCCTGAGGGGTCCTTAATAATTTAAAGCAAAGTTTCAAATTCCATTTTTGCAAAGGGAAATCTTATTCAGAATCACGTCACCCCCCTACACTAGGGGACTCAGGGACCTACACTAACTATGAAACACCCTGTACATATCTCTAACGACCTAACTATTTGACCTAACACTATGAAATCAAACTAAATCTCCACACAATCAATATTACCGTATTTACTTAATAATAGTTCCATAATGAGAAGTCAGCACCCTCATCTCCTCCTTAACCTCCATCTCCCCCTTCCAAGGCCCCTTCGTCCAAACATCCGATTTCCCCCGCAGTATCTCCGCAAACTTGATTCTCAGATACCTATACTGTGCCGTCATCAGCCGAATCATGTGTATCATGTAGAGGTCCAAACTAACTTTCCTGGCAATGGCGTACGTGCTTCCCAGACACACGAAGAATCCCCCGGCCACGAAAACCTTGAGGGAAAACGGCTCGGCGGAGAACACCGCGGGCACCCGATAATCCACGTAATAGAACTCGTCCGTTTGGGTCACTCTAATGAACTGCAGAAGCGTCCAAACGGTAACTGGACCGATGCTGCCGATCGTGTAGAGCTTCAACACCTTTTCCAGAGGCTGCACTGTTTGGGTCGTGACGCTCCTCAGCAATTTATCACCGTTGTTCAAAGTATCGTTCAGCTGTTCGATTAATCGTCGTAGGAGATTTTGACGACTGTTCATGTAAAGACTTAGGATAATGCCTTCGAGACTGACGGCCATGGCGACGGTGCTGTCCTTCAGGGAGATCTCTGTGGGCACGTACCGAGCACCCAGAACGCAGACTGCTAGGTAGGAGAGCTGTACCAGCCAGACGATCAGCCAATAGATTCTTGTGGACACCGACAGCTTCATCCTTTTGTCCGTCACTGGTAGCATGTTGCCCGACATTACGTTCATGAAGGCGTTTAGGCGATTCAGGTTCAGGAAATCCATGATGAGTTAGGAATGTGTCAAATTTGAAGGGCGTTCATATTTTGTTTAAGATCTGTAACGGGGAATCTAATTAGTTTGGTATTTGTGAATGAACTTTTGCTGATTTAATTTGTGGATCAGATGTTGGGTTATGGACTTGAATGGATCAACGAGAATTTATGCTAAATGCAAATTGAGATCACAGCTGAATATCTAATACCTGAGTACCCAGACGATTATGTGGTTCTGCTACCGATCCGATGTTATGATGAAGTTTGCATTTAATCATCAGTCGAATTAAAACACTTGTTCAACTTTAACAATGAAACTTCACTGCTTTTTTTTAAACAAATTTTTGTTTAAACATTTACTGAACTGTTAAGGATTTATTGTTCACTGTTAAGGAACGTCATTTCACGAAGCTCGATAACTACTGCAGTCTCTAGTTGCCAATTTCTCCCATTCCTTGCACTATACGTTGTTGCATTAAACATATGCATCAATTTAAACCTTTCGGTGTAATTACTGCGATGGTATCTTTGATGTATGGCCTTTTAATCGTGGCTCAGAACGTCTACCCAAGAACAAAGTGGAAAACTTAAATAATTACGAAGAATCGATAAGACACTCGCCTTGGTGACAAATTATAAACACGGTAAATCATTTGGTATTCCGTTTGAGAAGAAATTTCTGGCATCCTCGGAAGCAATTTACCGTGTGCAAAGCAAGGAATCTCGAAGAACCGCAGAATTTGACGTTGTCCGGGGGTAGCCGGTGGAAAATTGCGAATTACTCGCAGACGAGTTAAGGTAACCGGACGTGTTGATAACATGGTGCGAAGACCTTTAACACTGAAGGTAAGTTCCGAAAAAAATAAATGTTCTCAAAAATAAATAATTTGCAAATAAAGGTGTACAGAATGTTCGGATAAAGTGGAGAAGAAGTGCGAAAGAAATTGGTTGTAACACAGTTTTATATTCGTATAACAATTATGTATAATAAGTCAACATGCGGTGTACATTTATGTAAAAGCTATACAAAATGTTTTATATATAAATTCGTTCCACTTGTCGTGTTTGAAGATACAAGTTGATTGATCAAGTTGCTTGATCGAGTGGGGGCAGTTCGAGGGCGCTGTGCGCAGTTCGAGGGCAGTTAGCAGTTCAATCTATGAATCGCTTTAGTAAATTTGAGAAAGTACAAAAATTGAGGGCACTCGATCTGCCCATCGCTCCACAGAAACTCTTCTAAAACATCAAGTTACAAGATATTCTCTAAATTTCCAAGGTGTCGAGTTACAAGATATCTTCTGAGTATCAGGGTATCAAGTTACAAGATATCTCCTGAGTATTAGGGAATCAAGTTACAAGATATCTCCTGAGTATTAGGGTATCAAGTTACAAGATATCTTCTAAGTCTCCAAGGTATCAAGTTACAAGATATCTTCCGAGTATCAGGGTATCAGGTTACAAGATATCTTCTCAGTATTAAGATATCAAGTTGCAAGATATCTTGTAAGGTATCAAGTTACAAGATATTCCAATATATCAAATTACAATGCAAATTTGTGTTAAAACATCGACAACATAAAGCACTCCTCCGTTAAATATCTCCATAAATACAATCTACAGTACAGGGTGGAGCAAAAACGACCACCATTGAAATCAGAAGAATGACCATTGAAACTAGAAGAATCGAATGAACAAATGAAAAGACAGCCATCACAATTTAAATTAAATCTTAGCCACCTAAACATCTTAACAGCTGTTTTGTAGCACCCTGTATTAGAGACACCTCGTTAAAGCACGTACCACATAAACACCGAGTAGATCACAATCGTTAATTAAATACTATCATTGCGCGTGCAACAGTTTGCTTAGCAGAATACTGAGACACGTCAAGAATAAATTGGACGTGATGGCGGTTGCCGAGGAGTAGCCATCGAGATGGTGATAAACTTTCCTCTCTTCGAGGGGCTGCGTCGGCCTGTAATTAAAGCTGAGGGTCCCGTTGTTTGATCCGACATTTTTGAAAACTTCCAACTAAAAAACAATTAAAGATTAGAACATTGGTATGTTTGGTTGAAATGTTTTACCTGTGCCTCCGAGATGTGTAGTTTGTCCGCAAAGATGAACCACATCACAGATTCCTGGCATCCTGGGGTGGTCAAGGAGCCGCTATAGTGGTAGTAACTGCTGTGATCCTTTGGTAATAGAAGGAAGGGTACTATTTTGGACTCCGTCAACTCTGTACTTTTGCCTACGGTTTTGGAGACTAACTCTGTCGCCTTTATGATTGGCATGAGATCCAAATTGTCTTCGTTGCTTAGCTGAAATTATAGAGTTTGGTTTTGATAATAGTTCTAATGATAATAATACTGTTAATGAGTAATTGTATAGGTATTATAAGTGGAGTGAACTCTTGCTATACAGGGTATCTCACAACTAGTGATCTCTACACTATACAGGGTGTCTCACAACTAGTGGTCTCTACACTATACAAGGTGTCTCACAACTAGTGGTCTCTACAGTCTTGCTATACAGGGTGTCTTACAATTAGTTGTCTCTACAATAGTCTCTACACTCTTGTTATACAGGGTGTCTCACAACTAGTGTAGAGACCACTAGTTGTGAAACACCCTGTATTGCCACAATAAATTCAGTTGCATACCTCAAACAAAGTAGCGACAACTGCTATACCATTGTCGTGTTGCGACGCCATAGCAGTGTCGTTATAGTGACTGCTATAGTGCACCAAGTGTAGCTCTAAAACGTCACGTGTACCATCTATAGTGTGCTCGGCGGGCCAGTGGAAATGCATCTGTTCCAGGATGTATTTGGTTGGAAGGTTTGATCCTTTCAGCTGTGTAGGTACCCCTTCCAATTGAACTTTTACTACAATTAAAATTACAGTTACAGTGTGTGTTTTTTTACGACCGATTGGTCAGTTACAATCAGTCTCGAGTACCAAATATATGAATCACCCTGTATGTCATAATAAATTTTGATAACCTTGACAAAAAATTTCTAAGATTTTGTTAGGCAAGTATTTTTATTCGCATACCAGAATGACCATTGTTGGTGACTTTTGCGGAGTATGCAAAATCGTATCTGGCAAATTTAAGAGGGCCCATGTCCGTCTTCACGGTGTCTTCGGTGACGACGTTTATGGGCGACTGTTTCTTTCCTGTGGCGCACAGGCCTCCCCATTGTGAGGGACCTTGAAAACACACACATTTATTAAAAAATTAATTTTGTAGGTAATTATATGTATAGGTGATATTTATTTGTTAAATAATTATCTAGGTTGATGTTAATAGGTAATTTGATTTATTTAGGTAAGTAATAGGACCTTGAAAACATACATTTATTAAAAAATTAATTTTGTAGGTAATTATATGTATAGGTGATATTTATTTGTTAAATAATTATCTAGGTTGATGTTAATAGGTAATTTGATTTATTTAGACAAGTAATTCAACTGATTCTATTACGTAGATAATGTGACTTATTCTATTATATTATCTAACCTAACTTTCCGCCATTGATTATATTACCTAGCCTAAATTTCCGCCATTACCTAACCTAACTGTCCGCCATGTTTATAACATCTCGCAATATGCAGACAATCTTTTAATTAGCTATGATTATTTACAAAACACTAGAGTGAACAAATGACTTTACATTATTTTCAATGAAATTTGACATAATACCAATTGATGGTTACCATGATCGCCCCAATAGGACCAATCGTCGGCTGCTACCGCCGTCAGACCTGAAACAAAATATCCCCTTATATTGCAAAATTTCATTCATATAGATGCACTGTTCATTCTACATAAATGAATAAATATATTCATATTACAAATTTGCAAATTTAAATATTTGTAAATATTCAAAGACTACGTTTTTATATAGAATAAAAAATATTTTACAAGGCAGATATTTGCATATAATAATATGCGTGAAAATATTTTATAGTCCAAATACGATGAACATTTAATAAAAATTTTAATCGTTGTCGAATTTGAAATAATAGCCGACAGAAACGTGAACGATGATTTCTTCGATACACAAACGAAAGTCCGGAAACCGATGATTGAGTAAATGGAACAAACTATTAGCGTGTCACATCCTACTGTACATCGAATTGTACGAGGCAAAGGGTAGTAACCATGCCATAATTATACTCAAACGTAATAGTACTCACACGTTGCCACGAACTGATTTTGGCTCTTGAAGCGGTTAGCGTTGCACCACATTCAAAGATAAAAACCCGGAAATTTTTCTTTGTTATTTATTATTTTGCGAGCGTATCAATTTTATGACCGGTCAGAATTGAGTCATCGATACAGATTAAAATAATCTGGGACCCGTCTCTAAACGGGACGATTTCCATAGAAAAAAATGACGATACAAATCTTTGCAAACTGTTTGTGTAAGATAAAAATATATCTCAATGGAAATTATATCTTATCCCACTGAAAATTTTACGTTTATAAATAAAATCTGTTTCATGTTTTGATAGCATTGTCCCGATTTATTTGTACATATGTGACTCATGATTACACTTAAATTGACGAGGATTTCCAGGGTCCAAGGTTGCCTCCTTTTAATCCGCCCCTGATCTTTGACATTGCACTGATTGATATCAAAGTAGCACTTTGATACGTTATATAAATAAATTATATAAAAATAGCACGATAAGAATGTACAAAAATAGGAAGTGCAATGTACAAGTGTCACATATCTATTTCCAAGATATGGAACGCAAGAAGGTGAAGCTTGCAAGCTCCAAATTGACGAGACACAAGCTTGCAAGCTCAAAATATTTAACTCGAGTAGGGTAGGTTAAGTTCTCCATAACTATACTTCAAATAGGTTAGGTTATTTTAGGTTTGGTTCCTCTTAGATTGTTTCAAAATGGAGTAGGTTAGGTTAGGTTCTCCATAAGTGGACTTTAAATGGGTTAGGTTATTGTAGGTTAGTAGTAGAGTCTCTTTAGATTATCCCAAAGTGGAGTAAGTTAAGTTAGATGCTTCTTAATTAGACTTTAAATAGGTTAAGTTGTTATAGGTTAGTAGTAGAGTGTCTTCAGGTTGTCCCAAAATGGAGTAGGTTAGGTTAGGTTAGGTTCTCCATAAGTAGACTTTAAATGGGTTAGGTTATTGTAGGTTAGTAGTAGAGTCTCTCTAGATTATCCCAAAGTGGAGTAGGTTAGGTTAGATGCTTCTTAATTAGACTTTAAATAGGTTAAGTTGTTATAGGTTAGTAGTAGAGTGTCTTCAGGTTGTCCCAAAATGGAGTAGGTTAGGTTAGGTTAGGTTCTCCATAAGTAGACTTTAAATGGGTTAGGTTATTGTAGGTTAGTAGTAGAGTCTCTCTAGATTATCCCAAAGTGGAGTAGGTTAGGTTAGATGCTTCTTAATTAGACTTTAAATAGGTTAAGTTGTTATAGGTTAGTAGTAGAGTGTCTTCAGGTTGTCCCAAAATGGAGTAGGTTAGGTTAGGTTAGGTTCTCCATAAGTAGACTTTAAATGGGTTAGGTTATTGTAGGTTAGTAGTAGAGTCTCTCTAGATTATCCCAAAGTGGAGTAGGTTAGGTTAGATGCTTCTTAATTAGACTTTAAATAGGTTAAGTTGTTATAGGTTAGTAGTAGAGTGTCTTCAGGTTGTCCCAAAATGGAGTAGGTTAGGTTAGGTTAGGTTCTCCATAAGTAGACTTTAAATGGGTTAGGTTATTGTAGGTTAGTAGTAGAGTCTCTCTAGATTATCCCAAAGTGGAGTAGGTCAAGTTAGATGCTTCTTAATTAGACTTTAAATATGTTAGGTTATTGTAGGTTAGTAATAGAGTCTCTTTAGATTGTTCCAAAATGGAGTAGGTTAGGTTAGGTTAGGTTCTCCATAAGTAGACTCTAAACATATTAGTTTATTTTAAACTAGTATATAGCCTTTCACAAATTCTCTTGACTTATTGCTATCATTAAATAATATATATTTAAGAGTCCCATAAGTGTCCTGTTTGTTCTTAGCATGAAAAGTCATATGTCAAAAAAAATAATTAGTTAAAATCATCTTGAATTATTACTATTTAAATTACAACATCCACACTACAAATCCAGTGAAATACCAAACAGATCAACGGTACGCGAATCCCATCCATCTGCCATCTTATCAGCCACACACAGTATCCCCATCAAACAACTTTAATTCACCCATTCAAATGACACTAAATCAAACTGATTTAACACATTTTCCAAAATCGTAACCATTTCATGATGGTTTCGTATGTTCTTAATTAGCGCGTAATCAAACAGCTAATGAACGCCATTGCCTTTTAAACTGCCTCTAAAGCTACACGAACGATGAACAATTCAAACAAATTTTAATGAGCATAATGCACCCTTCCGGTCATTAAGCAGCGTTTCTTGTTAATCTATATTTCTGATGAATTTTGCACATCGCTGAAAGCATGGATTAGCGAATCATTTGCGGATTATAAAAGCGAGGTTTAATTTGGTACAGTAACGCATCGAATATGCCGATTTCGAAACGGAGCGTCCGATTGATACCATTTGATAAGATAAATGTCCCGCGAAATTACACTCTTGCTGCGTCAATTTAAAATTCGTGCTTTGATTCAAGTGATCAGAGACATTTTAATGTTTTACTTTAAGGGTGAACAGATGACTTTTATTATTGTTTCAGGATAAAGTATATAGAAAAAAGTGAATTGTAAAAAATAATTGAGTAAGGTGAGGAAGGAAGTTGAAAAATATTCTATTACAAATATAAGTGAAGTAGAAAATTATTTATAAGAAATAATATTAAATAAAGCACAGAAAAAAATAATATTCAATGAAGCACAAAATAAAATCGATGAAAAAAATATTATTGAATAACGTAGAAGAGAAAATTAATGAAAAAAAATAATATTGAAAGAAGTAGAAAATAAAATTGACAGAAAAAAAATAATATTAAAAAAGCAGAGAATAAAATTGACAAAAAAAAATAATATTGGAAAAAGTAAAAAATAAAATTGACAAAAAAATATTGAAAAAAATAGAGAATAAAATTGACAAAAAAATAATATTTAAACTAGAGAAGAAAATTAACAAAAAAAATAATATTGGAAAAAGTAAAAAATAAAATTGACAAAAAACAAATAGAGAATAAATTTGACAAAAAAAAAGTAGAAAATAAATTTGACAAAAAAATAGTATAGAGAAGAAGGAGTCGGAATGATACCAGAAAAGTGTGCGTGTCTTACCTATGACAATAACAACAATAATGCATGAACTCGGCATCTTTCGAACGCTACCTGGGACTGTCACAGCTTAGATGACCCGATGACACGTACGTGATGACGATGAACATACAACTGATGTACGTGTCGTTAATCTAGCTGGATAGCCTCGAGATTACACGAGGCCCTACTACAACGAGATTTACTTTATGCATCGTGTCCACCATTGTGGTGGTCACCGTGCGCGAGCGCGTTCGCCAATTAACCCCCCATCTGCATAAAAAGTAAATCGAATGTCAGACTGCATTCCGTATTTTAACTTACCTTGTTTCACGAAAAAATTTCATTGAATGAACAATATTACACTAATTATTTGTTTGTAAAATATTTTGTAGGGAAAGGTAGCGTTACTGTACAGGGACTGCTAGATAGTTTCCCGCCTACGGGGCTCTGGAGGCGGGGCTTCATAATAGGGTACTTCAAATATCACTCTGAGTGATTTTAATCAGATTTGATGTGCATTTATATTTATTTGCACGTTGCAAAATTAAATCTATTTTTATTGTTTATAATTTTAAGTGACACTTGTTTCAAAAGGTGAGTTATTACGTTTATGTCAATTGAAATATTTGTTAGAAAGTAATGCTTTTTATGTCACTTCACGTCAAGAATAACTGTGAATTATAATATAAAGAACGCAGCAAAAATATTAAAAAAGCATCGAATCACAAAGTACACTGAACACACACTCCATTTGTGGTAAACTTCATTTTTTAAATAAAATGCACGAAGTAAAATGGCGAATTACCTGAATAAAAGAATGTCAAAAGAATGAAAATTTTCAGACACATTTTGAGTGTACGTTTTAGTCGATGATACAACGTGGACAACTTGCAGTGAACTGACCTTCCCCACAAAATTTCTCAGCAACATCGATGCATTCAACCACTCAGTGTTTGCACGATGCTACTGTTGAATTAATAGACCCCGCTTTTACTATCTATCCATTGGTGCAAATATAGAAGTAGAACAACTTGAATAATGATCTGTTGCTCAATCAAATTTTCAAATTCACCTCTTGAATCTTGTTCTATAATAAAACATACAATTCGCTTTGCAACAAATATTTAGTCGCTTAAAAGGCAACACTCATATTTTTTAATACTCACAGTTTCACGCTTACCTTCAAAATTTGTCAATTTTATACATTTTCAAATTTATAAATTTTCATAATTTTAGAGGGAAAAATTTCACTCTCCATATATTGCCGATTTCGAGAATCATCTATCATTGATGGCAATATAACGAGAGACTATTGTAACTAAAGGAATAAAACAAAGTACAATTCTATAATTAATTTCTTTATTTAAAAACTAGTAAGGTACAAAAAGAAATAAGGGGTCCTACAGACCCCATAACATTCACATATATTAATTAACAATTTTACAAATTTCACTAAGAAATCGCAATTGACAATCTAATAATATTCCTGCAATATAAAGAAAGTAATCTATTCCTGCAATATAAAGAAAGTAATTTATTCCTGCAATATAAAGAAAATAATTTATTCCTGCAATATAAAGAAAGTAATCTATTCCTGCAATATAAAGAAAATAATTTATCTAACAATGAATAACAATGAAACAAAAATTTTCTTAAAGAATGACATCACCTCCCTCCCTCAGTAGAAAGACTATTTTGTAACAATATAGTCGAAAATTTATTTCTATAAGTGCCCACACTCATTATTTACAAATTTCCAATTATAAACTCCTCTCTGTACACGTTGTATTAGTTCCGCCGATAAAAATAAGTCTAAATGTACACCGAATAATCTTCCTCGTTCTTCGGTCCTAAAAATATCTAAGAGACCAGTTCATTCGGTCGAATCTTCCTGTTCACCCACCATATTTTTATTTATAAATTTCTACGCACGACTAACAAAATATTAAACAATGCACTTGAAGACATAGGCCCATCTTTAATTTTGATGTCAAGTAAAAATGTTCGAAACAGTAATTCTTCCAAAATGGAGTCAGCTCCAGTGGTGCCATCTGCATGAAGGGTACTCGTGCCCCATGGAGCATCATTTTATTTTCCTCCTCAATAATTATATCATTTACCCCGACAAAATTTCACAAGCTAGAATCCAGGAAATAATAATGAGAATGTAAGACCGAAATCAAGTAAATTTGTAAAACTAGAAGTGAAATATCAACGGGGAACCAGATCGGCATCGTAGCAACTGCGCCTCGAAGTGAAACGTCAGAAGAGAACCGGAGAGGAGGAGAGGCTAGAGCGCGTGTAACATGAAGCGACGCCTTCGTCCAGAAATAGAAAAGCGGCACGAAAGTCATTTAGTGTCAGCGAACGTGTAGTTTCCCTGGCCGGGAGTATTGTTCGATAACAATTCGTGTCTTTCGCTAAAAGAAATGACGCGTTTCCCGATGAGGTCCTCGTTGAGGAGCCGGGACTCGAATTCGACGTCGACCGACGTGGACCCACGCGAACGTATCAAAGACTGTTGCCGGAAGTTGATCGCGTTTATGTGCACGCAGGTCGGCGTTGGCGGATTGGTGGTCGGTTACGCTATAATAGGCGCGTTCGGTTTCACGTCGATCGAATCTCAAGCCCAAATTCCGTCCACGGTTTGCGCACGGGACTCGATCAGGAAACAGTACGCGGAAGAGTTATGGCTCGGCACGGCCGGCAACCAAAGCGTGAACGTGTTCGATAAGACGACGTTCTTTATGGTGTCGAATCAGATCCTGCGCCGTTACCAGGACAACTTCACCGGTAGCTACGGCAAGGAGAACTGCAGTGGGCTGAAGCCGTCCGACCTCTGGTCTTTCCCGGCCGCCATGATGTTCTGCCTCTCCGTGTTCACCATGATCGGTTATGGGACCCTGGTGCCGCAGACCCCGTGGGGAAAAGCGGTCACCGTTATCTACGCCGTCCTGGGGATCCCTCTGTACGTCCTGTACTTCCTCAACATGGGAAAAGTGCTGGCGCAGACCTTCCGCTGGCTGTACACCTGGCTGCACGAGTGCACCGGCAAGAGGAAACCTGGTCAACGGATCACCGTGCCGTCCACTGCCTGTCTGTGGGTCATCTTTGCGTACGTGCTCGCCGGGTCTATCATGTTCGCCGAGTGGGAAGGATGGGACTACCTGGACAGCGCTTATTTTTGCGTCACGTCCCTGTGCAAAATTGGCATGGGCGATCTTGTTCCCGGCTGGACGCACGGAGACCTCACCGCGGACGGCCAGACTAAATTGATAATAAATTTTGTTTATCTGCTGCTGGGTATGGGACTCATCGCCATGTGCTACGACCTGATGAAAGAGGACGTTTACGTGAAGGCTAGGGAACTTAAAGAGCAATTCATTCAGATCGTCGATGCCGCACATTATCAGTTGGAAACTTGCTGTGGATCGCATATGCCGGATACCAAGTAGACTGATTCCTATTGATGTTGAATATCGCTGGTAATTTATGGTAAACGTTACTTTTTATAGAACAAGGAGTTTGTTTGAGGAACTGCGAAGCTGCGGATAGCGGTGTATACAACTTTCCATAAATAACATTTTATTGTAATTTTGTACTTGACTATAATAATAATACTTTTAATGACATATTAATCGTTGTTTCTGTAATACAATTTTTATTAATCGTATTTCCCGCCATTTTTATAGTAGGGGCCTTGCAAGTGATCTTTGCAAAATTTGTTTAAATATAGGAACACTGACTGTTCCAGATTATTAGAATTAAATAAATATTTAGAAATCTGGGTTTCGTATTGTTGCAAGTGTAACAACCATGTACAATTTTAGACTTACAATAATATAACCTTGTTACGAGTACAATTCTTGTTACAAGTAGACAATTTTATATTTCTTATGCTAAGAGTATACGTTTGAATTTTACAAGAAAAGTAACAAGTTTTGATACAAACCTGTGCCAAATTTGGTTACGGAAATTTTCCCACGAAAAAGAGGACTGCCAGCGCTATCCAGTGGTCAAAGTGGTCCACAAAATCCTCAGCCACCTAGCGGTGAAATGTGGGAACTAATGAAACTAAATTTGAACTAATTTTTTAATGTTTTGACCAGTTAACTCCTTCGAAATGTTTTATAATATATTAATATTGGTTTCCAAAATATTTGATCGTCCTTTTAATCAGAAAACAGACGTACTTTTTTCTTTATGGTGTATATTTCAAAAATAGTGTGACTAGCGCCATCTAACAATGAGAATGCAACTAAATTTCCCCCGTTAAAAATGGAATTTGGGAATTACAGTTAAAATGCTATATAAATTTTACAATTCTACATAATTTTATAATTAACGACAGAATGAAGGGAGAAAAATTTCTCTGATTTTGTTCTTTCTCTTTTATTTTGTTTACATATAGACATGGAACACAACGATCAATTATAAAAAAGTTATGACCTAATTTAATCTATGTATATTGCTTCCGATACTGATTGCACTTGGTAAAAACTGAAAACCTATAAAAATTCCATATAGTAACAAAATATAGAATGCACCATTTAGGTTTTATACCTAGATCCATATCACTATCATTAACCTCTCACAACAATAAAATCGTGCGGCATCATTCTGAATACGTGTAAAATATAGTATATTAAAGAGATCGTGAAACTATATATAAGTACTGCATAGTTACAATATTATAAATTTGAATATCTGGAGGATAACAAAATTACAAATAGTTCCCCTCTAAATGGAATTTATTCGATATATGAGGCAACTGAAAAATGCCTTTTCAATAAGAGGTCTAAACACATGTTCTCGTCGTTATTGTGCGTCAAGTCGTATGAAAGAGAAACAAGTACATGCCGATACACCTACGCCAGTTATAAGTCAGAATACAATAAATAAACTAGAACAATTATCTTTGATTAATTTTAACAGTGATCATAGTTTCTCTGTCTTAGAAGGTGCGATTAATTTTACAGAAGATTTACGAGTTGCAAAAATTGATGACAAAATTGAACCTATGTACAGTCCGATTGAGAAAGAATTTATACCTTTGAGAGACGATCAAGTAGAAAATAATGCAACCAGAAACGAAATTTTAAAAAATGCTGTTCTATTAGATGAAGAATACTTTGTAACACCACTGAATAAAAATACAGATTCATCATGAACATAACAAACATATTAAAAGAATTAAGCACACATTTCATTAGTCTTACAGACCGTGGACTCCTATATGGACCACAAGGTAAAATGTTGCTAAGAAACCTTGAACAACATTGGTTTTTACATTGCGTCACAATGTCGCCTTATAATATATTCTTATCGGATGAAATTATTAATACATATGATTTTATCGCAAAAACTGCAACTAGCAATATGCCATTTGGATTAGCCAAAGTGAAAAGTTCAAAAGACAATTGGAATCGGGATATATCAACTACACTCATATTAAACTTGCATAAAACAGCCGAAGTAGCTATTTTTAACAACGATACTGAAACCAAAGATTTATTTCACAAGTTACAAAAAAATCGTAAAACTTGGTGGCGCAGATTGGCTCAATGTCCTTCTCGATTCAACTTAACAGAGGCAAAGAAAGTAAAAAATAACGAACTAATAGATATCGAAGCACAGTTTCCATTTGGCAATGTTATCGTGGAAAGAATAACTTACTATACTGATGTTCAAAAGTTATTTTCACAGGTGTTTTTTTTAAGTTCTAATTTGTACAATTTTAAGGAAAAGGAATTATTTATATGGAATATTTTATTTTCAGATTGATGATAAAAAAAACTTTTCCCATCAACAAATGATTGAACATACGGTATCTTTAGACTGGGGCTGTTTAGCACTACTTTGCGATGCTTATGACTTAAGTAAAAAAACTAGGATGCAAATTCATTCCAAACTAGCACCACATAAAGTTGCATTTCGTATAAAAAGACCAAGTGATAAGGCGAATGTTCAAAATGATGATTTAAATCGCTTTGTACTTTATTTAAATAATATGCTAAAAACAAAAGGTCTGAATACTATATTAACCACCTCTGAGCAAATTATAGACACGTGCTTGGTTCCTTTTATAGTTTTAGTTGATACGACTAGTCTTGAAAATGGCATTATAAGTGTAATGGACAGATCGACGACTCTCAGTGAAACCGTTCATGTAACCGATTTAGTAAAGTATATAAGTATGCGTTGTTAACCAATTGATATGGTTCAATTTCATTTGAATAAAATTGTTGTATCAAATGTCTAAAATACATTATCGATATAGTTACTTCCTAATTTCTAGAAAATATAACAGATTTTGGAAACAATAAATTTTAGGATCTTCATTTCCAATTATTTTATATTTAACATATCACTCATTAAATTATAAAATGGGCAGCTACTTTATCGCAATAAAGTCCGTGAAAAATCTAATATGCCGGCAAACAAGATCACGATAACATTCTGAAAATTAATTGTATACAGATGGAATCAAGATGAAAAATTATTTACGGATGTTTAGTGACATTGAAAGTTTAAGAAATTGGAATGCTATATGCTTAATAAAATGTATACTTTGTACACGAGCATTCCTCGATTTTTCTTAAATATTGCCAAAATTCATACAACTCAATCAATATTAACATTACTCAAAGGAGCAGTACAGTTTCCAAAAGCTAATACTTATGTGGCTAAGCCGGTAGTTGTAGCTTCTTGCCTTTGAGTACTTTGGTAATATAAAGGTAAAAGAAATCACAATAAAGAACAGTTTGTACTAAACCAGCAACAATAGCAATTAAGTCATAATGGTATTCTGCATAGTAACGGTAGACCCAGTTAAGCAGATACAGGCCTCTATATGATCCCAAAGCAAAAAGATAATGACTTGTGATACTTTCTGCTTCGCCTGTTTTCGATACCATGAACAATTGTGGCAATATCGCTACAGACTCCAAGTAAATGCTGAATGTCCATAAAATTTCCACAACCGTGAATTCGTGATTGATTAATAATGCCAATACCAAAGTTGGAAGAATTAAGAATTCAATTCTAAAAAAAGAGAACATCATTATATCAGATTAAAATACACAAGTGCCATTACTTCATAAACTTATTCCATATTTGTATCTATATATTATGTATGAAACACGTACCTAAATGTATCATGATTATGATCGTATGTAGCTTTAAATTTCACATACATTAAGAAAACTGTAGCATATGACGTTGCAATAAAAATAATTTTCATAAATGTATTATAACTTGAAATATATGTTGTTAGCAAGTCTAAATAACGAGTTGTATATACAAATGCAAATAAAATTTGTGATTTGCCACTGATACCTGTAGGATATAAATTAAAAATTATTGATAATGAATTTTTACAGAAATAATTTACACTTCATTTATTATAGAACGGCTGACTTTATATATTATAAACATATAAATAATATCGATGGTATATACCGGCACAGCTCCGCGTTTTCCATATTTTGAGAAGAAGAATTATGATCGCAAGAAGATGCGATGAGTCACCTAGTAGTCGAAATATGTTCATGTTTTCGGTTTTTGAGAAATAATTTTTATAAGAAAGCCGAGAAATACTTCACACACCTAACTCACAAACCATACAAAATATGACGTGGCTTTGGCTGCAACATCAGCAGATGGCCGACCGCCGACCGCTCAACATCGCTCAACTATATAATATCATATAACATGCAATGTTTTTACGTATTCGCATAAAGTACAATAAATAAGCAAACTTATAAAAGTATATAAATACTTTATATATTAATTCCAAATCAATGTATCTTTTATATATTACAATTACATCAAATAAAAATATTAGATGTAGTGAAATAGGAAAAATAAGTTTAATTCATTAATTAAATTCATATAATCCTAACATTTCGCATCATTTTATTATGCATATATGAAAATACTTCAAAGAATATATTTTCATATCATATTACTATATTTGTCACTATGATTTTGAATTTATTCCCAGTTTACTAAATTTAAAGCTGATAGGTCAGTGGGAGAGACAACCTGAATCTGATGTGATTTTAGAGACCTCCAACGGGGAATTCAGGAAACTTTGAACAAAGATTGGCAACCCTTGTCTCTCTCACAATGCTCTACAAAGGAGAGACAAGGACAGCAGTTGACACACAACTCTTCATTGTTTACAGATTTTGAGGCAAAACAATATTGCCTCATGCTTTATTATCAAAGTTATATAAGATGTAGAGTCTGATTTGCAGTTTCTATTTTTAAACTTTACAAAACATGTAAATGTATACATGAAAATATATTTTTAAAATCGTTCTCTACTTTGTATAATTATTCAATGAATATTTTTAAACAGAGAACACAAAGAAATATTGCTTATTTATCTCAAAATCTGTAAACAATGAAGAGTTGTGTGCCACCTGCTATCCTTGTCTCTCCTTTGTAGAGCACTGTGGGAGAGACAAGGGTTGCCAATTCTTGTTTAGAATTTCCTGGTTTCCCCGCATGAGGTCCTTAAAATCATTTGGGGTCTATCGTTTCTCATTGCCAGTTAGAATGGTTATAATAACAGTTCGAGACAAGTTATATACATATTATTATAAGAAAAACTGTCAATGAGTAACCCCTAGCATGAGAACTAGCATTATATTGTGATCTTTATCTAATGTGATTATAATTTATTTTTCTTTTATTGTGTAAAATTCATATTTCAAGATGACTTCACCTATAGCTTCAAAGGTAGTTAAAAGTGTGAAATTTGTATAGATAAAAAATAATTGTATTTTTATATAGGTTACAATGTATTTAATATTGTTTTAAATAAATTCTGTTAATGCTGTATGTCTAATGGTACTTGCTGTTGTATTTTATTTATGTAAATAAATTGATGTAAAACTAAGTTTGATGAAATTTGATGTAGCTACCTTTGTTAGAAATTGCTTTGAAGTATTTTGCCCTTATTGTGTAAAACTTATAAGTAATAATGAATAATAAACAATACCCAGCACCAAACGTACATTGTATCAAACCCTCCACCATAATTGATTGTTACAAATTGTATAGCGAAGAAAATAATTGATATAACAAACGAAACATTGGACTTAATGCTCTATATTTTGTATATCATGACTATCTTTTTTATTATAAGTCCCCTGTTTTGTGAAATCAAAATACTGGTTTCAAGTGTTGCATAGAAATATGAGAATTATTTTATTTATGTATACTTATATCTCAATGTATAAAAGATTAGGAAACTATGAAATAGTACTTTGTAAAGCTTAAGAAAGTAATGATATAAGAATTAGAAGAAAAGAACATAGTTGTGATAATTAATGTGTTCATAATTGTAGGTTCCAGTTGCACCCTCTGTACAGGAATTCAGTATTCGTGTACCAAAGTATGCATTCAAATATTTTCTTTATCATGTGCAACTGATTAACAGTATTAAACAAAATGTTCTATTTCAGAAATAACAAAAAGAAACATAATGTAATGCGCTTTAATGCCACATTAAATGTTGATTTTTCAAAATGGACACAAGTGAAGATGGAGCGTGAAAATAATATGAAGGAGTATAAAGGAGTAGAAGAAGAAATGCCAAAGTTTGGAGCTGGATCTGAGTTTGGGAGAGATGCAAGAGAAGAAGCTAGAAGAAAAAAGTTTGGCATTACTAGTAGGAAATATAAGCCAGAAGATCAGCCATGGATTTTAAAATCTGGTGGGAAAACTGGGAAGAAGTTTAAAGGCATAAGGGAAGGTGGTGTGAGTGAAAATGCAGCATATTATGTTTTCACTCATGCTTCTGATGGAGCCATAGAAGCTTTTCCATTACATGAATGGTAAGATAATGTTATTTTTTAAGGACTGAATATTATAATACGTAACATTTATATATTTAGGTATAATTTTCAACCAATACAAAGATACAAAGCATTGAGTGCAGAGGAAGCAGAGCAAGAATTTAGTCGTAGGAATAAAGTAATGAATTACTTTTCACTTATGTTACGTAAAAGACTTAGAAATGACGAGGAAGGTGCAGACGATGAGGAAATGATGGATGGTGGGAAGGGTAAGAAACCAACTAAAAAAGAGAAAGAATTAAAGATTTCTGAAATGGATGAATGGATGGATAGTGATGATGATGACTCAAATAGTAATGATGATGAAAATAAGAAAAACTCTGAAGAAGAAGATGATGCTAAGAAGAAGAAGAAAGCTAAAGGTGGATGTCATAAACAGTTATAAATAATTATTTATTCTACATTTCGATGAATTATATAATAATGAGTGGTTATATTAGCTAATTCACAGAAGAAGAAAAAGAAGAATGCTTCAGATGATGAAGCATTTGAAGAAAGTGATGATGGAGATGAAGAAGGCAGGGAATGCGATTATATTTCTGATTCTTCAGATTCTGAATCAGAATTGGAACAACAAAAAGAAATCAAGTCTGTTGTGGAAGAAGATGCATTACGAAAATTGCTTGCATCAGACGAAGACGAGGACGATGAAGAGCAAACAGATAAAAAGGATGGTGATGAAGATAAGGACGAAGACGATGAAAATAAAGAGAAAGAAGATAAGGTAAAATGAATACAATTGCAATTAAATATTGTTTTTCTTATTATTTTTTTCAAATTGTTCAGGACAAGGATAAGGCAAGTAAAGATACAGATAAGAAGAAAGATAAAAAGAAGAAGAAGAAACAGTCAAAAAAGAAGGACGTGAAAAAGCTTGGATCTGGAAAGGATTCTTCAAGTGACTTTTCTAGTGATTCAGGATCAGAATCTGATACTGTAAAAGAAAAAGATAATAAGAAATCAAACAGTGCACACAGTTCGAGATCTGCAACACCTACTCCTGCTGGAATGCCTGATCCTATGAAAAGAAAACATTCTGGTTCTCCAGATTTATCACAATCAAAAAAATTAAAGATAGAGAGCACTTTAGGACCTCTATCTGGTTACATTCCAGGAGCCAGGTATGTCTTCTTTTATCATTATAAAATAAAAAAGTTAAATCGATCTTTTCTTCAATATAGGCAGTTTAATTGTAAACAAATTAATATATTCAGAAAGTAAATATTTTTATTATGTTACAGTGAATCTGGTATCTCTGAAGATGCTGTTAGGCGTTATCTCATGCGTAAACCAATGACAACAACAGAACTTTTGCAGAAGTTTAAATCCAAAAAAACTGGCCTTACTTCCGAACAATTAGTTAACGTAATGACTCAAATACTGAAGAAGATTAATCCAACTAAACAGACAATAAAGAATAAAATGTACTTGTCGATAAAAACACAATCCAATTGATATGTTTATGTATTTTTATGAACTAGTACAATCATCCTAATATATTCTGCAATATTTATTTTATGTAACATGTAAAATAGTTTACATAACCATAAAATATATTAATTTAAAAATCTGTTGTGTAGTAATTTATTTGTATTATTAATAGATCTATAATTATGGATCAATTTTATAAGTCATTCAGATTTGTTTTTATTTGAACTGTTTACGCTTACAATAACAGAAATCGCATGACTAAAAGAAAATTTTGATAACGATATGGCGTTAAGTTTATCAGTGATGTAGTAACTTTTGCATTGACCTCCCTGACCCAATACTAACACAATAATACAGTAGTATTACTTTAAAGCACAAATGAACATGTGGCATTACGGTACATGACAGTCTCGTGGAAGCAGGAATTAAACTGGCAGACTGTATGGAAAAATTATGAAGATTTTAAAATTATACAACAATCAAACGAGGAAAACCTGTGCTTTATTAAAAACACAGACTTCTGTGTCTTCAGTTCGCTACATCAATGTAAGATATATAAAAAAATATATATATATACATTTTATTTAGAAGTGTGTAAAAATGTGAATCAAAAATAATACTATCTATTTTTAATCAAGAGTATTCTTTGCAGACTCTGAAAGATAAAGTAATAGCAATCAGAAGAGAAGATCAATCAGTATGGGAAAGAAGAGCACCTTTAGCACCTGCAAATGTTCGCAGATTAATAAGAGCAGGGGTAAAAGTAATTGTGCAACCTAGTAACAGAAGAGCTTATCCTGCACAATCTTATCAAGCTGCAGGAGCATCATTACAAGAAGACATTAGTTCTGCTTCTGTTATTTTTGGGGTGAAACAAGTACCTGTGGATCAATTAATATCTAACAAAACCTACTGTTTTTTCTCTCATACCATAAAGGCACAAGAAAGTAATATGCCATTATTGGATGCTATTCTTGAAAAAAATATACGTTTATTAGATTATGAAAAGTTAACAGATGATAAAGGACAAAGAGTAGTTGCTTTTGGGAAGTATGCTGGTGTAGCTGGCATGGTGAATATATTACATGGACTTGGATTAAGATTACTTGCACTGGGACATCATACACCCTTTATGGTAAGATAGTTTGAGTTTCATTAGATTTACAGAATCTTAAGGAGCCTTGAAATGATGTAGATGAATGAAGTCTAATCTTTTTTCAAACTAAGAAGATATGGTTGTAGCTGAAAATAAAATTCATTGGCCAAAGATTTTTTTATAAAAATCAGAACAGGATTTACAATAGCTCAACTTTAATGAGTTAATTTTCTCAATTTTTGTACTTCATAAATTGAAGAGGTTAACATATATTGATGCCTCAAAGAATCAGTTCAAATCTTGGGAAGATCTACCTGGGATTAAAGATGATCAAACAAATGTTGATCAGATGTTTGTCAAGTTCTAATTCTACCAGTTATTTCATTACTTTTCTGAAGAAACTTTCTTTCTCTTTCATTCCCACATTTATGATGTTACAAGAAGTGATGATTGTTTGATCTAACTTGTCATCCTAACTATTGTGGAGAAAAACCTCTACAAACCATGACCATTGCATTTTTAAACTTTGAGATTGTATTCTTCTTACCTGCAGTGAGAGGATATTGATAAAATGGGGCCTTTATTTCATAAAAGTCATTCAACATTATGCGTTAAATTGTCTAGGTTTACGCACAATTTTGTATTTATGTTCCCCTAATTTTTCTTTCCAGTGCATTAAATGACGTTGGATCTGACAGAATGTATAAGCATTCAAGAGATTTGATCTGATCCATTACCAGAAAATATTCTCGCTTGCTGGGTGAAGAATGCATTCCAACAACGTTTAAAAAATCTGGATACATGAACTGTCGGTAGGTCATTTCTTATCCTTCCCTCAGTATAATTACTGCTTTGAAAGCAAAACCAGTTTGTCTTTTTTACATTTTTATATATTCTTCTTTTTTTTTGGTCTTTTCTTTCTGCACTTTATTCTTATCAGGATAAATTCTTGTTAGCAAAAGTTGAGTAGGAGGAATTTAGGGTGGAAGGTAGAGGTATTCTGAAACTTGATCTTCATTGGAATTCTTCTTCATCTAATTCTATCACTTAATAAAAATCGTGAAATATTTTTCTATGTTCTCAACTCTCCACTGGAAATAGCACTGTAAAGAAATGAAATTTTTATGGTCTATTGTAGATACTAGACTTAATTTTATAGGCTCAAAATTTGCATTGTATGAAACTCAGTATTTGACTGAATTGTAGTTAACTGCATCATTTTACTTTCTAGCACATTGGGCCAGCACATAATTACAGAGATTCTGCCATGGCCAGGCAAGCAATAAGAGATGCAGGATATGAAATAGCATTAGGTGCCATGCCAAAATCCATTGGGCCATTAACCTTTATTTTTACTGGAAGTGGTAATGTAAGTCAAGGTGGTCAGGAAGTGTTTCAAGAGCTTCCTCATGAATATGTTCCACCTGAAATGCTGAGGAAAGTTGCAGAACATGGTGGTAAGCATATGAAACCTATATAGCTTACATCTTCACAGTGTGACACAGACATACATTAAAACTTATATTTCAGATACAACAAAAATATATGGGTGTGAGGTAAGAAGAAGACATCACCTAGAAAGGAAAGATGGAGGTGGCTTTGATCCCAACGAATACGACAAGCATCCTGAGAGATACATTTCCACCTTTAGCAAAAAAATTGCACCCTACGCTTCTGTGATAATTAACGGAATATACTGGGCCGTTGATTCACCAAAATTATTGACTATACCCGACGCTAAATATTTATTGCGACCAGCTTATACTCCTTGGCTACCGACCAGTGTCGGTGCCCCCGCTTTACCCCACCGAATGTTAGGTATTTGTGATATATCTGCGGATCCCGGCGGCAGTATCGAGTAAGATCAATTTAATTTGCAGTAATTTATTTACTTCAATTGCAATAAAAGAAAATTTTTGCAGGTTCATGAACGAGTGCACAACCATCGATACGCCATTTTGTTTATACGATGCCGATCGCAACAAGGACACGAAATCCTTTAAAGGACCTGGGGTTCTAGTTTGTTCGATAGATAATATGCCCACACAGCTTCCGAAAGAGGCGACAGACTTCTTTGGAAACCTGCTGTACCCTTATGCACTTGATATTATTAGATCAGACGCAAGAGTGCCGCTGGAAGAACATAATTTCACTCCAGCAGTGCATGGTGCAATAATCGCGTCTAATGGACAATTGACCCCCAATTTCGAATACATTCAAGACTTGAGATTGATGAATCAACGTAGTAAACACAAGGCAGATAGCACGGAAACACAAAATAAAAAGGTATAACAATGAACTACAGTAGACTTTCGTTATATTCCCGCCGACGGAGTTGTTCAAACAAACAAGTCTCGAAGTTAGTTCGAATACATCGCTAGCAAAAATGTTTTGTAACTTGATACGTTCACGAGGAAGCAATAATGTGAAAGTTCGTGGCGGCAAGATAACAAGAGTTTACTGTAATTGATAGTGTTTTATGCATGAATTATTCTCACTTCAATGTAACGTGTTTAAATATATTCTGAAGTTCCATCTATATTAATAGAAGCCTCTGATTGCAAAAACACGTGCTACTCAATTATGAAATAAAATACTATGATAGAAAAAAATAGAGATAAAAAAAATCATGGCGTGACAACATCAATCAAAAGTTAGTTTACATGTTGATATGAGATTAAGGCAAGGTTCGCATAAAAGTTAGATTATTTACGTTGGTGATAATACAATATTTTTTATTACTATCAGAAAGATAAAGTCTGGGGAAAATTATGTTGTTGGCAGAATATTCCAAACGACAATGCAACAAAGCAAACAGTTTCAAGTATTGTTATTTTATTTAAATATATTGTTAAATAACATTTCAATTATGTAAAATTATCAAATACTTTATAAAAGACTTAACATAAAATTGTCTGATAACGTTCAAACACTAGATGAATAAAAATCATTGTCAATACTAATGAACAAAAATCATTGTCAACACTAACTGAACAAAAATCACAACAAATCACTAAACAAAATATTAAAATGTATATTGTATGTACAAACAGGTTCTAGTCCTGGGTGCAGGATACGTCTCCTCTCCCCTGGTTGAGTACCTGCACAGAGACAGCAAAATACACGTGGTGGTTGCATCCCAGTTAAAAGAAGAAGCCGACGTGTTAGCAAATAAGTATCCCGGTGTTGAGTCAGTTTTGTTGAACGTGTTAGAACGACCCGATACTTTGAAGGACATCGTCGAGACCGCAGATGTGGTGGTATCCATGTTACCCTATTCTTTGCATCATGTTATTGCAGATGTATGCATAAGGGCCAAAACTCACTTGGTAACTGCTAGTTACATGAATGAAGAAGTTAAAGCCTTACATGAACAGTAAGTATATTGAACCGATGGACTCTCTGCTCCAATGGTCCTCTACTACATCCACTTGTTACTAGGGCTGTATCAGCAGAAGTAACCATACTCAACGAGGTAGGATTGGATCCTGGCATCGACCATTTACTGGCATTAGAATGTTTTGACAATGTGAGGCAGGCTGGTGGCAAAATTGAGTCATTCGTGTCCTGGTGTGGTGGTCTGCCAGCTCCAGAATGCTCCAGCAATCCTCTGCGATATAAGTTCAGCTGGTCACCTCGTGGGGTGCTACTAAACACTTTGGCACCGGCGAAATTTTATCGGGAGAAACAGGTACGGTACATTTGTAGAACCTGTTAACGTCTTATTAAATTTTATTTTTTTGAAGGTTGTTGAAATCGAGGCAGGAGGAGGTCTCATGTCAGCTGTTCAGGATTTGGACTTCCTGCCGGGCTTCGCGTTGGAAGGCTTTCCTAACAGAGACAGCACTATTTATAAGGACTTGTATGGAATCAGCACTGCTAGTACTATGTTGAGGGGTACACTGAGATTCAAAGGTTTTTGTGATACCATAAAGGCCTTGCAGTATCTAGGACTCACTGATCCTAATCCACATCCGTGTTTACATCCGAATGGTCCAGATATCACGTGGGTATGTATGCGGAGTGTTTCAGTGGATGAGAGATACTAACAGAGAACTGTTTCAGAGGGTACTCATATGCAACTTACTCGGCCTAGCGAACGACAACATTTTTTATGAAAATCTGAAAAGGAAATTGGCAGACATGTTGAACTCGGAGGAACGAGTACAGGCTATTGAGGAGTTGGGTCTCCTTCAGGAAGATTTGGTGCTGAAGTTAAATACACCCCTCGACACACTCACGCACTATTTGTCGAAAAAATTGTGCTACGAGCCCAATGAACGTGATATCGTAATTTTAAGGCATGACATTGGCATACTGTGGCCGGACAGTAAAAGAGAAGTCAGAGGAATCAATTTGGTGGTGTATGGAGATGTGAATGGGTATTCCGCCATGGCGCGAACAGTGGGATACCCAACGGCTATTGCAGTTAAAATGATTCTTGATGGTATGGTCATAATGATAATTTTAATCAGTAATATCACAATGTTAAATTGAATTCCTTTTTTATTAGGTGAGATTCAACAGAGAGGTGTGATTCTTCCATTCACTCCAGACATCTACCGACCTATGCTTAACCGGCTGAAAGCTGAAGGAATAGAATTCTTTGAAACATCTAAATGGCTGTAATCACTTTTAGCAATTGGTTTATAATATATTGTACATAAAATAAAATAAAATACATTCACTTTTTCAGTATCTTCCTTTTATTTACTCTGGGGAATACCAAGGTCCCAAAGTTTTAGTTACTTTATCTTTTCAGAAATATGGACATGTGCATTTTGAACATAGTCATTGTTTGACAGTTTGCAATGAACATATTTTGTTTTATATTTCAGAGCTTATAAATGTAACCTTGTTTAGGCACAGAAGACTCAAAACTCAAAATTTGTTGGTAACTTTGAGATTGCGATGTAATGGATCTTTCCAAAACTCAACAGAAGTACAAACATTACGCATGCCTCTGTGTTTCAGTTATGGGGCAAAGAAGATTTAGAATATCGGTAATTAAGACTTTATATTATATTTCTTGATAGTTAGTTGGTTCATAACTTCAATATTTCATTATGTTTATTTGACGCGATTTTTGTAAATATAAGTAACTTGGGTAACCTTGCACTCATAATTCTTTTGGTTTTTGAGTGACTTAATTATTGCATAATTTATCAATCATCCCTTTGAGATGGGTGCCCTTATCCCTTCTCCGGAAGCAGGAGATGCATCAGTTATCATACCACAAATGAAGAAATGTTCTATTACTGATGATTCTTCTAAGAGTTTTGTTTCTATGTCAGAGAGAGACATAGTTAATCAAAGATCTTTGATGTCTGCTTCCACTTATAACTGCATTAATGATGTGGACAAAGTTGCATACAAGCACATGATTTTAATGGGAGACAGTGTTTTCGATGAGATGAGCAATTCAACAATTTATGATAAATGCCAGTTTCCATATTATAGGTTGCTACTTTGTTATTGATTTATCCTGTTTTTTCAGTACATATATTTTTTAAATTTATCTCCAGGAGTAGTAAAAATAGTGGTAGATTTCCAGATGCAGTTCTAGTAAAGGATGTTGGTGTGTCATGTATGCTTTTAGATGAGGATACCCCAGTGATACATATTCCTGAGACCAAAACCCTCATTAAACAACTTAAGAAAGAGTACAACGATTTATCTGATATTACAAATAAAATAACTACATATACAAAAGACATCTTAGGCCAACTAAGAAAAAAAGACAAGAGAAAACGAGAATTACTTCAACACCTGGTATTTAACTTTTCAATGATGTGAAAAAAATATATATATTGTTTGCATATACTTTATTATATATTGCAGATGGCTTCAAAACACGCAATTTCGTCACAGTACATTGATGATAAAGGCAACCTCTGTTTAAAATTAAGACTTTTAAGTAATACTGGAACACAATATACTCCTGAACACATTCTTAAAAATTTGGAAGATGCACTCAAAGACAAATGTGTTGCAAAGAAACTGCATTGTAAACGCTGTAATTATCTTAAAAGTTACTTCTTTATGCAAATAAATTCCAATCAAATTATTATTCTTGTACACATGCAGCTTCCACCCAAATTCTACACAAAGATAAAACACCAACCCTGAAAATCAGGGAAAAATCAAAACATGAGAAGGATGTTCAAACAGAAATTCACAAAGAAGACATGGAAACAAGTACAATAGATTCATCATCACCCAGTAGTTCATCCGTTTACAACTACTTAATGATGAGAAAAGGGAAAGCATCAAATGGAAAGCTTAAAGCTGTATCAACAAAACTAGATGATGCAGAAAAATATTGGAATAATAAAACCAGAAGTAATAATAAAGACTGTAAGGAGCATTTAAAAAGGTGCGATCCAGTGATATTTACTAACTGGAAAGAAATTTCAAAATCTAAACAATCTAAAATTAAAGCATCATCTGTTATTTCTGATGAATCACAAGAAATGGTTCGTTTAGTAATTATTGAGTATGACCATACAATTATAAAATGTCTAATGAATAGTTGTTAAGTATACTAATATTCTTTTATCCCATGTAAGGCCCATTATAATTGCAGTTGCTCTGATTTTTTATTACAGACAACTACAAAGAAGGCAACATCACAGTGCAATCGCAATATAATTAACAATTTACCCAATACAAAGATTCATAGTGTTAATATTCGTATTGTGAAACAAAGGAAGAGACCTACATAACTTTTGTATATTTTTCTTTTTAGTTACATTTACTTTTAATAAATATTTTTATACCATTACAAGTTTTTTAAATATTGTAACTTGTGTCATAAACTTTAATTTCATACTATAAAGTCCTGACTTTCAAGTATGTAATACATTGTATTATCAAGCATTATCTGTTATTTTTTGTTAGTACTGATAATAAACTATCTATTGATAGTGTTTTTATGTACCTACGCACGTATCGATATCTTTAGTCGATAGCTCCACATTTTAAGTCAAAGACATTAGTCCAAATACAGTGTTAAAACACAAAATGTATTTGACTACATTTATATAAAAGTTTATAGAATATTATAATGTGTACATAAATAGAATTATTATCATTTAATGATAAAGTTATACAATCTCTAGTCAAATATAAATATTTATTTCTTATTTCAAAAATGATATCAGCGTTGTAGGTTATGTCATTGAATGATAGGTTAGGAAATTTGTACTTCAAAAAGTATTAAAATTTATATTATTTTAATAACAACAACAAGGATGGGTTTTCATCAGTGTAATGAAGAACCAATATGGAACAATTTAAAACTAAATAATGAAGTATATATGATTTCTGCCATTCAGAAGGAAGACAATATTGATATTTTATTAACTAATTTTATTGAAATATGGATGGAGAAATTAACAGATAAAATTATTTTAGATAGATGTCGGGTAATTAACTGTAATATACCATTAATAATATATTTAGAATATAACTAATTATGAAGTATTTTTTAAGCAGGAAGAAATTAATCTTAGAAAATAATGTATAGCAAAGTTAAGAGGCATTATTTGGTCAAAAAATTGCAGCTATTTCTCTACTTTAGGAATTAAATCCACTCCTAAATGTTGAAGCTCTCAATTACAAAGAAACTATATTAAATATGCTGAAAGATGTATCAGCCCATATTGTTGAGGCATCTCCTGAAAAAATTAAATTACGTACTAAAATACAAGGGGGTTTCATGAAATTTGAATTAAAGCTAATAAAAGGAACACCTCAAAATTTTTGGGAATCAATAACTAAACCATTATGTATATCATCAATGGAACTTGCTCGTCAGCATAAATTCCTCTTAGATTTAATAAAAAAGAAGGATGAGGAAATTGCTGAGTATAAAGCTGAAGGGGCTGAATTGATAAGAAGTATGAAAATTATAAATGGTTTATATTTTTCAGCTTAATATTGAATCTAATAATTTATTTATTGATGCAGAAAATATTGAAACAAAACCTTTTATGGAAGAACAACTCAAAACAGATGTTTCTATTACAAATATCAATGACTATGCAAATATCTTCCAAACAGTAACAAATTATTGCAATGCATTTTATTCTCATGACTCTTCTGCAAAAGTCACAAGGTATATAATGAAGAGGACACTATATAAAAAAAAAATTTTTTTTGAATTCTAAATAATTTTTTTCATTACAGTAGCAGTGATGAGATAAAGAAAGCAGAAAACTATACCCCTGACCAAGATGATGCTGGACAACTTGAAGGAGTTTCAAATGGGAATACTTCTGCATCAAAAATTTCACCCTCACAGAATAAAAAGAACAGAAGAAGTGCTAATAAGGAAGAAATAACTGCTAAGACAAGAACTGCAAATATGGCATATATACCTACTAAAAAAATAAAGAAAGGTTCAAATAAATCTATATTGTAAAAGAGGTAAAGTTAAGGGTTTACTTACATATAATATTCAAAGGGAAGTGCTGTAAGTAAAAATAATATTAATTGCTTTTATTATTTATGCAAAGAAAAGGTAACTTAAAGTACCTTACAATACAAATCATGATTTACATTAAAATGAATTTATTACAATTGTAAATATATTTAGAATTTCTATAATTCTATATCACAGCTTTTGCTGTTTTTATAATATATGCAATAATTATACTTTATATGTTTAATCAAATTTTTAGAGAATGAAGATCTATTTAATATAATTAAAATCAATTATGGTAGTTTTATGAGCTTCCCTTTGGGTATTGCTCCAATTGTAAATATTAACAGATTTTTTATTTTAATACAATGCAATTGTATATGACAAAATTGCTTTAAATCAAATATGAAGCATGCAATATGTAAACTGGAAATGATTTTTTATCTACAAAAAATTTTTTATCAAAAATATATATAATTATATAAAATTATCATTTTTTTTATTACCTATCCTTCCTTCTGATTATAAAATAATTAAGTACTCTTATCAAAAATGCATTTGTCTGAAAAGCACAGATAAACTGATTGTTTACATCAACAGAGTAATAAAATATTTTGTTGTCACAATACATGTAACATTGTATCATTACTCTGAACAAAAAGTATTAATGATTCGTTCACAAGAAGAGTGTACTCCAACAAAAAAGGAGAATACAAAAAAATTTTGGGCTCGTCCGGGATTTGAACCCGGGACCTCTCGCACCCTAAGCGAGAATCATACCCCTAGACCAACGAGCCACTTGAGAACTTACTTAATTTACTAGAAATATCACACATAATGGCGGCCCTGCTGGTGATTCAAAGTATTATCACTATTATTGTTTTATGATAATTTCTCATCATACAGTGCCGTACATGCAAGATGGCGGAGCGAGGCCAACAAGACTTTAATAGGAGTGCGTTGACAGTGCGATGTGGACAGGTAATTCACCCATATTTTTTACTACCGTACACTTAAAGTGTTACTTAGGTGAAATTATAGTCCTCGTGTGTCCGGACTATTACACGTGTTTTCAACGACCTAGGCTTGGTACACGGGACAACGAGCAGAAAAAGTTCCCGGAGGATTAGTGGGTATCGTCGGCGACGATTGCACGAGTTTAGACCTCTCCTACAACGAACTAACCTCTATTACCGCCGTCAAACACTTTCAAAAGCTCCAGGAGTTGATACTCGACAATAACAAACTTCGGGACCTCAGAACGTTGCCTTGTATTCCGACACTGACCACTCTCAGCTTGAATAACAACAAGGTCGGTCGTTTTACTTTTAACTAAATTGTTCCGATAAATTAAAGATATAATAAATTAATGAGGGCATTCGCTTTTCGGGAATACGGTTGATTAAATGTTTCGTCGCTGACTTTTTCATTGATGTATTTCAAATATTTGTTTTGTAGCGGCATGTGCGTTGAATGTATATGCAGATTAGGGTACAGTCGGTTCTGAAAGTATTGCGCCACTTACTGTAACCATCGCATTTGAAGAAAAATACAAAATGTTTCAAGTAAAATTTTATTATATAATTTCATACTTTTGGCATAATATAATGTTAGAATTACAGCTAACGCGATACTTTTTTGCTATAATAGGAAACTGTAATCATGAGGAAAAAGCTTTGCATGAATATGTATGTCGGGGAAGAACAGCAGGATTAACGGTGATATTCTGCATGTTTTCAACGTGCTTATTCATGAACCTTGAAGAAGATAACATTGAAAAATAGAATCCGTCATATCAAGCTTAACGTTTCTATCGAGACATTAATAGAAATGACGTTTGTGCGTAATACGAGGGATGTAATAATAACTGATAATGTCTGATATACATAGTTCCTTTTACAATTTTACATCAACAAAATTTAGTCAAGTTTGCCTCCTTTCAAATTTAGTAACTCAGGAATTTTGAGACATTAAAAATACAGAAATTGCAGCATGTGGTAATATTACCCGATCGTGTAAAATGCAGGGTTAATTTTCAAAGTACTCATTGATTTTATCGTAAGATTAATATCAAAATGTTGCATTCAGATAACAGATATAGACGCCGCGTTAACGAGGATACGGGAATGTTGCCCGAACCTGGTGTACGCGAGTCTTCTGGGCAACCCAGGATGCCCCGACCAGTTGACCAACCCAGCGTCCACCGACGACGAGGATTACGATCGTTACAGGCTATACGCGATCTACGTCTTACCACAAACTCTTCGCTTCCTGGATTCGCGCCCTGTTACTCGTCAAGAAAGAAAGGACGCTGAAAGACGAGGGAAGTTTTCCAGAACAGTGAAACTGATTCCAGAATTGTCGTCCAAGTTTGTTCAAAACCCCACCGAATTTGATGATATATTCTTCAACGTTCACTACTCCCCTCTGCCTACGTCACTGAGGAATCCTCTTGATCACAAAGGTACTTTTCCTTTTTTGATAAAATTCATTCTTTTAATTTTTTAATAATATTCATTCTTTTAATTTTTGTATAATATTCATTCCTTTAATTTTTGTATAATATTCATTCTTTTATTTTTTGTATAATATTCATTCTTTTGATTCTTTCATAATATTCTTTTAATTCTTCCACAATATTAATTTCTCCATGTTTCAGGAGCATTCGGGAAATGTAAATATCGATACTCAGGGAAGAACTCGGAGGGTAATCGATTCATTTCAAATAACGATCTTTGAACGAAGACTGAGTCGGAATTTTGGATGGACTTTTTCTTTTTTTATGTATAGTTTATGTTGGGTGAGTTCCCAAGCACAAGAGTTTACATTGGTAGGGTTAGGATTAATCCTGAATTATCTTGGTGTTAGTGCATCTTCCATTAATGATAACTTTGTCATTGCTGACGATTTGAACTGTTCTGCCAATGTAAACAATTGTATTTCGTGGATGTTCAAACTTTTCGAAGTTTTCATGTTGCACTAATTCTGATTGTAATGGGAGCCGTAAGCAACGGACTGCGCATGCGCACTTGCGGTTGAATACATACGTGGTGCTCTTTTACACTTCGTATCAGTTTCTCTACGAAAAATCATCCACGAAATATATTGTCGAAGATGAAAATTGGTGGAGTACCGAAAGGATGCACAAATTCTTTTATACCTTATTTTAAAATCTCAAGTCCACGTGCCTGATCATTCCTTTGAGCTATGAATTTGTTTTATATACATATACAAACATATATTTATGCGTATGGAATAAAGTGATATACAAGAGAAGTAAACGTACAAAATTTTTATTATCACGTACACTGAAGAGTGACACATAAATAATTGCTCGGCTCCATTTCCTCGAGTGTCACGTGACACAAAATGACGGAAACAGATAAAACGCGTGTCGTGAATTTCAACGCTACTCCTGCGATTGACTTTATTATTAATTTAATATTATTGGTCCTTAAACGTATACAATGATGGTTTTGCAACGAACTCGATTAATCCGAGAAAAAAATTGCCCTATCAGCTCCTCGACACGTTGCTTACCTTTACAAGAACTTACGTCGAAGGCAGTTTTCGTAGTTTCACTTGTTAACCCTGTATTTAGGAAGAGTCTTACGGATAAGTATACTCGGTGGAAATGGTATAGTGCTATCGCAAAATTGAAACGTTGGAATATAAAAATATAAATATTCTAGGTCGACATCTGTTTCTAGCTCGTTCGTGAAAAATAGTGGGAGCTTTGACCTCTTAAGGTGCAAGGTTACTTTACGTTATTTCTGAATAAGAATGTCATATGTTAGTTTGATCCTGAAGAAAATAGTCTTATGTCTGCAATATTATGTACCATAAATTTATAGCTATTAGAAACATGACACTCTTAAAATTAGATGAACATTATTCAGATATACGTAAGGTTCAACCTTGCTATCATATCAAGACTTCAGCTATTGCGTCAATTCCTGCTATTGCTTAATTCATGGCTGCACCACATCATTTCCACCAGCAGTATGTACAGGTATAGTCAGTGAAAACAACATATTAACTCTCATACAATGAGTCCGCGAACAACTTGAGGTTTTGAACCTCTGTAGAAATATCTGATTAATCTGATACACTGTTTTGACCGACTATACAACGCTATTACTATAACTGTCTACATACACTAACCGGAGACTCGCCATTGTATAATTAGTTAAGTACAAGTACACCAGCCTTTCAATTCCTTCCATGCTGGACCTACGAAGTTTCTAATCGGCGAATACTAACACTCCCGCTGATAACAATTGATCCAAAGCCCCGTGGCCTACCGTATCCTACGTAAATGTATAAATATAATATTTATATGAATATATTTCTATGTACTGGAAGCCGGTTATATTTAATTCCTTAAATACACCGTTCCATCCTTGTTTGGCAATGCTCAACGGGAGAAATCGTTTCAAGTATTGTACACACTGGAAGCATCTTTCTCTCGAAGAAAGGAAAGTGTCCACATGCCAGCCGCGTTCCAAAGCACTTCTACAATTGCGCTAACTTCCCGGGTTAATTAAGACTCTTGGAACGGGGCCAGCTAACATTTTTCTCCTCCTATAATGTACTTGGCCACGAAGAATGCTCGCACGGCAGATAGCCACCTGGATACGTTTGGACGCCCATGACAAATTTCGACTCAGGCCTGTTCAAACATAACCTTATACCTGGACGTTACGTTATGGAAACCGTGGGTCATTCAGTCTCTAATTCCTTCATTTAGAAATTTGGGCACTTGGGAGTATGGGGAGCTGGATAGTTGGAGGTTTGGGGATTTGGGGATTTGGAGACTCGAGGACTTGGGAGTATGGAGAGCTAGATAGTTGGAGATTTAGGGATTTGGGGATTTGGAGACTCGAGGACTCGGGAGTATGGACAGTTAAATAGTTGGAGATTTAGGGATTTGGGGATTTGGATATTTGAGGACTTCAGAGCTGACGATTTAGAAGCTTAGGACAAGTTTTAAAGCTCGAAGAATTTGTAGATTTAAGTATTTGAGGATTTGTAAATTTGAACTATAAAATTTGAAAAATGTAAAAGGCTTCAATGAGCAGACCTGGTCCAACTCTCACGCGCCTTCCCCAAACGGATTCCCCTAGACAATTAACAATCCACAACAAGTTCGCGTTCCTTGCACGCGATATTGCACGAATTTCGTAAATCGTTGTTCCGTTGACCTAGATCTAATTAGGACCTTCGTTCAAAAATGGATACCAACTAGATAGAAGAATAACTCCGTAAAGAATTTGAACGATGATTGAATGAAATATAAGTATTTGGAACTTTCGAGCATGGACCACCTCTGGTATCGAGAGGCTTGACGAAAATTTCGATCGTGCCGTCTAAAAGAATCGTCTAAAGGCACTGATTTTCTTCACTTCGAAAGTCACGTGGCACACTTCAACAGCCACTTATGTACATTAATTTTCAGGTTACACTAGGACCGAAGCGTTTCAAGCTTCGTTAAAAACGGTGACCCTCAAGGTCGCGAACGAATGTGTCCTTCGAGACCGAAACAAATCAAGACGATTAAGAGTTGCCGTTCTTCCCGTGATTATGCAGATTCGGCCTCAAGGTCACGGCACCCTCGACCCAGAAGTTAGGTCTTTCTAGCATGCTTTGCCACAGTGAGAGCTCGCGACCGGTCGCGTCCATCCAGTCCACTGGTTTGCCGTAATGTTTCCCTGGAAAATTTGCATGTTTTTTATAATTGGACTATTTGGGTAAAGAAGTTAAAGTTAGGTTAAAAATATCTTCAATGACATTAGAGGGATTATACAGCAGTGATACTAACACTTTTTATGAGAACAGAATGTAAGTTGAAAAACTAAGGAATGTAATGGTTGTAATATGTAGTGCTTGCAAAGACGAATCGATTGATATGTAATATGTATAAGGTCACCGCGCAATTTCTCGAGAAAATGGTGGATAAACGTTCCGCTTAGTCGGTTCGGTGGGTATAGACGCTCGAACAGCTGACTACGTCTCAACTATAATTTCTTGCATTATACCAAAATAAGTATACAGAGCTGTTAAGTAACTAGAGGTGTTTAAATTAAAATTAAATGTTTTGGAAGATTTGTTCCAGTGATTTGAAACTTTGGTCCCACAGTGTATATTCACAGAATTTGAACAGAAGAATACCTGTGCCAAGATTAAATCGTACACCGCCCAAAAATTCGTTGCTAGCGATGCGATCGTGGTCCCAGACTGTTAATTCCAGTCCGCGTTCGGCTAGTTCCTGCAGGCTAACATCTTTATAAATAAACGTGTGACCCCATACTGGCGAACCACCAGATCTGCGAACCACTCCAGTCTTTTGTTTTCCTGAACGACCCTTGTCAGGCAGTAAGTAACTGCAACACCAAAAAAATGCCATTAACGCCAGTCTTCTATGTTCCTTATGGAAAATGGCAATATAGGAAAAGGGAATCCTACTACTTATACTTTACAGTCACTGTACTATGGCTAGTTTGAGCAAGTAAGTGGAAATCTATGGACATCCTAGGGAACTTAATGATGGGGAATTAATGGAAGCTTAAATAGTGGGGGATTCTAGGGACCCTAGTATTTATAGGATCGGTGCTTTTTAGAATACTTGAAAGTTACTCTTATGGATCTAAGATTAGGGAATTTTAGTTTAGATAGGCATCCTAGGGAATTTTATTAGTTTAGATAAGTAATGGATCCTGGGACTCTAGGGAATTTAAGTTTCTCTAGGTAATTTCTAACTGAAAGACTCCAACAGTTATTCTAATACTCAGCTGTTATATGCCTAGTTTGTACCAGTTTGAACTCTAAGGATTCTAGGGAGCCTAGAATAAATCTCTATAAGTCTCTATAAATCTCTAATAAGTCTCTATAGAATATAGTAACGTAGGTGAATGAGATCTCACCACATATTGCAATACCGAAGAGTCCATTATGCAGGGGAGGAGGATCCTCTCCCTATATCGCCGTTTTCTCTAAGGTAGTTTGCCCGATATCGTACAACGTTTTTGAGTGATCCTATGTATTCAGCGTTGAGAAAAACGTTACTAATTAAAAGTGAAATACCTTTTACAGAACGGATCGCACGTTCCCGAATTCTTCGCCCTGGTTTGCAAATTTCTAGCCTCCTTAACGAGCACGTGCAATGCACCGCGACTCCAGTTCTTTTTCGATTTAGATATACCACGGTCTGATCCGGTTTCTCGATCGCGTTCCTGTTGCGTAGGATCTGGTGGCACGAATTTTAAACCGACGATCACCTCGCCTTTGTATGCGACGGGGTCATCAAACGGTTCCGTCTAAAATGTATAATTTCACTGTGATTATATCCAGTCATAACGCACACTTTCAGACGAGATTTTTTATTATTACCAAGTAGAAAAAATTCTTCGAGAAAAATATTACTCGACAAATTTTTGTAAAAAATCGTGTAAACGCAAATTCAAAAAATATTGCAAATTTTAATTTATACATTTAAAACAAATTTTATAATTTAGACGAAGTTTTAAAAAAATTTCTGTAAAGTTGCACGCTAAATAAAAATTAAAAATATTTTTGCAGTAACGATTCAAACTGTAACAACTCAAAATCCGTACCGAATTAATTGCGAAATCGAACTCTAAAGTATCTGCAAATTAATGAAATCGAAATAGTAACAAAAATGAAATTCATTGCAAATTGCATAACAAAGCGCTAAAACTTTTGCGAAAACTTTCTCGTACATGCACATCACACTACATAATAAATTTTGTTCTTTATTTATTTAAAAAATAAAATGTATACATGCTGTTACTCAAACTGTAAAATTGCACCTGTTCAGAAAACAACGCGAGTTAAGTAGGTTTCAGCTTTCCTGCGAGGTGCATCAATTAAATTTATTAATGTGGATAAAAACAAAACAAAGGAACCTCTAATGGTATGCTAGATCATAAATAACTCCCCACGAGCACTTACTTTCTCCCATTCGATTTTCATCACGCTCTTAATGCCTAACGCACGATTCACTTATTACCTTGACGGTCTAATGTCACGGGTTCATGAATGCGATCATTTCTGATATTCTTGTCTAACGTGTAATCATGTACAATTTCAAAAGTTGCTAATTGCTACATTCACATATTCAGAATTTACTTCTTGCGATAAGGCTTTAGTTACTCTTCCTGGTGCTAGGTGGCGCTCTTCTCTCTTTTATTCTAATGGCCGCCCTAGAACTTCTAACTACAATAATTAAATTTCTCAAGCTTTATATCGAAAATTTTGCTGAGATTTTTATTGAGAAATTATGAAAATGAACTTCAAATATGTAACTTATAAAACTTTCAAACATCCAAATTTTTAAGTATATACATAAACAAATTTCCAAACCTCTAAACTTTCAAATAAAAAAATTTCTGAACCTTAAAACTGAAACACTAAAAAAATTGAAAGCTTAAATTTCAAAACTTGAGATAGACAGAACAGGAAAACTTGACCTACTCAGTATATGGCCCATTCCAAGAACCTTGCCTTCCACGGCAATATAACAAGAGTGTATCATACTTCAAAACCTATGAAGTTGAAAAATGCCCTTCTATCTCATGAACTCCTCGTCCTCGGCAATATAACAAGAGTGTATCATACTTAAGAATATATGAAGCTGAAAAATGCTTTCCTATCTCATGAACTCCTCGTCCTCGGCAATATAACAAGAGCGTACCATAATTCAGAACATATCAACTTGAAAAATGCCCTTCTATCTCACGAACTCCTCGTCCACGGCAATATAACAAGAGTGTATCATACTTAAGAATATATGAAGCTGAAAAATGCTTTCCTATCTCATGAACTCCTCGTCCTCGGCAATATAACAAGAGCGTACCATAATTCAGAACATATCAACTTGAAAAATGCCCTTCTATTTCATGAACTCGTCCACGGCAATATAACAAGAAAGTACCATAATTCAGAAGATTCCCTAAACATCAAACGTACACCTAACTTCCTATCCTTCCTAATAAATGGCCGGCAATATATATGAACAATTCGCATGAACTACTTACTCTTTCCTGAAGCGGGTACCACTTCGGCGTAGGATCGTCGAAGATCTTGTTCTCCAAGGGCATTCGGACCTCGCCGAGGAAATCGTTGCGTCCAAACATGTCTGAGTGCCAGACGGTCAGCCACAGTGTTCTGGTCTCCAGACCGCTGAGACTCATGTGAAACTGAAATATGGTGGCGAACCATCCAAGCTCTAATTCTCATGCAGGGCAGCGGGGTACAAGCACAATGTTCTCGTATCACAGCTTACCTTCAGTGTCTCGTTAAATTCCGGGTTCAACGTGTGTTTCTTCACCTTCGTTTTTCGTTTGCCGCTCTTCGATTTGTCGGGCAGTAGATACACCTTCACGTATCTGGGGAAATATTTCAATCGGGGAATTTAACACTTATTTGGAATCTGATTGGTAAATTAGAATCAGCGATTGTTATGAAAATCTAGGGATTTGGAGATATAGGAATGTGAGGATGAACTTTGGGACCTTAGGGTTTCAGCTTGGGATATGGTGATTTGGAATTATGGTACGATGTGTGTATCTAGGGATATAGTGATGTAGGGATATAGGTGAGGATCAAGAGATTGGGAGATCAGAAACTTAGGGACTGATAGGGATATAGGGACTTAGAGACCTGAGGATCTAGGAACCTATGAAACTGGATATCTGTCAATCTAGGGACCTATGGATGTGGTAACATATGGATTTATAGGAACCTACTGATTTAGGGACTGATAGGGATATAGGGACTTACAGACCTGAGGTTCTAGGAACCTACGAAACTGGATATCTGTAAATCTAGGGACCTATGGATCTAGTAACATATGGACCTATAGGAACCTACTGATTTAGGGACTGATAGGGATATAGGGACTTACAGACCTGAGGTTCTAGGAACCTACGAAACTGGATATCTGTAAATCTAGGGACCTATGGATCTAGTAACATATGGATCTATAGGAACCTACTGATTTAGGAACCCGTACGTCTAGAAATCTATAGATGAGGGCACCTATGAATCTAGGGACCTATGGATCTAGGGACTCGTGGATCTAGGGAGCCGTGGATCTAGGGACCCGTGGATTTAGGGAGCCATGGATCTAGGGACCCGTAGATTTAGGGAGCCATGGATCTAGGAACCTAGGGATCTAGAGATCCGTGGATCTGGGAGCCATGGATCTAGGAATCTATGGACCTAGGGACCCGTGGATCTAGGGAGTCATGGATCTAGGGACCCTTGGATTTAGGGAGCCATGGATCTAGGGAGCCATGGATCTAGGAAGCCATGGATCTAGGAACCTATGGATCTAGGGACCCGTGGATTTAGGGAGTCATGGATCTAGGAAGCCATGGATCTAGGAACCTATGGACCTAGGAACCTATGGATCTAGGAACCTACGAATCTAGGGACCTATGGATCTAACGACCCATGAATCTAGGGACCTATTGATCTAGTAACCTATGAATCTAGAAATGAATAGATCTAGGGACCTGCAGATCCAAGGATTCAGGGACCCAGTGATAACAACCTAGGATATCCGAATCCAGGAATCTAGGGATATAGAAGTATACATATAAATTCAGTGAAAATTTTAATCGTCTCGAATTTGTCACCAGAGAGAAGAAATCATAGTGAAAATGTAAGGTTAAGAAATAATGTGTACTAACGTGTAGATCGCTCCTACTAATTGGCAATAACTATTAGCAAGCAAGAAAGTGATTAGTAGATGTTCGATGACACACGCGATATTTATCATTTAATCGGAGAAATAATCGAGCCGGTGAGTCACGGGTTACTTACGGATCGGATCGTTTGCGCTTTACGTCAACGGGCGCTAGATTCTTGCATTTCGTTACATGCACCTCGAATGTTAGGTGCTTGTAGTCGTACTGTAGAGCGAACTCGACTTCGCCGGTCACCACCACGGAGCGACAACAACGCCCCTCGCCGGCGCCGCTGTACACCGACGCCATTGAATCTGATCTTGCCTGAAACGTTCATATCAAATTTTCATGATTACCAAATAGCTTTGTCGTATACTTCGACAAGTCTTAGCTTTCTCATATTCTTATTATCTTGCGAAAATTTAGTTTCAAGCTAACTTTACTGCAGCTTTACCAACTTCGATACCGAATATGTTTTAAGACACATACAGAAATAACGATCTTTCGCTTCATATGTCAGAACTGATTTCTTCAATTATTTTCTGGTGTTACTCACTCCAAGACTCGACAACGATGCACGGGTTGCGAGATGACCAGAGTGCAGCCCGGAATCCATGTCGTCCACATCGATCACCGTGTGACTAGATCCCGCCCGCGATCCGGCGCCGATGATCGGCGTGCTGCACGCCTCCGACAAGCTGCTTCCGTCATCTGTAACGCAAGAACAGCGAAATATTTAGCTTGTTGGGCGTCAAATAATTTCAATCTTATAATCTTTGACCGTTGTGCACTGTACGGTAAGATGACAGACGGACTGTCAACTGCCATCTTATCAGACACGTGTACTGAGTGTCACTGAAGTACTCAGGGCAGTTTAGGGACTTTCAAGTTTAGAATTTGGGGACTTGAGAATTATGGGAATTTGACAATTTTGGAAACTTAAGAATTTAGGGATTCTGGGAATCTAGGGATTTTGGAAATTTGGGGATTCTGGGAATCTGGGGATTCTGGGGATTCTGGAAATCTAGGGATTCTAGGAATCTGGGGAATCCGGGGATTCTGGGAATTTGGGGATTCTGAGAATTTGGGGATTCTGGGAATTTGGGGATTCTGGGAATTTAGGGATTCTGGGAATCTGGGAATTCTACGAATCTGGGGACTCTGGGAATCTGGGGACTCTGGGAATCTGGGGACTCTGGGAATCTGGGGACTCTGGGAATCTGGGGACTCTGGGAATCTGGGGACTCTGGGAATCTGGGGACTCTGGGAATCTGGGGACTCTGGGAATCTGGGGACTCTGGGAATCTGGGGACTCTGGGAATCTGGGGACTCTGGGAATCTGGGGACTCTGGGAATCTGGGGACTCTGGGAATCTGGGGACTCTGGGAATCTGGGGACTCTGGGAATCTGGGGACTCTGGGAATCTGGGGACTCTGGGAATCTGGGGACTCTAGGAATCTGGGACTCTGGGAATCTGGAACTCTGGGAATCTGGGGACTCTGGTAATCTGGGGATTCTGGGAATCTGGGGACTCTGGGAATCTGGGGACTCTGGGAATCTGGGGATTCTAGGAATCTGGGTATTCTAAGAATCTAGGGATTCTGGGAATCTAGACTTTGTACCAACTAACTTTTCTCATTCTCAGACCCAGTTTCCGACCCCTGATCCTTCGTCTTAGTAACCCGACATTTCGGAAAAATTTCTGAAACAATCGACTCCTCATCGATGTCTTTCTTCTCAGTTTTCGAACCCCCTGGAAAATTTCTCACTAGACGCTTAAGACTGAACGACTTAAAGTTCGACGTGAATATCTCGTCCGTCGATTCCGCGTGCATCAACGATTTTTCGTTATCTGTCACGTGAGTTAAATCATCGTCAGTGTCTTCGTTCTTCGTCAACGACTGGTCCGACGCCATTTTCTGCAGCTCCACGTTTTCTTCGTCTTTACGAGATGGATCCTGCGGAACGCTGGGTACTTCTCTGACACCGCCATTTTGTACTTTCGAGTAACAGGGGACGCAACAGCAGTCGAAAAACAGATTCGAAGTCAAACGTTGAGTCATTTTTGTTAACGTCCAACGACTGGACGCGTTGAAACTCGTATATCCAGTACCCTTTTTCATTTTTATGCAAGTTTTTTGTTACAAGGTGTAGTCTGGTCCGTTGAACTCGTTACATAAAGTGTCGTGAGATTCTATGCGAGGAAACGTAAGGGGACTTTCGTTATATCGCCATGTTCATGGTGTATTCTTTAAATCGGCAATATAGCGAGTTGGACATAATTGATATTAAAAAGATAGCGAATCTCATTGATGGTGGGATCCTCTACGCGCTAACTCGTGGGTTGACATCTGTACTGATGTTTGCAAAAATGGCAATATAATGCGAGTTTGCCAAAAGCACGATAAACGTATTGAAAATATCAATTTTGAATAAGTTAAATATCAGACACACTGTAAATTAGATTTTTCATTAAATTTTCAAGAAAATTTATTGTTGATAATTTAACAATAATTGTTCCAAAGTGACATTAATGTTTTTTGACTTTGGCAGCTGTTTCTGTGCTGATTAAGTAAGAAGAGTATACAATGACGAATCTTATCGATTTCCACTTTTGTGCCAAGTAGAAATGGTTATATCTAATGGACATGGCTTGTCTCTATTGTTTCTCACGCAGACTAATATTGATACGATAAAGCAAAACATGTTGCAAATTTGACTGAAATATAGTCACTGACTATAGATATCATTCTGATTGGTTTCAACTCATTTCTGAATCCATATTTGCCATATAAGCGCAGAACTCTCGTTATATTGCAATTTTTACATGTGGATATTTGGACAGGTTTTCAATTTGGTGTTTTGTTCAAATTTACGATGAGAAATAAAACATGACCACGCGTTATATCGCCAAATTTTAAACGACCACGCGTTATATCGCCAAGATTGCGACCCAACTCTCCACAGTACCGAATCGCAAATTTCATGCCCACCCGATATATCGCCAACTCCAAAAATACTCCACTTCCCCCTCCCGGCAATATAACGGAAGTCCACCGTAGATAAACAAAAAAACTATATCGCTACGTAAAACTTTCGGATATCCTTCGCATAACAGCCACACACTCTCGAATCGTAAAAATGATCCATTCTCTTTGTCCAACTAAAATATGCAAACAGAGACACTCTACAAAGTGTAGTTTCACGCGTTTCTCGCTTCTTGCCGTTTTCTTCTTGTTCGGTAGAGAACGGAAGTTCGTTTCACTTCGATAGCTCGAAACACAGACACATTACCTTATTTTACAGAAAAATTCCTTGGATCTCGTTAATTAGCGAATAATTAGAGTGGTGCGTTAAAAGTAAGGCTTTCGTTCTACGATTTGAATATTCTTCGTTTTCACTTCGGCGTAGTACTTTTTCGCGAGAACGATCTTTCGTAGTATTTTGCAACGTTTCGATACTTTCATTTATTTTCATTCGGCAGCGGCGAAGGATGCAAACGGACGCGAAACCATGTTAACACTGACGAGTTTATGCCACGGTTGTTACTGATAATATGCAGAGGGGAACGTGTGGGACGATAAAGCTGATTTTTACTTCCTGTCTTCCGGTACAATTGCGTGGGGGGTTTCATGTTCAAGGCTTTAGCTCCCTTACCGAGATAAGGGATGATATTTTAGCTAAATATTTCCTGCTTAATATTTATCGTCGTTGCTAAATTTTCATCATTAATAAACAACGTTAACAAATTTTTATTGTACAGAATTTATGGTTCAAGTATTTATTAAATAATCGTAAACTAATTTGAAATTAACTGTAAATTGATCTTAAAATAACTGCAAATTAATTTGGAATTAATTATACAACATTCACAAAGTAACTATAAATCAAGTACAAATATCAAATTATTTGTAAGTTCAATTTACTTATCATATATTTAAATCACACACAAAAACCCTAAAACAACATTAAAACACAGAACTTCTATGGTTAAGCAAAAATTTGTCAAAAATATTTAAGCACGATTTGAATTTGGCGCCAAAAGTCAGTCCACCGCTAAAGTCGCAACTAACAAAATAAAGCAAGCGTAATTGAGTTATTAAATCATGTTCCGCGTGAATCAACGCTGAAAACAGTGCTACTTTTTCATTCCCACGATTTTTCCCAAGGAGAAGTGTCTGGAAAAGGTAATTCACATCGTTCGAGTGAACTTATGGCGCCTACACAACGGACCGTGAAAGCGTATACGTATCTACGGGCAGAAATGAGCCACATATGTGGGCGAAAGTTTTACAGAATTGTTTGTAACCGGAATCGAAACATCTTGGACTGGACATGTCGATGTGATCAATAGGTTTCTAAGAGAAACTTTTTCTCCGCTTTACTTCCGGTTCAATAACATTATACAACGAATGTCTGACATTATATAGTGTTCTCATTTTATATTATTTTTAGTTTATTTAGTTTTTTTTATAATAAATGCGATGAAGGGAAGATGAAGAGAATGAAAGATATACAAAAATAATAAAGTAGTGATGGGTTGGAGCGACGTTTGAGTAATATTTTCTGAGCTATTGCAGTGAATATTTTTACGTAATCTTTTAAGTGTAATCATTTAAAATATAATCCTAACCTAACATTATATACAAAGTAACTGTCAAGTATAAAATTTAGTGACATGAATAAAATTTTAACCCAATCTGCACCTAATACAATTATTTTCTCTAAAAGTTATAAAACTATTACCACGAAAGTATCTTACGTAACCTAACCTAACTAGCAAGATATAATAAAATTGCGTCCAGTGTCAACATATTACACTGCGTGTAATAAACTCGATTAAATATGATAGAAGCAATAAAATTATGTGTTCCAAGACCACAGACAGCGAGGGAAATGTAATAAAAGAAGAGCAGGAATTCTGCTTGTCAGTTCGGTATACACCGTTTTCTCGATCGCGTAAAAAGGTGACACGCATTTCAAAAGTCGTCGACACCAACCTATGTCCATCGACTTTCCAAGTAACGTTACAGAAAGCGTGGCTGTGTACTATTTTGTTCTGTGTCGCTGGCGACGAATTGACTTGCTTATCGATCGTTGCTTTTTCTCTCTAACATGGTTAATTAGTGTACTTTTACAGCGATTATGTACCAACTCCAGATCTAACCTTACTTGTATTTGGTACTGTACGGTCACTTTTAACTATCAAGTACTGTATGCAATTATAACAGTATTCAATATTTATATTAATACTTAATTAACTTATGGAACTGACAATATTATAATTTCTGCATTTAATATAATTTTGTGGACTTGGTGAGACATAGACAAAGCCTTGGACATAATGCACAACGCTTTAATAATGCATTTGCAGGTGAATCTTTACATATACTGTAATCCAAGATGGCGTCGAAGGGAGAGACATGCGCAGTGCACTGTGGATACACTACTACATTAATTAATTATGTTATTCATCTTTAATAAATCATTATATTCCGTTAGATATTCATTACAGAGAACAATAAACATATTTAATACCGAATAATACTATTCACCACTTAATTCTACTTAATTACCGTAATTTATCGTGATTATACACTGCGCATGCGCCATCCCAACGCCATATTGTTTTCGTTATTCTAATGTTTTCGACAGAACCACCTTTGCAGAACACCATTGACTTGTTCATACAACCACGCTCTATTTCATGT